TAATAGAGATGTGTTATTAGATATAACTGTACGCTGAACGTGTAATGAGGCACGGCAAATCTCAAATAAAATGCGAGACATTACGGAATTGTGCGGCAGTAGTGGGTCGGCTTCGACTGAGAGGGCACTGGGTCGTGGGGAAAGTAGTGGGGCCTTATGTACGTGCACGGTGCATGCCGCAATTACACCGCCGATCTGCTGCTACATTATGTCTCTGGCGGATTTTAGAAATCGTCTCTGACTGTGGCTTCCGAGGTAGCACACTGATACAACCAAATGAAAAGCCTTTTAGATGTAGGTAAACCTACATTTAAAGACGGGTATAAAAGTTACGTAGCTTTTAAAATTGTCTTTATGTTTAATAACATTTTCTTTGTCTGAAGGAAACTTAAACTTAACTTAAAATATACTTTTTTTTTTAACTTAACTTTTGATTTCCCCAAACTAAAAGCAACCAAAGACTAAAATAATACTACTTTAGAATGGTTACAAATAAATAAAAAATCTGTAGTTGTCAATTACGCACATGATTTGTTCCGTGCACGAATTCAAGTCGAATGGTTCAAAAATACCTCTTCAAAGCCTGTGAAACTCTGAGTCACGCACGAATGTCTAGGGTATGACCCTTTGAACTATTCGTACATGCATAATCGTGTATCTGCCTGTAAGTGTGATGAACACAATAGATCGCTAATTCACATCGCTAATTTTAATAAATTAATAACTAATCAGGCACTTTCTTTGATATACAGGCAACTTAATTATTTTGTAAAAACTAATTTGTAAAGAAAATATATTTATTTATTATATTCGATTAGGTGAAATCCAATAAACATTAATAATTGTATTAAGCAACCCAACTATTGCTCCATAAATCGTATTTTAATAAAGAGGAAGGAGTAAACTAAATGGAACTTAAAGTGTATGTATGAACCGCGAAATAATTTGCAATTTGTTATAAATTATAATGATTAACACGAAGCCATAAATAAAGGTCATTATCAATGCCCGGCAGCTCAAGCCGAGGCTAAATGTTTGGATAGCATGCCGACTGCCGCGTGAAACTGTGAGAAATGTTAGCGAAACTTCTATTTAAACACCGATCAATCAATCAAATAATAATAAACGTGTGACGTGACGTGCGATCAATTTTACCTAACTATAAAACCATTAATCTTCCAGACACTTGTCGACTCATTTCACTCAATTCTGTACCATATTCATGTCTGCATAGAATACTGTTTTTTACTTTAGTAATTTCACTTTATTTGTGGTTTGTAACTTTTTATTTCTACGAATAAAGTGTGTAGCGCTAGCAAAAAAACAAATGTTATTGTTACTTCATATCAATCAAATTGATGAATTGCAAAAGGTAAAGGTTAACACATATTATTCCTTGCAAGTCAGTGCTTTATTGTTTTAATTTTAAAGTAACAATGATAACATATAGAGTGACAGAATACATAGTCATGATCAAGATGTAACGTACAGTTACAAATAAGATGTTACTGAAAACTTGGCACGTTTGTCAGAAAAAAACACGGTCGATTTTCACTTGTGAGCTTTTATAAAAGAGCAATTTATCATTTGGTTCCGCATACAGGAAAATGCAACGTTGTTTCGTTGAGCGATTCTAAAGTAGAGTTGCCCTACAAAACGCGTACTGAAGCCACTATATTAAGTCTATAAGTGATAAAGAGTCGATACGCATTACGCATAAGCAGAACACAATGGTGACACCAACCGGGCGGGCGCCATATGAATTCGATATGCGGCTCATAACTGGACCAGGACAGATTGATTCGGGTGGGGCGGTCAAGGCCGCGTGCACTGGCCGCAAAAAACTAACTGGTTGCGCCCACGCATGCGGTTATCATAGACGTGTTTTTTTTGCGGTAACACCTTACGACATACAAATAATTTGTAAGTACGCGGGTTATTGATGTTCGATGTTTTATTACCTTCTCTTGTATGCCATTTTACTAATGTATACTGTCTTTTTATACTTTAATTTGATTAAGATCAAACACTATCCTATTGCCCATAGCTCTACAAGAGCTGTAGTTGGTTGTTTCTAAAGAGTACCTACTTGTTTGTGTTGAGAAAAACTGTATGTAGGTACCTACTTATACATAAGTACTTACGTACACGTAACATGATGCTTATTTACCACAGTTGCAAACTCTATCAATAAAAATTGGTGCCTGTTACGAGTGCTACGAGCATGTCTTGTGTCTTCCGGGGTCGTCGGGGCGCTAATTGCGATTATACTCGTAGTATTAATGTTAAAATCCAAGATGGCGAACGTGTTCCACTTGTAGAGACGCCGATACTCACTTAAGAAGTAACTACTAGAGCTCATTTTACAATTAGATATTATGCATAGAACATGAAAGTGAGGAAAAGCAGTGCATGTAGTGTTCAGAGTAATCCATAAAAGCGGCACTTATAATATACATATTCTACATGGTAATGGACCTGATTTCTCACAACACAATATCTCTGTTAATGCATAAAATATTGCAATCAACTTCACTTTAGACACTTATTTATGCACATTGTTTGGTAGTTAATTATGTACAATGAATCTGTGATAGTTCTTACACACACAAATGCATAATTTTATAATAATACCCGTAAGCTAAGTAGCCGAAATACTAAAAAAATGCTAGTAAGCGTGCGAAACAGAAAAAGAAGACAAATCTTAAGTCTTCAAATTAATGGCCATAATGGTTAATTAAGAGTAAAAAATGTGACGGGTATTAACTCTGTCTGTATTTAAATACCTCCTACTGTGATGACTCAGTATACGGTAAAATGATTTGGTATACGTTTTTTGCTCCTTCAAACTTTATTTGTAATGACGACGATAAGATATCGTGAGCATAATAAATGAAAGTGTAATAAAATAGCGTTTACGCGTAATAATTTAGTTAACAGTCTGCCATGGAAATTACATGGGGGACGTTTTTGTTACTACGCGGCCCTACGTTCTTTACTTTCCCTACTAGTTTTATTTTTACACGGTTAGTGTTTGGTTTGCCTGAAGGGAGTCGTTCAAAAGACTAGGAGAGGGTTATTAAATTTTTAATAACTTGCATCCTGTAATGGTCGACGCCTTGCAACCTGTTCTTGAACTAGTCTTAGAACGAGAACCGAGAAAATAGAAGCGAGTTAGTTCTAGTTGCTCACAAAGACATCAGTTATAGGATTGTAATGGGACAGTTGTAAATATCTTTTTTATGTTAATCTTTATGTTTGAATTATTAACCCATTTAAAGAACAGCCGGCAAATAAATTGGACTGAAAACCTATTAGTAGAATTAAGTTTCAAGTTAAAGTTCCTTTAAATAATTTATATTTCAAACTCATTTTCTAACTATTCCTAACTAGTTATTCTTATTTTTTTAAATGTCAAGAATTATTCACAATAATATATACTCGTATCATGATTTACAAAAAAGGTTTTTAACATGGATACAACGTGGAACTTTCCAAGTTTTTTTTATCTCCGACGACGACTTACCGCTATGAAACTAAATATTTTCATTCATGTTTAAGGAACGGAAAAAAGACACGACTTCTTCGAATCCACGCAGCTTTTTGCACAAAAAAGGTGAACGTTGATGTTAAACATAAAACTATCATGATAATCGTAGCTCAGATTTATCCCTTGACTAATCCCAGTTGTATACAGTGTTATTATCATAATCTCAACCTGTAGCTTTTTATAAATATATTTAATACATGACAATTGGACCTTGAAGCTTGAAATATCATAGGTGCATCATACATTTTACCCTCAAACGTTTCTATTTATTTCCTAACGCATGAGTGTATCGTATATGTATATCGTGGTGGAATCCACCTAGCAAGTAATGACTATCTGCAAGGAAATAAGAGTTATTTCAAACTAAATTGATGTCAATAGCTTTCTTTCTAGCCACCTGCCTGTGTTCTAAAGCTTACACGAACTATTAGAAGTCAGCGTGGCAACAAAAACGTCAATCGTCGCACACAGCCTATATCTCACGCGAGTGCATGTAATACCCCAAGAGACCGTCTCCTTGTAATTCGCTAGTAATGACGGTAATCATTTTATCATCTTCATACCAATAGCTTGCGTTTGTACAGAGCAATAGGGCCGCGGAGGACCGTGCGAATAAAAGGTAAAAGACGACATGTTTGTAATTTAGTGATTGTAGACCTCTTATAGTCATGATCATGAATAACATTTATCGACCAGAAAATTGATCTAAACGTACACGAGTAATTTTATTTTGATTCAAGTTGTGAGTTAAACAAGTATTTTTATGGGACGTCTGTTAGCGTAATGGTTAGTTTAGCCGGGGATTAATGAAGCAGGCATTATGTTTATTCTAGGACTGTTTATTACACCTGTTTTTTTTTTCGTATTCAACTTTTTTTGGTTTAGTTTTTTTCTGCGCTAAGAATAGGAATGATTCAAAAGTAATCGCTATAATTATATTATATCCCTGCAATCTCTACATTATTAAAAATATTTTTCTGATATTATTTTCACTGAAATGAAACTGAACTCAATATGGCCCCTGTTTCCGAAATAAATATTATTAGTATAACATGCGATGATAAAAATGGATAATAAAAGGTCAATGTCCCCTAATAATAAGATAACAAGAAATGTTATTGTGGATAACTAAATTGAACTTATAACATTAGTTACATAACATTGTAAGTTCAATTTGGTTATCCACTTACACAATATAAATATTAAATTATTTATGTAATAACATTCGTGTTGAAAATTATTTTATTTATTGTCATGCTAAAAAATGTAGACAAACTAAATGTAGGTATAACAAATTTTAATCTTTAGTATCAAAGAAAACTGCGTAATTACTTATAAAAATCTGATATTTTGTGTAATGCCTACTCACTCGTAATGTGATTCATGCATTTCTTTAATATTTTAAATGCTGTTAGGAAAAGTTGGTTAGTGTAAAATTCACGTTTTATACCTGTGCACAGCAGGCTGCTTCACAGTCTGTGATGATCACTGGATAATGTTCAAAGTTCACAGGAAACTAAACTGTCCCGGGGCTGGGAAGCGAGCACTGGACCCCGAAGTCCCGAACAAATGAACCGCGAACTAGCGAACTTTGGTGCTCGACACCGGCGCGAATGTTCGGAAAACGCGGCGAACACGCAGCCGGCCGGGCGTCTCAAACCGAATGAAATGGTGAAGAAGACGCCGCGGTCTTTTATAGACGTGACCGTAACCTGACGCCGGATAACGGGCACCGCCTGCGCTCAGCCACCCGACTAGCGACCGTGCTGCGCGGGCGCAAGGGCCATATTCTCCGCCGGGAAAAGCGCCTTCTTGCTGTAACAGATAGATAGAATTTTCAATAAAGCGCCCGGAGCTGAACGCTGCAATTCGCTGGTGTTAGCGCTTGCATACCCTAGACGGAAGAGGACACGACGGTAACATAAATGGCATCGGTTAAGGCCATCGATGCCAAACCAAAACACTAAGTGCACTCTGACTGTTTGCTCTATTTACACTTAAAATATAACTTAATATAAAATATCATCGCTAGTACTTATTAGCAATTGACCGCCATGGTTCCGTGAGCTTTTAAATTGCACTTAACCCCTAAGATGTTTCTTGATTAAAGCTACGTTTTTTTTTTCTTTTCATTAAGTGCAATGCACGCACATTTCATCAAAATCCGTTAATCCGTTAATGTGATCAGTGTGATATATATATTATACTAGCTGACCCGGCGAACTTTGTTCCGCCCTAATGGCAATAAATAAGCAGACTTTTTTTATTTCGAACGGGATAAAAAGTATCCTATGTCCTTCTCCTGGCTCTAAACTACCTCCCTGACAATTTTCAGCTAAATCGGTTCAGCCGTTCTTGAGTTATAAGTGGAGTAACTAACACGACTTTCTTGACGGGTGTTACTTTGCATTCTTGCCATATTTACAGAGGTTATTATATTACTGATACTGAACACAAATCCGTAAAAAAATAATGCCCGTAATTTTTTTTTTTTAATCTTGAGTATTTTATTTTATCGACAACCTGTTAAACACACCACTAATTATCGTAACGCATGCACATCACTTGTTGGCGATGGCGATGGAGACTTTTTTACTTTTTATTGTATTTTTAAATATCTATTGCAATCTATTGTCTTTAAAATGTCTTTTTGACATTTGTAAATAACTGAGAAATCCATCAATCACAAATCACGTTATAAATAATACAAAAAATGACTGAAGTGTATTCAAATAACGAATAATTTAATCAAAATGGTGCTTGGAGTGTCTGCAAGACGTCTTAGACGAAATGCTTGATGACGTATCCTTAGCGTTACACCAAATGCCCTACTACCAGCAGGATGGTGCTCCGTGCTCCCCCACAATAAGGACGTCAAGTGCGCGAATAATACGTTTGGTAAACAGTGGATTGGACGAGGGGTCCAGTAGCTTGGCCACCACGATCCTCGGACCTGACACCAATGGATTTTTAGAGTGAATTGAAACGACTGGTATGCGCAGAAGAGATAAACAGTGTAAACGCGTTACATGAAAGGATTGTTTTAGTGAAACTGTGAGACAAAACGTTTATGTGTTGCGAAAACTAAAGCGAAAAACCTACGCTGCGCCGTGCTAGACTGTGCTTTCATCAGAACGGAGGACCCTTTGAACACTTGCTTCGCAGTCCGTAAACTTTGTAAGTAGGAACTTATAAATAAATAATTAATTGTGAATAAGGTGATTTCATTTCATACTTAATTTATTAATTTGTAAAAATAGGGTACATGTTATAAATTAATTAAAACCCTAATAATTGTTACGTATTTTTGACGGTCCTAAGCCCGTAAAGTAGAAAGGAAAATCGAAATCAACTAAAGAGTATTTTTAAATAATTATTATGACTGGATAAAAAGGCTGGTACCCAGAGCCATAAAACAACAGATTATTAAGAACTAGGCCACGCCCACTAGGTTTATTCCACTTGCACCTGTAGAACGTGCGAGACAAAATTGGTTTATTCCAATTTGTACTGAAAAACCAAATTTACTAAAATCTTAGTGTACTTTCTTTATGGGAGTCTCTTGTTTATCTTAAACAATAGGTATTGTTCCCTACTTTTATCTCTGTGAATATGGCAAGAATGCAAAGTAACACGGTGTATATATAGATATGACGAGTGATAAGAATAAAAAATAAATTAATTGAGAGGTACAGAAAACTTTAATATACAGGGTGTCCCAAAAAGTAGTGTCAAGCTGAAGCCCAGAGGTAGAGCATCACTAGGGCTACCCGAATCACCGCGACTTTTGATAGATTCGAGTTATGTTTTTTTACAACATACAGGTTTACATTGTGTTATGAATGTAAATACTTCTGAATCAGCTAGGTCTAGTCTTCATCTAATAACAATACAAAAATCAGGCATGTAACTACTGGCGCCACAGTGACCAAAAAAGTGTAGGCACAGAAAGCATTATTTTAATTCTTACAATAGCTCAATTTATATGTCAAACATATCACATGTCAAAAAATGTCAAACAAGCATAAATTATGAATAAATCAATACATAAAGTGGCATAATGATAGGTTACACTGATGTATTAGTTCATTGGACCGTAGCGAGGCAGTGAATGAAGTGTTTTGCGTTTTGCACAACGCGATTATAGTAAAATTACCGCACAGAGCGCTATAGATTAATGCGGTTACGTGCTTGGCACCGGCAGCTTCACACTGGTCCTGACATGTGAACGAGCAAATTAGATGAATGCGGAACAAGAACTCGGTTTATGTGGGAAAATATTTGCTTTCTTAAGCCTTGTAGATGCTGTTGAGGTTAACGTTACTGTGAAGAGCAATTAAGTGTGTGTACAAACATGATTCAGTAGGCAAAATTGATGCGATGAATGAACAAGAAACAGCGAGTAGCGCGCACCGTGTTGAATGGCACCGCGACAAAAAGCGTTTGTGGAATTAAGTGATTATTTACAAACACAATACTATAATTACGTCGTATCAGTATGCAAACTAGATATTGTGTTACTGTGAACTCGCCTACGTTATTAACCTAGAGATGGATGACAGTAGTAACGTATTCATATCACATAAAATAAGAAGGAAATCAAATATTTATGGGCCTTACACTAAACGTCTGACAATAAAGGCAAGGCTCTGACATCACGTCATGCATTTACTTCTTTATGATATGACATCAACGTAACCGTATAATAACGTCACTGTCGCCTTATTTATATTCTAACTTAGATTTGGTCGTAAGTTTATAACAGAGCTTTGGATTTCAACTTAACTGAGCTGTCCAACAACACCTGCGCCTACTTGCATTTATGGCGAATATTTATAATAACAAATTGCACTGTTGGCCTTTCAGTGACGTTAGACATCTTGCAATTGCCTAAGACATAAGAACATACTTAATTTTAATATGGTATATGTTTTATATGATTTATTAAACAAGTTACTGCTTGACTAAAAATATAAATCGACCGCTAAAGTATAGGAGGTGAGGTGCTTCCATAAATAATTACTTATTTAACAGAAAATAAATTAACGCAAATGTTAATGTAAAATATTTTTAAATACGTCACCTACCTAAAGGCGATTTAATTCCACTGCAGGAACTTATATTTTTTTCAGGAACTTCTAGCTTTACAAGTTTGTTTTGATTATGTGGTTCCCTCAATTTTACCTCTTTACTGATACATCATAATCATAAAATGTGTTTAAACCGAAAGAAACAAAAAACGAACTTAGGTAAATTATGCACTCGAACAATAGCTGCAAAAAATATAGGTAAGTTGTTTTACAACCTATTACTTAGATAAATTTTTCGCAACTTTTATTTTTCGTTGTCAATGGCAATAAATGTTTATTATTCAATTGCTGATGAAACAAAAGTCAAGGAAAATGCTTTTGGTAATATACGAGTACGTAATCATTATGTAGCTCGTAAGAGTTCTTTATTTATATTAGACTAGCTTTCCGCCCGCGGCTTCGCCCGCGTGGATTTTTGTCTGTCACAGAAAAACTTTATCGCGCGCGTCCCTGTTTCAAAAACCGGGATAAAAACTATCCTATGTTCTTTCCCGGGACTCAAACTATCTCTATGCCAAATTTCATCAAAATCGGTTGCGAGGTTTAAGCGGGAAAGCGTAACAGACAGACAGACAGACAGACAGACAGACAGACAGACAGACAGACAGACAGAGTTACTTTCGCATTTATAATATTAGTTGGGATAGAGTTAGGACAAAAATCACCTAAAAACCATACAGCAAAAATGGTAAATTGAGTAATTGTACGTTGTAGGTTGTAATTGGTGTAATATATTGCAGCAAAAATTGTGCTGTTTCGTTTCTTTTCTTTTTTTGCTTTTTACACCAATCACACTCATCATAATAGTTTACCGACATGAGCCATTTCAGGAATCTGTTAATTATTACAAGCACTCAAGTACCTTAATGAAATATTTAAAATCGCATAAAAAACATTCACACTAGGAAGTTTAGTAGTATTTATTATTTCTGTGGTTTAATTACTCTTGTACCTACTATAAATATTACCTAATGAGAAGTAGAAAATTAATAAAATGATCATTTAAAATGAGTTTCTATGTTCTGCCCGTCTTAGTATCGGTTAATGACTCCCCGTGCAATAAAAACAAACGTGCAAACTCGGTCTTTTTAATCTCACTTCCTGCGGTTTCCCAAAGGAGGATTTAAGGCCAACTGTGCGCCGTACAGCAGTGAAAGTTAATGTCGATTCGCATTGCTACTCATTATCTCCGCGATGAAAATCTTAAATTACACTGCACACGGAATGTCTTGATCTATTTTTATTTGTGTAAGATTCAATTACTCGCTTCTGAGTGACTGATGGACAATGCCTTAGGCTACTGCTAAGAAAATAATAATTCTTTGTAGGCACAGCGTAATGAACGTCGCCGCGTCGCTTGATGAAGAGAAAACCATTTAGTTATTTTGCAATTAGCATAATTAAATAACTAATGATATAACATTTTAAGCCGAAGTATGTATAGTAATGAAGTTTAGAACATGTGAATAATACAAGTAATATCAATATGAAAGAGTTATTTCATCATCATCAAAATGTTTATGTATTAAAATTCATTTATTAGCTCATAGAAGTAGTAGTTAGTTTTGTCTATGAATTACTAACAGTGGCAGCAGCGTCAATCTGATCATACTTCGCATGCCTTTACAAGCACCTTCGTGCTTATGAAAGCACATCAAAGGTTGATCCCGGTTCATATCAAGTACCTCAAGACGTCAAGCCATTATTAAGGGGTGTGAATGACCCTTCACCTATCGTGGCGTCGTGAGTTGAGGCCTGTATCCTGCAAAGGAACCTGTATCGGCTTACTTTATTTAAAAACAAGTGCTTAGTAAGGTACTAACGGTATCAACGCTATGTTTTCCGCAAGTCGACCATGTCAACCAAATATTTATTCTTTTGCTAAGTCACCGCAAACTAGCCTAGTACATATTCGTTTAACATTCGAATATAGCACGACCTGGCGCGTGGTCGGTAGAGCACATTAAATACTTACCTATATGATATCAGTTTTTTGAATGGTGCCATGAGAACATTATCCGAATGATTGCATTGCATATCATGTGGGTTATTGTGTTAATGTTGCAGGCATTTATACATGTTCATGCGTTGTAATGGCTACCGCCAGGGAAAGAGGCGGTCGTGCAGTGACACTGGCGCGGACTCATACCTCGTCAGAAAGTGATGATACTCGTAGTAATGAAAAAGTAACGACTGTACCCATTAAAAATAAGGGGGTATAAAAATATTGAAACGTTGTAACCAGAAAAAAAATCTGGTGTGGTCTTTGGTGGTTCTACAAGAGGCGATAGAGACGTTCCATAGTCGCGATCTTTAGTAAAGCCGCAATAAATCCTGTCATAGATCAATTTTTTTTCAGTTGTATATTGTTTTTTTTTTTTTTTTTTTTTTTTAATAGTATTATTACGGTTTGATTCTGGGTCTTCTTATTTCTCGTCTTTGTTTTTATTTTTGTTTATTAAATATTTTATTCTTGAAATTCTAATTTCCTTTCGTGTCGAACACCAATCCTTTGAAAAACGTTAAATAACGTTGTTTTTTTTACGTTTTTAATTTTCAGAAAAAGGCAATAAGACAATTTTGGTACATTTGAAAATTATAAATAACTTGAAAAATATTTATAAAATCGAACTGCCTAAGGCGGGAATTTAACCCACTACAACATTAGTTTGAGATGCGACTCTTAACGCTAAAAATTAAATAATTTTGGTAAACATGATAAGTATGTTTGTGAGGACCGCAACAGAATTCCTCTACCATGGCTGTAGCTACGATAGAGTCGAGCGCAGACGCATTATGTCTTGGTGGTACCTATACTACGACTCGCTACAGTTGACGTTTTTTAGGGTTCCGTAGCCAAAANTTCTGACATTAAATGCCAAAAAATCTAAACATATAGCTTTCCACAAAACAATAAAAACACAAGCACCTGCCTCGAAACAACTTAGATTACATCTTTGTGACATGATGAATGCTTTAAATTNTGGATATTCATAATCCAAAATAATAATACTTTATAACAGTATGTTGTTACTATAGTATTGTATAATAATGAGTAGGTATCTACTACTTAAAGATTTCTTGTAAATATGATATGTCTATGTTTGTACCTTTCCTAGGCTACCTATCTCCGTCCGATGTTAGGTAGGTAATTGTTAATAAAATTATTATATGAAACAAGGTTAAATTAAAATGTTATTTTTCATGAGTTATACTTATATAAATAAATATTTGTAGTGAAGACCTGTTACATAATGTGTTATGCTCAGTTCATTTTTCATAGCATAATTTAGTTATTAATTTAGTTATTGGTTGAATTCGTTAGTTGAACTTCTTTGTATAAAATAAGGGTGGAGGTGTTATGTATGGAGGGTAAACCTTAAACTTATTATAAATACTCCTGTATGATGTGTGGTTCGCCAGTTCGCAAATAGACGTAATAGCAAACAGACCGTTGTTTCATTTTATCACAATAAAGTGACTTTCATTGATAAATCATTAACATCTTCTTGAGGACAGTGACAGTCCGGTGCCTCCTCTTGACTTCTTGAATCACCCCAACCTCCATAGTTCATGTCCAAGTTAGGACAATACTCACAGCCCGTTTAATTGTACATTAGTAGATAGTTGTCCCGAAACGGTGATACATTCAGAAAGTTGCCGATTAGGCAGCAGGGTTCTGGAGTGGAGGCCTCGTAGCGGCAAGCGCAGCGTAAGAAGCCTATCAACAAGGTGGACGGACAGACGACCACATAAAGAAAGGCGCTGGATGCAGGCCGCTACTGACCGGCCAATCTGGAAATCATTGGGTAGAGGCCATGTTCAGCAGGCTGTAATGATGATGATGATGATGAAAAAGAAAGTTATGTTAAGAGTACAACTAGTGCTCTAAATGCTGAGTATGTTCTCATATTACGACTTTAGAAACTAATCCACGCCAATAATACAAAACCTATCAATCTATGACAAACGGCTGTGCCAATTCCCCACTTCCTAAGTGTTACCCGAGTAATAAATTACGATTTCCAGTTTTAGCACTTTTCTACGGACACCTAGAAAAGTGAAATGACTGGGTAACGTCTCATTGCGAACCTGTTCAGAGTAACGGAGCACAGTCATGCGTTTCCTGTTTTCTAAGAAACATTTCATAAATGAAACGAAGATAATAATATAAATACAAGTGAATGTAATGACAGCATTTATTTATGCACTTTCTACTATTCCTGTTTAAATGGATTTCCAATTAAACGCGATTTTAGTCGTAGATCTAAAGCAAATAAATTTCATGGAAACTTATTTTTAATAGAAAAGTCCACCTCAGGATTAAACGTGCAGTACCTATCCTCCAAAGGATCTGTATGCTCGAGTTAAAAGTTACTTAAACGAGGAATTTCTACTCCCTAGAGAAATTAAAACACTCAAGAGAGAGTCTTTATATTTTACTAGCTGACCCGGCGAACTTTGTTCCGCCTTAATGGCAATAAATAAGCAGACTTTTTTTTTTAATTTCGAACGGGATAAAAAGTATCCTATGTCCTTCTCCTGGCTTTAAACTACCACCCTGTCAATTTTCAGCTAAATCGGTTCAGCCGTTCTTGAGTTATAAGTGGAGTAACTAACACGACTTTCTTATCATATAGATATAGATTCATATCGTTGCCAGAACATATCATATTTCTAGGTCATGCGACTAAACTTTTGTTAAATGCCATCGAGAAGGAAAACGCGAGAACTTTAAACAATAGACAGATGGGTCACATATGATTGTGATCTTTTTATTTATACATAACGGTGTTTAACAGTCAGTTATATGGGCTTTATTAAAAATATCTACTATTCTGTTACGTTTAATGGAACAAATAGTTAAAAATACACTGAAAATAAAAATACACATGAGTCTTTATTTCTTACAAGATTTTTTTACGACTTGTAAGATGCATGTACCTAACTAACCCTAAGTAAAATAATCTCATTTTCACAGTTCATTCCTGTAATCAATCTATGTATCTAGAACCTTAAATGGCACAGAACTTTGTTTTATAAAATATTGTTATATTATAATCATTTTAATCATTGTGGCATCGAAGATAAAACATTAATTTTTGGGCAATCTTCAATGGTCCTATCTTTTTATTAATTTTATTAATACAGGTACTCATTAAAAAAACTTTGTTTGATGTTTATTATTATTAAATGCGAGCATATGATATCTTGGCTGGGCTGTGTGTGGTTGTCGGGGGTGGTGTAACTGGAACGGGTGCTGAAACAAAAAAATAGCTTAAAATACTGCAGTTAAAATAAAAAGCACAAGCGCAGCAAAATAAGGCAGAGTTGCACCACCTAACTTGACCGTAACTATGACGATAGCCGGTGTTTTTGTACGGAGTTTGACATATTTTTGACGTTTGTTAATGTTAAAGTAAGATGATGCAACCCAGGTGTCCAGTAGTAGGTACATTCATTGAGATGGATAGTACAGGTACAGGTTTATTACAAAGGTATCATAACATAGCTGGCATTGAAATTATCCAGAAGAATAAAAAAAAAGATCACATAAATAGCGTTTTGGCCAAGATTGTAGCAGCTACTTATTTGTTAATTTGTTGTAAGATCAGGCTCCGTGCTTTGTGGACGATGCATCCAGCAGGGGACTGGCATAAGCTACGGGACTGTTCCCACCTCTTGGTCTCACCTCTGCAACTCCTGTGTAGCCAGGATCTACAGTTTAGCTGCTAATAAAAACCCAACCAGTGAAGGTCAAGTTTGTCCCGGGGGAAAGTTAGAAGGTGACATAGGCTAGTTTATCATTCTTTATAAAGGACGAAGCATACTAATCAGCTCGGAAACGGATTGTAACCATATCAACTCGAGGCTGTCAGTAGTTATTCCTTGTATGAAACTAAGAAAGGCGATAACATATTAATCCCTTTCCGGGTTGTTAAGTGTGCTATGACCTTTAAGCATCCAGCAGGGGAGTTACATAGGCTAATTTTTCATTCGTCATTATAAAGCTGGTTAAGGTTTTCTATCTCATGCGTGAACCACGTGAAACCACAACCTTCCCGCGGCGGCAAAGGCCGGCATCCCTGCAAGTGACATGGATGTTTATTTATCTCACTGCGTTTCTTTCTCCTCCCATGTACTCGTAGTAAGTTTGATCTCAGAGTTTCCGCAACTGGCAACACATTATAACGAGTTGTTAAAGTTTTAATTTATCGTTTTAAGAGATTCTTTGATCCACTAATATTTTTCTGTAAACTCGCATAGCAATTTTTTCCTTTGTAAAGGTCATAGCACACTTATCAACCCGGAAAGGGTACACCGTGTCGCCTTATGCCGCGCTGTCAACTGCGAAGAGAGGCGCTTACGTTACGGTGCGGATAAGTGTGATTTTCATACAACGAATACTGACCGTCTCGAGTTGATACGGTTACGATTCGTTTCCGGGTAGATACGAGTAAGTGTGCTTCCTTTACCCTACTTACCCTTCGCAGCGATCGGCTCTACATAAAGAGTTGGCTCTTCGATCCTCCCCTCGAACAGTGACAGGCCGAGGTTGTTATCCCTGATGAAGAAGACAAAAGGCCTGTCCACTTTCAGTTGGACCCCATTCTCGATCAACGGTATGACCTGGGAAAATAAACAAATTAATATTAATCAGACACCTTAGTCCTTAACATCGTTCTTTTGTTTGATTAAGCTGTTGTTGTGAATGTTGTATCTCTTTTAGTTACAGCCATGAAAGTGAAATAACACTACAAAAAAATGTGTAGGCTATGATTTTTAGTGTTTCATTCGCAAAGGGTGCTAATATGACTCTAATATAGTACTTCCACTATTCGCCTTCTGTCAGCGAGCACTGTACTAAACTTAACTGAAGTTAAAATTTTCACAAAATGTGCGAAGAACAAAAGTAGTTAGGTAGTGCTGGTAGTATAAGTAAGTAACCGTTCGTGCAAGACCAATTCGCATTTTCATCAATATTGGGTCATTTATGCCCGTTTTCACCATCAATCCCTAATTTTTAAGTGACCCCTACGTAAACAAAATTCCTGTTATTTGTTGTTCCTCAAAAATTAGGGATTGATGGTGAAAACGGGCATTAGTCTTATTAAAAGATAAATATTTGGGCTACTTGACTCATCACATTTACACGGTAAGAATAATTAACAAATTAAAATTTTACCATAGCTGCAGACGTGGCCGCAGCAATGGTACCCTTTTCATCGACCATCATGTGGATCTTATGGTAGAGGCTGTTCAGCAACGGAGAACCACCCTCGAAGATGCCAGAAAGATTCGCTTTTGAGGAGAATAGGCTTGTGACACGCATCTGCAATAAAAAATGGTAACAATGTAAGTAAAAATTTATTACCTATCTTGCAGATATCATTATAACATGTCGTTATTTTTAAAAAATCTTCGAACTATACAAAACTTATGATGCATGGTGCATCCTGATGGACACAGAATAATAGGCTGCTTGCGACCTGTTAACCTGAATAAGAATTCAGAAATTGACAACTTATAATGATCATAATTATCATTACCATGAATAACACAATGAGAATCCCACAACTTCGCCCAGTTTCAGCAGTGTCAGTCCTGTAGTTTTTGTGTTAAACAGTGATAAACATCAATCCATCATAAGAAAACTTTCCACTTTAAAGTATACTCACGCTTTGCAAAGGCCCGACCATGTTCTCGGCGTAGTCAATAGTGAACTTTGGCATCATCAGAGTGACGTCGGTAGGCTCCATGTTGCTGACGACTTGGTCCAGACTCATGTAGGGTAGGTCTCTAATGAGGACTGGACACCCATCCCGGTCGAGAGGCACTAGGATGATCATGGCGTAACGGCCACCCTGGAAAGAACATATTTTAAACCTTAACGTGGAAGACAATAAGAGTTTTCTTCTTCTGATTTTTGAGGATGAATAAATAAATAAAATATTTTTTTTAAGCAAGAAACATTTACAAAAGCCGAATGACAGTCTTGTATTAAGCTAATTACATGCTATAGTGGATTGTAACATAGAGGTGTTGGTAGCGGTCCTCGCTCTGGGTATGCACCTGTATCACGACAAACCAAGTTAGTTTCTATCAGCACTGGTCTATTAGTGTTCCGGCGCAGTGGTAAGGTTGATGCTAACTTCGTCATCAAATTCTCGATTGATTCCGACTCCGCTATCTATTGGTTAGAGAAATGGTTCAGGTTTGCTTTCTTCGATGAGACAAATAGGGGACACGTCGTATTTTGGTAATTTTGGTAGCGACTTTGCAAGCTTTACTCCGATCATAAATTTGATAGATAACACATGAACCCGGTCTAAAGGGCATAACCACACACACGATAGAAAGAGGAATAAGTTTAAGTTGCAACTTTACGCAAAGGGAGGTTACTCTTGCATTGTAGGAAACTTCCAATGTAGGTAAATTGTGGTAATCTAAATGTAGGATCATCTAAGATTAGGTAACGTTACGTAGAAGTAGATGCATTTAACAACAACTGCAAAACTGGTTATGAATTTATATTTATAGCAAGAAATTATTTTGATGATACTTACAAGGAAAACCTTGAAGCAGTGCATGGAAAGTCAAGGTTTTGCTGCTATAAACACACAGATCCGTAATAAAATTTTAAGAAAGACGTCTGGGAATTTTACAGTTTATCAATGAAGTTTTGTGTGAAAGATTCATAGCCAGTATCGTGACTAGACCCATCTCTCAAACACATGCTTTTCATGACTCAGTTGAGGGATAAAGTAAAACTACAATATCGTCTCAAAATGTGCGAAGATTTATAATAAGCAATCGAAATCCCGCAAATCCTAAAACCTATTAGGTAAAATTATTATTTTAGGTGTGCAGGTGTATTGGCAATGCAAATATGTTTTAACCAACTTTAGTCCAGTTAGTTCCCAAAGACACTATAACTAACTTTTCAACATTCGATGCTTTGCTAGAAACTAAGGTACACCTCAAGTACCACCAGTCAACTGATGCAAAACGGCCAATCTGGAAATCATTGGGAGAAGCCTATGTCCCTCAGTGAACATCCTGTAGCTGAAATGATAATGATAATGAAAGGCAACAAACCTCATAAGGCAACTCAAGCGCATGAGCCCTCAGCTCCTCAATATACGCGTAGTTGATCTGCGCGCGCATATCCATCATGGCGACGTTTTTGCACACCCCATGGCTGTAGAAGCACGCGCCTTTGGTCAACTTCGGGTCGAAGGAATGCTTCCAAGATCCTTTGAAGTACAGCGCGTTGGCCAGCAGGACCTCGGTTGAGGGGTTCACGTTGACTGGAAATATCAGCGGTAAAATAAAAACAATATAAACATAACAACAATCAAATACTGGCAAAGATTAGGCCAATTTTTCAAGGGTGTTCAATTTCAATTTACGAGTATTCTGAATATTTTAAATAAATTAATACAGAATGAATGACATTCAAGTAGCCATTTTTTAATATAAGTTATTTTTTTTTATTAGTTAAAGATTATTGCTCTAGCTAATGACCTGTAACAATAAAATACATACATATACTTTATTTTACTCACACAAAAAAAATCGAACAGAATTACAAAGTGAATGTATAAGATACGTTTGATGTTCATTCTTGTGTGAGTCTGATCATTCTGCCTATGCTAGGTATTTAGTATACCTGTATTACAGGTCATCAGGCTCCCACCACGTCAGGTCACTAATAAGCTTTAATTTTACACTTTAATATTATTTTACTCGTATCGAAATTAATAACGCCATATAGCAGGAAAATTGGTTATTCTAATTCAAAATCCGTCAGGTTTTGTGCAGATAATGTATTGACACGTCGAGTTATCAGTAAACCTGCAACTGTAGATAATGTAAAATCCTCCTTACCAGGTTCAACAATATCATTGATCAGCCCGTGTGTCTTGGTCGACACCCATTTGTTGATGAAGTTAGAGTCCGCATCAGGATTTGTGAAGTTCATTTTATACACCTCAGTCAGGTACACATGTTGCATCATTTGTTCGTATTCTTTTTTCATCTTTAACTTCGTCGAGATAAACACTGAATTGGCGTTATCGAGGACGACACCAGATGAGTTTGCCTGCGTAATGGAAAAATAAAAATTCTTTTCAATAGAATTATGATAAAAAAGTACTACAATGAAATGTGGAGGTGGAAAATGTAGACCTTTATGTCCCTACTCCCAATTTTGAATTTACTCGCAACAATATAGTTTTGTATTACCAGTGTTTATTAAATGCTAAATTCATTTTGCGAAATCATGACTGAACAAAATATTTTGTGCACACAATTGAAATCAATCATAAGGCGATTATCACACTGCACCGCGCTCCGCCGCGGTCCGCGTGGCGACATATAAAGAAACCCGCGCGCAAACGCGTTGTCAGTGTGTTGTGCCGCGCGTGTTTTCTATACAAACTGAGGTATTTGCATATAATGATTAAATCTGTTGTCCCGTGTACCGCGGCGCCGCGGCGGAGCGCGGTGCAGTGTGATAATCGCCTTACGCGGTCCTATGCGACCGCTTGGGGATTTTTGGTAATAAGGCGTACCTAAATCTTTCTTCCTGCCCAAATAATTATACCTACTTACTTAGCATTCCTAAGATTGTAGACTACTTGTCTAAGTAGTTTAGTTGAATTAAACCTACCTTCAAACCCTGAAGATACACATTCAGCTGTTCCCTATACTCTTGCTTATTCGGAGCCAATCTTAGCGCGGCTCTGATCTCCGATTCTGTTGTCCCATGAGCTCCTTCCAGAAGCATGGCAAGTGTGGATTTGATGCTGGCAGGGGAGACCATGACGTTTCCCTTTCGCTCCTCGGCGCAGTACCGGAGGAGGTCGATGTCGAAGTAGTTGAGGCGTGACGCTTCGGAACGGAGTCCTCCATTGACGTGGATCGTTTGAAGGGACACGGCCAAGAGCACTAGAAGAATAAGTTGGTATTAATGTGAATGTGTGATCCGACGACCTCATAAAGGTAGCAGGAAGGCGCTAGATGCAGGCCAGTACCAACCAGTCAATATGGAAATGATTGGGGGAGGCCTATGTCTATTTTCAGCAGTGGACGTCCTATGGCTGAAATAATGATGATAAATAATTTGAATGATAAATTTCACCGACTGTTCGACGTTTGGTTTTCGGTACATGTCTATTGTCCATGGAAAATTTCCAAATGATGAAGAAGATTTTTTCGATGAATTTGAGGTTTTCCTTACGCATATTTTAATGACGTAGTTTGGTGGTTAGTAACGGACTAAAATGAAAGATTTTGTTGTAGGTTCAAATAACGCTGGAGGAAAATTAAAGGTATGGGCATTTAGGCTCCAGACGTTTATTCCATTTTGACATTAATTAATCCGAACCGGAACTAATAAACTCAAACGGTGCAATTTGATGAAAGTTAGACATTCATTAGACACCAAAAATTACTTTAGGTGTTAAGAAGTCTTTGTCCATACAAACAAGAATACAATAATTAGAGACAAACATAGTAACGAAAATGGAACAAAAGACAAACGAATGATCAGGTAGTCTATCAAGTTTGCTCATCAATTGGCCATATCCCATGTTTCTTAATCTGATAACAACAAGGGTCAGTTTCGTACAAAGCTTTGTTTTTAAGTGGATAATGACCAAGAGGAAGGTCGTAAAGACAATAACAAAATAACCGGTATAAAACTTACCGAAACTAAAAGCTGTATAAAATGCCATTTGTATGTTGATGATTGTATTCGCAGAACAACACAAAATTTCGGAACACTAGTACGTTCAAGGAATAAACAATAACTGAGAGGAACCGAACGGTCCGGCCCGGCCAACAGTGAGTGAACGGATGATTAATTAAATCATACAGCTATGCTATTAGCAGATTGCGAACTGAATGATATACAAAAGACAGGTAGATACTTTAACAACTTCTCGTGTGACGTAGGTAGCTGGTTTTTGCGTAGAATCTTGTCATTCCGCTTCAAATCTAGATGCAAGAATTAATTAAGATGATAGGTTTGAGGATGAAACCACGGATGACGAAAGGTTAAAAACAGTCAATAAACAGATACTGGATATTATAATACAGCTAATACACGTTGCAAATTCCCGTAATAAATTAAAATCCAGCTGTTGCAAAAATTTAAAGCGAATGTTACGACAAAATATCATCTCAAACCTAATATTTCAATTGAAGGAGGTTCCTAAATGTATGGTTTACATAAAGGTACTTTCCTTTCAAATTACCTAACGTCAACGTGTTTGAATTAAGGATTCCAATATCATACTGCTAATGCTAGCTAGATGAATAATGATGTAAGTTTGCATATAATTTTTGGCTAGGCGTTTTGAATTTGCTTCGTAGCGTATGCCTTTAATCTTATAAGTGAATGCGGGACAACTAATGAAATCCCAAATCAAGATTTATGAACAAGTTCATATCGCTTCATATATTATGTAGCCTAATTTCATGCTGGCCTTTGTTCTAAATTGAATTAATAACTAAGTATGTAGATTAGTATGACGCGCAGAGTAAAGCTACGCCAATACCACAAAATTATTTTGTTGCAGTACCGCATTATATTGTGACCAAACGTTTAAACTCAGTTCGCCACGTTACATATTTTTGGAATCTTCACTTAATTTCCAAAAAAAAATCTCTTTCTCTTTGAAGTAAGTCAACCCAACTTCTCAACATCAGCTCTCCAAAAACTCCTAACTAAAGAACACTGTTGTTGTCATGTACTTCTACAGCAATTCCTACACTCGTAGGAATATTTTATTTTCTGCCTCCCAAACAAATTACAGGCTTTTTAACTGTTCGCTGTTCTAATAAGGACTTGGGTATAATTTATTAAACAGGTATGACAAAAATAAAAAACAGGTTTAGGATCAAAATGACATTTTATTATGTGTTTTTATGAAAATGCAAGAACGTAGAGTCAAAGGCATCAATGGCACATGCTTGAATAACCTTGGTTTAATTATATTTTTACTTCGTATAAATGTTAAACAGATCACAGATCGAATCAAAAGAGAGCCATCATGTACCTACTAATATTCTTAACATTGACTTCTATATCGTGCCTGATTTCATACATATCATGATAATTTACATGGAACTTAGACTAATGACTTAAACAATATTATGCCCTCTCAGTAATCACCTTTCCAAATTTACTTAAACGATAGCTGTATCCTATCTACAATATTCTAGCACTTCTGGCCACGTAAGATGGGTTTACTATGCAAATATTTTATTGAGGAATTACGTAACCAAAAAACTGACCACATTATCATAAGCTATTAGAAAAACAATTATACGAGCAATAGGTACACTTCAGATCCTTATCAAGTTCAGTTGCAAAACAAAATTACCCTAAGCAAGACCTGTGGGAAATTCTAACTTAAGAATCAAGGAAGTTTCAGTCAGCGATTACTAAAAGGGCATCCCTAACCCTAAAATAACCTATGAGTGTTTGAAAGAGCCATCGGCTAAGGTGGGGTCGGCTACTCTGCCTGTGAACAGCAGTTGCCTGGTCGTCTCATCCTGGATCAGGAAGAAGAAGGGCTTGTTGGCGATCACCTCCACAGCAGTATCGTCGTCCTCGCCGAATTTGTTGACTAGAGATATTTCTGTAATGGAAACAAAAGCTTTTAGTACAGGTTTTATGTCTTATTTTATTGCTAGTACAAGATCTGTAGGTCTAAATTATGCAATTGACTATTTGTAGTCAAAGTCCATACTATCAGCCACTGCAACTGCTGTAGAGCCAGGATCGACAGCTTTGACTCTAATGAAACCTATTCAGTGAATGTTGAGTAGTTTGACGAATGGCTAGTTAAAATGCAAATTATAGCAGAAATTAAGATTGCACAGCCACAGTAAATAACTTATTTAAATTTCTAGGGTCCAGAAGTTAAGATTGTGCGAATTGCAGTCACAGTAAAAATAACTCATTTAAATTCCTAGTGTCTTAGTAAAAATAAGGTAGGTGCAATAGTGCTCGCCATATTTTGATCCTTACAACTTTGTAAGACCAAAAAATACCAAAAATATTGAACTTTCTATGTCTGTTAGATGGTTTATCAAATAGCAGTACCAGTAGCTGAGTAGGCCACACTTCCGAGCTCGTTGACCTCGATGCCCGACCGCTGCAGAACCTTGGAGACCCTGAGGCGCTGCTGCAGGGACTGTCCCCTGGCGATGCCAGGGAACGACGCAGTGTCCTCGAAGGCTTGTCTGACACCCATCTGTAAAAGCAATAACCATTAACGTTACATTGAAATGGTTTCTGATTTCCTACAATCAATAAGAAAATTGGCATCGTCATCAGGTGAGGTAAATGTCTCCAATGTAAGCAAGCCCTCTTTAATCTACTTTAGGTAAATGGATGATTTGGCACATAAGTTATTGCCATTTAAATTCACATAATACATAACCCAGACACTCTAGACTAGTTATTGCCTTTCCTGTAAGGAAAATAACATCAATTTCCTTTTAGTCATACTTACGCAAACATGTCAATATTACAGTTCTTTTAATTACATATTTTAATATTTATAGGAACAAACAAGCAAGTTGTTCTCAAAGTTAATAAAACAGAAATCAATATAATTATCATCAATATACTTACATCTCTCAACACGCTGTCCAAGTGCGAGGAGAATTCGAACTGGAATCTGGGCAAAGTGACGTCGACGAAGCGCTCTTGTAACAAATCCATTTCGGGGCGGAGCTCCGTCAGACCATCCAATACTCGGTTCAGACCAGTCAATGAGTTGGGAACTACTACGTACATTGCAAATTTGTAGCCCTGGAAAGATAAGAAAGCATAAGATTAGGCGCAATGAAGAAGGAATTCTAAGCCACGTAAGTAGAATATAGAAAAATTGTCTAACGTGTTTTTTTTTCGAAATAGAATGAAATTGGTTTCATAGGAGTTTAAACTTACCATGTATGGCATCCTGAGGATCTTAGCATCGAATTTGGCAGACTCAGCATAGTAGAACTTGTCCTTCACATTCATGAAATACACTGGCTTAGCTATTTTCGGGGTGACGTAGAATTGACCCTGCTTGGTAGCGTTGGGTGCAAACTGGTGGCGCCAGCTGCCCTTGAAGTATAGTGTGTTGAGGATCATCACCACCACGTTTTCGAGGTCATCTGGAAAATTGAAGAGATAATTTTAGCCCCCATTGCAAACTTCAAACCTTATGTATAATATTTTTAAGAGCCCACTGAAATTCAAGAAAGTACACGCAAAGTAACTAACCTTGATGTACTAAGTCAGTGATCCTTCCCTGGGTAAGGTTAGCAACCCAGTCGTTGATGGCTTTGGCGGCTGCAGGAGGGTTATGGAAGTCAATAGGAGTCAGATCGGTTTTGTAGGACTCGTGGGCAACTGCTGCAAACTTCTGACGAGGGTGGGCAGTGTTCTCCACATAGATTTTACTACCTAAGTCAAGGACGTATAGGGGCGATTTGTGCTGTAAAAGAAACAAATAAAGTTATATGTATGCCGGTAATGATTGCACGCATTGTAATGAAAGAAAATCATCTTAATTTGTACATTTTTAACTTAAGCACAATAAAATTAAGGCTTTATTTACCTGCAATGAATTAACTATGTTCGCAAACTTTCTTCTAACAGCCACTCTATCCATTTCAAAACCAAGCACTGACTGCAACTCTGACCTGGTCAGTCCGGTCGCGGCTTCCGTTAGGATGGCCAGGGCTAGCTTCAGACCCAGGGGAGACAGAAGGAAGTTGGTATCTGAGGAAGCTGATAGCCTCTGGAAAGAACAAGTCAAGTGTAATGGTTAATTTCACTAGGTACGTCGTAGAGGTAAGTATAATACCTATAGGGTGGAAACGAGAAGTGATCTACGTGATTATTTCTAAATAATATGCAAGGTATCAAACCGGTTACTGTACCTCTAGTAGGAAAAACTTTCGAGTTCGTTTCGTTGCGTATTCAAAGTGTCATCGAAAAATTTTGTATGAAAAATTAAACAGCGCCCCCTATATTATAGCCGCCCTAGGGGGCGCTGTTTAATTTTTCATACAAAATTTTTCGATGACACTTTGAATACGCAACGAAACGAACTCGAAAGTTTTTCCTACTAGAGGTACTGATCCTAAAAGTGCTTCACGAGCCCTATCAAACGATATCAATAATTTACAGACTAAACTGAATCTATCCGAAAATTCAATGTCTTGTTTAGGGTAAGTAAAGCTCGATTAGCTCGAAAACAAGTGCACTTATTCTTGGATACCACGCACACGCATCACGATGTGGACGAGCTTATAAGTCACGTTCTTTTGAAGATAAAACCTGTTGTTGTCACGTGTTAAACCGTATAAGGACCGGTCGGCAGATCTCGGTTCTTAACCTTATCCAGTCCTATTTTCTGTTTTCTGAAATTTGTGTTTTGCGAAGAATTTTTGGTTGACGAATTCCAGTTAAACAACGCTTCCAGTGCTCTGACTAACTTGCGGGTCATCAAACTTCAAATTATATGACGAGTAGGTAGTAAAATTCCTGCAGTCAACCTTGGCAAGTACGAATATTTACCTGTACATCAAACCACTATACCTACTATAGATAGGAACCGTCATGACGATATCATACTTGCAGTAGGTAGGTTACATTATAAAATTCTTCAGTCAGATTAGATTCGTTTTAAGACCTAAATCAAGAATAGAAATAGGTCGTAGGTACGTAGGTACTTAATAGCTATCAAAGAGCTTGTATAAAATAAAATATGAACTAAGTAAATGTATCATGATAAACATCTATCAGTGGACTCTCAACTACCTACACCTCGCCTGAATTTCCGAAAGGCTTACCTAGGAACAATTTAGGTAATCTATTTGCAAACTTACCTTAGTCAAACTCCAGTCAAACTTGTCATAGTCAGCTACCGCTGCTGCCGGCAACTCATCTATATCCCAATAGTCGGGATCAGTGAGGGTTTCATTAATAGGTTTCACAGGCAGGGCCTGGGCCAACGGCACTCCACTCGCAGCAGGGTCATGGGGGTTCACAGACGCAGCGTAGTTGCTGGGGGTTCCAAACACGTTAATCAACGTGTTCGGGTCGATTTGTTGGGCTACACATAGTGCTGGGCCCACTGGAAAGGAAATAGTGAAGAATATAAGTTATACTGCTAAATTGGGGCGATGATGATGAACGTACAAAAGAGGTGGACTACCCCAATACTGAAGGGTTTCTATCCTTATTCTTAAATTTCGTTTCCTATTTGATCCACGTAGAGTTAAATCAATTATGCCACCAGTAAATTCTAGATGTATTTTTGTTGTATCTGGTAGGATTTTCCCTAATTTGTCAGTTTCTGTTGCTCACAATTAGGTTTATTTTGTTAATAAAGTAATTTATTCTCATATCTTTTGAGCTCTTGTAAAAATTTACTTTACTCCTTTAGACTGGTTTCCTTATTCTTCTTCTCATGAGTTTATTGTAATTTGCTAGACTGATCTTAATCATTTTTATTTTAAATTACATGTAAATCAGAATCACAATCTATTGTGTTAGGCTTAGTAGCCATTGTGCCATTAGGTTGCAGTCTATCCATCTTTGGACAATTACAATAACAATTAGGTACGTAGTTGTATCAAGTGATTAGTCGTAGGTATTTCCACTGTAACCTACCGACCTTTAGATAGCGTTATCTACGTCATTTTACAACCGATCATTAACTCTGACTAGTGGTTAACCGCAAAAACCCAAAATCCGAAGGTGACCAACCAACAAATGAATTTGTAATAAGTTACCTACCAGATAGGTACGAGTAGTTGCTATTTTGTGGACAGTGGGCATTCAATTGTTTTCCTGTACGATATTGTTTTGTTTGTGGTGTAAAATTATTACCTTTAGTAAGGTAGTTAACTACTATTGCCTGTTCTGTGGTTAAAGATAAAGTTGTTTGCTAACAAGTCAACGATTCTCTCGATAATCGTTATAATATAGCTTAGTCCAATCGTAAGTAATGTGATTTTTGTTTGGGTAGTTTATTAAAGGAGTTGTCCCAATTTCGGCCCAGAGGTTATTTTTAAAGATGAAAAATCGTTAGGCAAGTCTGGGTTCTTGCTTGCCATTTGTTTTCGGTATTTCCTTATTACAGATGTTTTTAGCTTACATACTCCTACTTCCTGGCAGTTTTTACTGTCTGTCCGTTGTTACGATTTAATAAGTTACCTAGGTAGGTAGTTGTTATGTGTTCTTTTTAACAACAAATTGGCAATATTTGGGCATCTACCCTCACAAAAACATAGAAGAATACTGAAACTAGTATTGAAAGATTTTTCAGAATCCGATCAATCTTTTCAGACGCTATATTGTTTATGTTGATGTTGGTTACACAAATGATCAAGAATCATACATAAATGATAAACGATTACTGTCTTATCCAACCTACTCAGTACAATCTCAAAACATTGACCCAGATGAGGTCATTCTGTTTCTCGACAACAAACATAATTTTTAAGATTCACTTGTCTCTTAATAAACAAATAATATGGGTTTCTACAAAACAGAGTATGAATAAATTGTACATAGGTACCTACTAGGTAGGTATGGCTGCTTGAACCGTGACATTTTGTTTACTGGTGCGAACGTCCTCATTGCTTGGAAATACCCATATTAAAACCGACAATCGCGAGTTTCACGCTTCTTTAAAGGCGGTCTGACATGTCTCTTCCAACAAAACCACTTAAAAAACATAGCCAAACACTTCTAAAAACTGGACATCACCAACTTACCTACAAAAAGTGCGAAATAAAATCTTGGAGTCATTATGTTGATAAGGAAAACACACAGAAAAATTAACTTCAAGGCGATTGAGATCCGGCCTTTTAATTATATTATTTTGGAAGTTTTGCACACTGTTAGCACCGCACAGGGTATTTGTAATGTTTATTGAATCATGATTACACACAAGCGGCCCAGTCCGTGGGTAGGGCGCGACTGAGCTGGCGAACTCAGTGGTCGGTCAGTTGATTCGATGACGACCTGGGAAGGTATGACCGGTTTGATGAGTGATCAGCCGGGCATTCTATTTATGTTATGAGTGATGAGCCTTGTAGGTATATGTGTGTAAGATTCGCAAACTGTGTATTATCTTTATACGACACATAATACACAGTTTGCGAATCTTATCTGAAAAATTACCAAGTATAGTGTACCTAATTACAAAAATGGTACTTGGTACTGACCGTACCGTTTTTTCGCCAGAAAATGCCTGAAATTGCATACCCACTGGCCCGGAGGAACCAGTGGGTTATGTGAGGCTCCCCCTGCCAGATGGGCAGGGCACTAAAACATGATGGTGTCCTCCCAAACTCTGGGATGGAACTGCGAGTTATTGTCTAATATACTGACCGTACCTAAAACAACTTCACTCCACAACAGTTACGCTAATTAGTAAATTGGACATTAGTTATTACTCGTAGATAACGTCTTTGATTAAATTTTTATTTGTGCTCAAAAGCACACAAAAGCAAAACGGTTGCGGGTTCGAATCGTATGTGACATAGCTTTTGGCAATGCATGCATGATACTGATACCGCATGGCTTGGTTATGCATTTTAAGTATTACCTAATGTCAACTACCGACCTGATTCCTGACCAAAGTTATCGAACAACTTATGAAGACCGTGGATGTTCCAGTGCCTGCTGAGGAGATCCTTCACGTAACACGGGTAGCCAAGCTAAGCAAAGACAGCAACAGAATTATGTTTATCCATTTTAGTCGTTAAAAGAAGTTACCTACAATTTCTGGTGTAGAACCTGGCTACACAGAAGTTGCAGCGTTGGCAACGAGAGATGGGAATACATAGTTTATTTCTGGTGCTAAATTATTGGACAGGCAAAGCACATTATGCTCTTCACAAACTGCCTCTCTTGGGAAACGATCTAGCTCCCTTTATCTTTTTTACTAAAGGTGACTGAGTTTCTTCCGCCACTTCATGTTGTCCCGAAGTGGTGGAAGGGCAAGCTATATATGGGACGTGTATAAGTGCCCTACACAGAGCCTATGTACTGAATAAACTATTTGAATTTGAATTACCGTGACCAATATTTTACTGGTCAACTTAACGCATTAACCTGGGGAGTTTTGGGGAGTCTTAAAAGGAAATAGGTACGTAACGTAGTGCCCATCGCACTCAATGGTATTTCGAGATATTTTATGACGTCGACGACAATAGTAGTTTCATGACGTCAAAACAAATCCCACATACAGGATGTTGCTATTAATTGTCGATTCAGGACAAACTTGGTACAAAAATCACATCACACATGATTGTAACTACACAATTTTATGCTCTGGGAAACGATTAGGTATTACTCAACCATAGAATCAAGTTTTTAGTTTAGATTCGTTCGCGTAATTTTTAAATCGCTGTACCTAAATGTGTTAATCGTGGATTTTCTCCTCTTCAGTTCAGTTTAATGTCCACGCGATGGTTAAGAGTTACGATATCAACCACCACTGTTTAGGGTTCGATGCCAATCTTACTTTTTTTGTATCTATTGCTCAGACAGACGATAACGATCGATCATTCCTGTGTTCTGATCGAGCCAAGTCTGTAGCTATTAAAGTTGTAGTCTATAGGTACAGTTTTCCCGAACCACATGAAAAAATAGAGATAATAAACGAAAGTATTTAAATGACAACACTGTAAAAAATTGGAGAACAACATTGGAGTGGACAAGTGTACATATTGTAGTGTGATGACCACATCGTAATGGACAGTAGCTATTCTATTCGGTCAACGTCCTATGGTCATTTCCTAGTATGTATGTGTAATTCGAATCACAATACTATCAGCTACGCTAATCCAATCGTAGGTAACTGTGAATTTGTAACATAAAAGCATTAATATAGGACTAGCGCTTCTCAGTCAGTGACGTGTGAGAGCGTCACGGGCGGGAGGGTGTTTTTGAGCCATCAAATGTTAGCCGGACTTCAGTTATGCTGTGGCACGTCATAAAATATCAATGTCCCTCACGTGCCGCTCCAATACTACCCGTGTTCGCGCTAAGTTTGCCGGTCCGTGGAATGCGCGTCCCGTCTTCCAACCGCGATTAAACGCAATTAGTTAGTGATTAAACGCAATTGATGTGTCTTATTTTACGCAAATACACAATTTTTTATCAATAATAATAAATAAAAAATATTTAAATTATAGTTTGTTAAGTTAAATATAGACGCTTCCCTTCGAGTGACGTCATATCGCCAGCGGCAAACTTAAAGGGAACGGATAGTACTTCAGTTAACGCCTATTTGAATCTATCTACCTCCTTTACCTAATAAATCGCTTCCTGGTTAAGTAATGACTATGATGCAAATCCAATACTTCACGAATCAGATTAGTCACCAAGAAGCAATATACGAAGAAAAAGTACCGTTAGTGTAAACGTAATTAATAATTACACTCAGACGAGGAAAAACCAAACGACAAATAAGGTGTAACTAATGGTACCACTATACAAATACCATGAGGAAAAGTTAGTCTGTCAAAGAATAAGTACCGTACCGCTGAAAATTTAAAAAAAATCATACAGGTTGAATGTTTAGTGATTTGAAAAATATAAAATGTCTAATAAGTGTCATAAAATAATTCCAGTTTTGTCAAGTACTTAATAACTGAATGCCAAATATTTGGTGATACCAATTCTGATCTCTAAATCTCTCAACTGCATCCTTCTCACTCGATGTCTGCTTGCGACAATAGTGAATTATAGACCCTAAATAAAAATTATTAGCTTACTAAACATTTGTCGTTATAAATTGGTGCGTTTGTGCTGTCACCCTCTATCGACTAAGGACCGTTTTCCACTAAAAGGGGAGGTGATAATTATGTGCATAGACGATGCTTTACTCAACCATTACCACTGAAGCTAAACGGAGACAAGACGTGTAAGAAATTGTATTAGTTGCTTAAAACTCTTCTCGTCTTCTTTTTTCCATCTCAGCTTTAGTGGAAAACAGCCTTAACTGAATAGAAATAAAACACATGTTATAAATACCAAATTTTTATTTCACGTGTTTACTTTGGATGTACAGCCAGCATGTAAAGGTTTTAACAAAATAATAAATAAATACTTTCTACTATAATTCACTGACACCACTCGCTACATAATATTGGAATAATAATAGCTGCCTCTTAATTAACCTACTTTATTTATTAATTAATCACTAATTTAATATTGTGATTGCTGACTGTACCAGTAAAGTAGTACATAAATAACAATTCACTGAATAAAAAAATAGAATTTAACGTCAAAATTATACAATTTACGAAAATAACAACACTGTTGAAGGTACATTTATGGCAAAGAAACGCATAGCGAGATTCGACTACACATTTTTTAAATATACAATTTTTACATTTCAATTTATATACAATTCACTAGCACCAATACATATTGCATAAAGACTTGCTAAAGGCTTTTATTAAATTTTGATCGAATTTTGGTAGCATTAGCAAAAGTTCTGAAGATGTTAGATGTTAGTTTTCCAAATTAATCGAGATATACAGTATTGTATGTATAGTATAGTTATGAAACTATAAGCCAGACTACATTGTAGTACCTCCTCCATTTTTGAAGTCGGTTAAAACATGAAAAAGCGGAAATTATAAAACAATAATACTGGGTTCTAAAACTAGCGGGGTTAATCAATTTTTTTGTGATATTTTAATTTGAGCAGAACTTTTACATCGGTGCTTATTCACTTGTCTTAAAGCTTATTTTAAGTCGTTTCATGTTCACAAGAAAATAAATTGTTGCTTAATAAAGAGACAGTTTGATTTTAGAAGTGTGGTATCGACAGAGTAGTAGAACAGGACTACCACTCTTCGCGTGGATGTCGTAATGGTGCGTCCAGACTGGGCGAACGACAAACTCGACATCCTGCTCACTCAAGAGTAGGGTGAGCAGGATGACCAGCGTGCCGCGCGAGCCTGTTCGCCCAGTCTGGACGCACCATAAGAAGAGACAAGGACAAAATATACGAATAACTGGCCTTTCCAACCTGTCTGGCCAGCGTTAGGAGTTTAAGCCAAATCTTCCATAGAATTGAAATGATAAATTTTGAAATGATATATTTTCTTATGAACATGAAACGTATTTTGCGACTATATTAAAGCTCACGACTTGACGTGCCGGGGAATGTGACCATCGGGCGTGCTTGTGAAGAGAACCGTCAGTACCCATAGGTGTAGACATATCTGTGGACAAACAGCAGTTTCAATAATTGTGTGATTTCGAATGACGTCCACTGCTGGACAAAGGTCTTTGGAAAGATGTCCACCACTATATAAATAATAAAAATAGGTGATCACCACTCGAGAACTTTTCTGTCCCAACGGCTATTCGTTCTACGAATGTGCTACCAGCTATCATATCACACCACTAATTTGGATGTCAGACCACCCAGTATAAGAAGTTTAGAACGCTAATGTAAGAAACTATAATCCGGGCCTTTTCAAGGCGAGAGTGAATAATAGGCACTTACATACAGGGCAGATATATGTACCATCCTTGAGTGCATCTTACTTAACACCAGGTACGAAGGCGGTCAAATACCTGCCTTGTCCTGCATAAAAAAAGTCATCATCATCATCATCATTTCACCCACAGTACGTCCACTGCTTAACATAGGCCTCCCCCAATGACTTCCACATCGCACGGTTGGTAGCGGCCTGCATCCAGCGCCTCCTGCTACCTTTATCAGGTCGTCGGTCCTTGTGGGTGGACGTCCCACGCTGCGTGGCCTTCACTCCAGGACCTTGCTGCCCCATCGGCCGCCATACGAACTACGTAGTATCTTACCATATAGATGACAATGAACGTCCTGAACAGCGGGTGCCTCTTCATAGCGACGCTGAATCGGACCGACAGCGCCGACAACGCCGACACGGGCTGGTGGCGGGACCGACATCGGTCGCGGTCTTCTACGTGAACGCTGTGCGTGTGGTTGCGTTTCCACATCACCTCTGTTTTGAGTTTCAAGATCTTACCATATCATCATCATCATCATTTCAGCCATAGGACGTCCACTGCTGCTGCTGAACATAGGCCTCCCCCAATGACTTCTACATCGCACGGTTGGTAGCGGCCTGCATCCAGCGCCTTCCTGCTACCTTTATCAGGTCGTCGGTCCTTGTGGGTGGACGTCCCACGCTGCGTGGCCTTCACTTTAGAACCTTGCTGCCCCATCGGCCGTCAGTTCTGTGTACTATGTGCCCTGCCCATTGCCACTTCAGCTTGCTAATCCGTCGGGCTACGTCAGCGACTTTAGTTCGTTTACGGTTTATTAAAAAAAATATTTTCAAGAAAAACAAAGATCTTACCATATAAATGACAATAAACGTCCTGAACAGCGGGTGCCTCTTCATAGCGACGCTGAATCGGACCGACAGCGCCGACAACGCCGACACGGGCTGGTGGCGGGACCGACATCGGTCGCGGTCTTCTACGTGAACGCTGTGCGTGTGGTTGCGTTTCGACATCACCTCTGCTTTGAATTTAGACTGGAAAGTTTTAAATGTGTTAGTTCTAAACATCAGTCTAGACAATGTGCACATTATAATCGCAAACCAGTCGAAAATGGACGAAAAGCATTTTTATTGTATGGAGTTTTGATGGATTCGATTTTTGATTCGATCAAAAAGTGCAACTTGTCTAGGGGGGCAGGATTATGAGAAATGAGCCATAGCGAGCACGCTATGGCTCATTTCTCATAATCTGCTGGCTGACCAAAGAGCACTTTGGCAGTCCTTTGTAATCAGCGTAATTTTGAATTAACTCAATGAGCAGGCTCAGGTAATACCTACTGAGTTGACGCAAGAAACGTTTGCAAGAGTGATGCCCGTTTTCACCATCAATCCCTAATGTTTAAGTGACCCCTATGAAAACAAAACTGATAAGTGTTACTATAGGGGTCACTGAAAAATTGGGGATTGATGGTGAAAACGGTAATTAGTTACCCATCTCTTAGATCAGGTTCTTAAGGAAGCCAAAAGTTTTTCATGTAAGATCTTAATATTAAAGGAATATGAACAAAACCATTCATTTAAGACACACTTGCATGACCACATGACCGGAATATGAATAAGTTTAGAAAAACAGCAATAAAAAAATATTTAAAACCACAGATCGGTTTAATTACGCGAGGAGGAAAATTTTTATTTAAATCATATAAAGATACCTACTAGGTTTATCAACAAATAAATGGCGATTAACAAACACATCACAAATAGAACAGTAAAAACACAACCCTGAATCATTGTTTACTCAAAGGACATTGTCAGAAACCGCCTAANTGGTTTGTTACCCACAGGCTTCCAAGTCTTGAAAAGGGCCACCTCTACCAGTGTAACCCTATCAAGGCTTACAAGCTTGATGCGCCTATCCTTGTTCGTCCCAGCCGTTCCTTAACTGCGGTTGCTGCACCTCTTCCTGGCACTCACCTGAACGACTCTGTGTTACCTACTGTGGCTGCCCCTCTTCCTTGTATCCTCCTGCATGACTACGTTGCCTAGCCGTATGCCTGGTTTAAGGTTCGACGCCAAAAATCAAGAACAACAAGTTCATATTAAAACGCTGAAGAGTTTTTTGTTTGTTTGTTTGAACGCGCTAATCTTAAGAATTACTAGTTTGATTGAAATCATTATTTTTGTGTTGAATAGCTCATACATTGAGGAAGGCTATAGGATATATACAATCACTCTACGACTAATAGAGGCGAAGCAGTAAAGAAAAATGTTGCAAGTACGGAAAATAGTATTTAAACTACTTTCACGCGTACAAAGTTGATTTTGTGGCGTCGAACCTTGGACCAGGCATATTTATATTTATATTTATATTCCGATTTAATCAATTTTTGTGTTTAATTCTACTGGCCTACTACTTCATAAAGTAATCAGTGTCACATTTAATAGCACATTAAATAAATAAGATTGCATGGGAATACCACAGAAATGTCGTGGTTTCAATCAATCACAAACATTTAGAATTTAAACGCGAATATGTTGTTAAATTACCATATTAGGAAGAACTGTAGATACTATCAGAAACATCTGCTTAAATCTAGGCAAACCAATTTTAAACTTAAACAAATGCATCAAGGTCTAAAATGGCGTTGATTAAGTGAGCAAAAAACCCAGGAACATTACACATACTTTGGTTATTAATATTGTTATCGTGATATCCACAAGGAAAATGTGCGTTGAAACGAGAATAACAATTTGTTTACTATAGGGGTATAGAGGTCACGAAGTATTGGAGATATTTCAGAGAAACGCAGTTACCTATTATTTACTTAATGCTGTTTATTATTAATGTGGCGGATTTTTGGTGCGACGATTGAAGCGGTAAATTAAGGTTTATATATGTCAACGTGAAATTGTGAACTCTGTCAGTTTATAATATAACGCGTTAGATTGTAAACTAACAGTGGGTTAGGTTAGGTTAGATTGTAATTTATCTACGTCAGATTATAATCTGACGGAATTCACAATTTTACGGTGACATATACACTGATACAATTGTTTCATGCATGACTTGTGTCACGGTGCATTTACGGGTATTTACGGAGATAATACGTGCGTGCTGTTATTTACTCTGGTAACTACGAGTACAGACTCTCGCCCGTATTCACAAACATTTCTATGCGGTCTCACAGTGCGCGTGGACGCAAAGAGTAACACACGAAACAATAACAAAGCTCTATTCAACGCTCTGCGTTCGATTTGCTGCTTCACATAAGCAAGCATCGTTTATAAATACGGGCATTTAATATTATCTCTGTCACTCTTTTAAGAACCAAACTACAATGTTAGTGCAGCCAAAGCACATCAAGCTAAATACTGGCACCTTATGATATGGTAATAGGAACTATTTTTTAACAAAAATGTGTAATCTGATGTGCACTCGACCATACAATATACAGATTCGGCATTTCTAATTTGGGAATTCCAAGAAAACTATATTTAGCATAACAAATCCTTTGAATAACAATTTGGATAAACCCGTGCACTGACCATAGAACAATTTTACCATATATGGCCTTTTTATTGCTTTTGCGGTTAGAAACGGCCAATCATGTTCTGGTTTTTAATTGCAACGAGTAACATCGTTTACGTTCTGCATCCGATCGTTATACGAGAATGTCAGACTCAATAGATGTAGTATTTGTTCAGTTACGTGCACAAAAAGTATACATACATAGTTCATTCAGCTACGTAGTTTGTTAAGCTGTAATTTTTCACTATAGAACTATTTCCATTTGAATCGAATTTTCTTGGATTCGGATCGGATCGAACATAATCGCTCCGACATAATATCGAAAATAAACACCCAGACCGATAAAAACATATAAGTACTCATATGGTCATGTTACTTGTATCATTAAGCGATTATCATACTTTATCACACTGCGCCGCGCTCCGCCGCGGTACGCGGGACGACAGATTTAATCATTGTATGTAAGTACCTCAGTTTGTATAGAAAACACGCGCGGCACAACACACTGACAACTGGGATTTTTTATACGAAATCACGCGGAGCGCGGCGCAGTGTGATAATCGCCCTAGGTATGTCCTGTGTAACCTACACGTTAATAGGTCGCTGACTTAGAGAAAGTAAAACACTAAATAGAAAAGCTATCTCGTCTTTCTAAAGAACATAAATAGCTAGTTCGTATTCTGTAAAAGTTATGGAGTGTATTTTGAACGGGGAAAGCTGGGTTTTACCACCTGTGCCGACGGCTGGGCCGCACACTGGATCGAGCCCATACAAAGCGTTGGACATCGCTTCCTTACTCAGTGTTTTTAAAATAAAATGAGATTGCGTCAACGTAGTAACTTCAAATTTTTACAGTGTAAGGTTGACAAGTTTATCTTTCTAATGTGATAGATTTTACTTATTAGATGGCAATTAATATAAGTGAAAAAAATTCTTAAAATATAGTGATGAAAAACTTGTATTTATTGTTCAATTAAAAGCAAATACTCAATCATTTTGGTCTGTTTCCATATTTAAAGAGTAACATAGTCTAACAATACTCTAAATTTATTCTCATTAAGTGTTAAAATTATTAAAGAAATATTTTTGTAAACGCCTGATTTTTCATTGCACACAATCAATTTGTTCGATTTTGTCGAGCTTGATTTCATATTCTGTTAACTGTTAGATACATAATCTAACAATACTCTAAATTTATTCTCATTAAGTGTTAAAATTATGAAAGAAATGTTTTTGCAAACGCCTGATTTTTCATTGCACACAATCACTTTGTTCGATTTTGTCGAGCTTGATTTTATATTCTGTTAGCTGTTAGATACATACTAATGCAATTTTATAGGGACTTAGCGGACTACAAAACTGACTCCAATCAACAGATTGCCTAAGCCAATCTACGTTTGTAGCTAAAAACTGGTTCTCATTATAATGACACTACTTCTTCTTGCGACAAACAGTGTCAATGAAATTATTTTTTTTTTTTATAGTTATCTGATAAATAAAATGTGTAACTCAGTACCTACCTAACACAATCATAAATTAAGAAAAAAATACATACAAAATGTATGTATGGTATGTACTAAATTCAACGACAATCTTTTGAGATGATGACAATATGATTTTTTTACTATATCTGTTTTATAGTATTTCTTTATGTTCATAAAGTATTAACTACGTTAGTACTTACCTCTGTTTATCTGAAGAGAGTGTATGCGAAAACAGCTCTAGTATCCTAGCTAAAGAACTAGCGCGATCTTTCATCGTGGTTTTTAATAATGCATACAAATCTCTATTTGACTTGAGGTTTTTCATTTTAATGAGTATTTTTACTGAATTGCACACGATAAACAACTCATAAACCAAAATAAACATCTTTGGTTTACCTGACATTATTTTAGTGTAACGAATTTTACCTAAGTTAATTTTGCTATGCGGAAAAATGAGGCGCTTTTATTTAGTTTTTTGTGATTTTCTCGAAAATATGGATGAATAAGGGTCTAAAAACTGAGTAATAATATCGCCCACGTTGTCATCTATCATCTCTCATTCATGGTTTGTTAAAGATCGCCCAAGATGTCAACTAAAACACGCAGTTTTCATTTAAAAAAATACCTTTTAAAAATACGTCAAAATAGCCAAGCTAGAAGTTTTTTAGGCACTCATTTTAACACACAGATTAAGATAAAGGTATAAGCTAATACATTAATAAGTAATAACATAAAACCAGTGAACGAAATTGGATAAATTGATAATACAAACAGAAGTCAGAAAATCCATGATTTTGACTTTGTTCACTTTACGGTCGCACCACATAACTATGATAGTAGATCATGACTTGATATTAGTGATATTTGATAGAATGAAGTCTCATCTTTCAATTTATATGCAAATCAATCTTGTTTTAAGTAGTTGCATTTAAAGCACCATGTCCAACACCTTGTATGGGCTCGATCCACCGTGGGCCGTCACGAGTCGTTTAACATAGCGACACGAGTGGAAAGTTTTGCTCTAAAGATTGCTATTAACGAATTACCAACCAAATTATTTTTCTAAAATTAAAAAATTAAATGTTCGTGGTTTGAAGAATGGCCATGAAATCTGTCTACTGTACAGTCCGAATAGGAATTGAAAAAGTGTCATTTGAACTATTTTTGAGACGTATTACAAAGTAATAAGCGAGCCCGCGCACTGGCTGTGTATGGGAGATATTAAATTAAATAAAATTACTTAGCTTATGGTTAATATGGGAGTCCGCGCACTAGGCAGCCAAGTGTTCATATACTATTGGCTGCCTATTGCGCGGGCGGTCTGAAGGTGACTAAAAAGTGACACGTTTAAAGTTTTAATAAAAGACACTTACCTCCAACTTTTCCAACTGTATCCTCAGCATGTTATTATCAGCCAACAACGAATCGATCTTCCCTTGTTTCTGGACCAACGTCTCCGTCAAATAATGTATCTTATCATTGTCTATGGACTCCTGCATGACGTCATAGTCGGCTACATTCAGCGCACTCGTGTCTGTGGTCCGGATAGACGAGGTCGTGTTGCGGAGGTTGGTTAGCTCGTTCTCTTTGTCTCGTAATGCTGTACGGAGACTAGCTATGGTCTGGCCTGTCTCGATTTGAACGGTTTTCAACTCCTGGAACAATTTTGAGAATCAATCTATGAAATATACATGACTTATTTGCAGAATGTGGTAAATTAGATGTTACCAAGACAGTGCGGTGTAATAACCAAGACCCATAATCAAGATTAAATATTTTGGCACTTATGAACGTCAACTGTGTCGCGATTCCAAAGTACTTCTCAATCACTGCTCGAAGCTATGTAAAGTCCGGTTGCCGAGCAGATAGAATTTCGTCCAATGACCCCAAGCTACCCAAGCGCTCACACACACTGCGGCAGCCCATCGCACAGTCGCGACAGCAATATAATTACGTGCGAGCGATAAGGATGGGTAGCTTGGGGTCATTGCACGAAATTCTATGTGCTTGGCGACCGGACTTTAGTCAATAAATAACTTACCTTCCCTATAGCAAGGCACTGTGCCTCAGCCCTGTTCTTCGCAGCTCTCTCGTCCCTCAAAGCGTCTCTCAGGGCTGTCACCACGCGCTCCGTCGCGCTGTGTCGCGACTCCAGCTGATCGATGTAGGTCTCAACTACTGCCTCCAATATAAATGTTTTACCTTCTCTATAACAAGGCACTGTAATGGCTCACCTTTCCTATAGCAAGGCACTGTGCCTCAGCCCTGTTCTTGGCAGCTCTCTCGTCCCTCAAAGCGTCTCTCAGGGCTGTCACCACGCGCTCCGTCGCGCTGTGTCCCGACCCTAGTTGATCTACGTAGATCTCAACTACTGCATCCAATATAAATATCTTACCTTCTCTATAACAAGGCACTGTAAAGACTTACCTTTCCTATAGCAAGGCACTGTGCCTCAGCCTTGTTCTTCGCAGCTCTCTCGTCTCTCAAAGCATCTCTCAGGGCTGTCACCACGCGCCATGTAGCGACTCCAAGTAATCTATAAAGTTCTTAACCACTGCATCCAGCTGTGGTCAATATAAATGGCTCACCTTTCCTATAGCAAGGCACTGTGCCTCAGCCCTGTTCTTAGCAGCTCTCTCGTCCCTCAAAGCGTCTCTCAGGGCTGTCACCACGCGCTCCGTCGCGCTGTGTCGCGACTCCAGCTGATCTATGTAGGTCTTCATATCGTTACACTCGCCGCGCACTCGGGATATTGCGTCGGATAACACTTCGCGTTCCTCTCTGGACAAAATAAGTATTTTTTAATCTTAAAATTAATTTAACCTATTGATAAGTTGGTTTAAAATCAAATTCAGTAACAAATTACGCCGAAGATCTATAAGCGGAACCTTAGGGCGATTCCATTAACGCGGGTGTAACACATAAACGCATTTAATGCTCCTTCCTTAACGACACAACAAAAATGACCTTCAATAAAATCAATGTTGGAAAAAAAGGAGGGTTCAAAAGTACAATAGGTAGATCGTTTAATCCACGAAGACGTGCCCCACCAATTTTTGGTCGAGGGGTGCGGGGAGTTGGTCCGAGCAATCCGAGCGTCATTATTGTAGTGTGCGTGTGCACTCATGGATAATTTAGCGTGTACCCATAACACTCAAACATTAGCGGAAGAATGGTGGTGCGCGTCTTCGTGGATGAAACGATCTATATCGCGAGTGCAACAAATGGAATCGCCCTTTAATAAATCACAAATTAAATGGTGACACTCACTTCAATCCGTCCAACTGTTCGATCAAGTTCTTCGTGTCTTCAGTTAGGTTCATCCCCTCTTGTAACGATTTGATTTCGTTGTCTTTGGCAAACAGCATACTCTTCACTCGCAGTTTGTACGTTTCCCAATCTTTTTCTAGCCTCTGGCATTCGGCGTTTGATTTTTCTAAGTTGGCTTTTAGTTCACTTATTGTGGATTGTGCGTGTCGTAAATCGTTTTCTAGTTTTAATTGTGATGCGTTGTTTTCATTGGTTTTGTCTGTGAGTTGTTTGATTCTAGAAGGAAAATAAAAATAAAGAAATATTAAAATAAATAAAAAATAACATTTTAATACAACTTATATTAAAACACCTATCAATGTGTATAAAAAAACAAGTTTTAGTATTCAATGACATGCATTTAGTTAGATAGACTGAAGGGATAGTGATGCTTTTGATAATCAATTATTGTTATTTATTCCTCTTTATAAGTTCTAGAGATAGTAATCAGTAGAATGTCTAAGCTGGTGACCTATGGCAGGGAATAGTGTTTGTTGCTTGCAAAGTTTACCTTTAAAACAGGGAGTAGGTTTACTTATACTTTAAAGTTTTGAAGTACATACAAGAACAATCAGAGAAGTGTCTGAGCAAACTTAAACATAAAAGTCGTTAATTTCAAAACAATTTAATCAACATACTTTTCTTCTAGTTCCAAATTCCTATCTTTCAACAAACTGAGTTCCGTCTCCAAGGCCTGACTGTGGTCCTTTTGCCGCGCGACTTCAACCATTGTAATTTCGTTTATCTTGTGCTTAAGTTGTTCAATTTGTGTGATCTGAGAGTCTCTGTCTAATGTTATCCTTTGATTGTGCAGCTCTGAATTTTCGAATTTGATTTGTGTCTTGCTTAGCTCTGGAACCAATATAAATTGTTGAATAATACTCAGAAGTCAGAACCTAGATCAAGGACAAGCTAAAAATTATACATGAGAGGAAGCAAATATAAAGTTTTACTGCAAGAAATCTATTGTGATTATACCCTAGTCTAAAAGAAAAAGCATCAAGGAAATACTTAGCAGATCACATGAATAAACTACCTAATAACAATACATGAATAATGCCTAATTAAATAAAATTAGGATGAAGCTTCAAACATAAACAATTGAGATCTGTAGCTAATACATAATACACAAATAACATTAAAGGCACAATTTAGATCCAAACTAGGCAAATTTTATACATTTTTCATTCACTACAAGCAGAAAAGATAGCTAAAAACTCAATAAAACAACATAATTATGGTACCACCACCAATTTGACATCATGCCAACAAATAAACAAAGTACCTTCACTATAACCATTAATTTTAAAATTACCATCCTCCGTCCGACGTAGCCTGTCCAACAGTTCCGACACTTCTCGGTTCATGACGTTGAGTTCATTTTTCAACATGGCGTTTTCCACTTCTAAATTTTGCATTTTATATGTCAGGTTATGACTGCTGAGTAGCTCTAAATCTGCGGGCAAGCTGTATCCTGCAAAAAGGACAATGAATGATAATTTACCAATGTAATAAATCTGATTATAAAAGAAACATAGTTCTGAATTCATAAGAGAGATATTATCAGTAAAGAATTAACTATAATTTTCTGTTAACTCATCAAATTGATGGTAAGATATTATCAGAAGAGCCTTTAGTCTTAACAATATTTGTAGAAATAAAACTGCTTGGAAAATCTTTTAAAATTATAAAGCAAAAACTTACTGCGCTGTTTTAAACCATATTGATCGTCAACATCACTATCTTTTATGTCACCCACCAGAGTTCTTGGGCAATGGTTGAGACTAAACTGAGTATTAGGCTTTCTGTTAGGAGACTTTTTGCTTCTTGGTGTTCTGATGACTATGTCTTGGCTATCTTTACTTGGCGATCGAGGCTGGTGGGATGTAGGTGAAGGTTTCCGACTTGGCGTAATAGTGGCCCTAGTTTCCGTTGAAGTAGACACCTTCTTGAAGTTACGACCCGTAGGCCGCTTTTTCTGCCCAGCAGCAAATTCCTGATGAAATTCATGTTTTTTCGGCTTCCCCACATTATGGTTCCGCAATGCCGCGCCGGTCTGCTCGTCTAAATTGTTCAGCAGGTTCTCTGCCTTGCCGGCGAGGTCCGCGAACCATGACATTGTTGTAAATTTTATCCTGAAAAGTTATAAACATTTCGTGATTTACAAAAAAATTTCACGGATCATCGATCAAGAAAATACTTCATAAGGGTTACAATAGCAAGTTATAGGCAATTTTAAGCAATAGATTCTTACCAATCATTAGTAAAATGGGCCTAAATAATTTTCTTTGAATTTTTTATTGTGAATTTTCATGACAGTCAACTTGACACGTAAACATGATTGTTTTGTTCTGTCAACGTCAAGTCAATGTCAAATACATTTTTTTAGTAATGTTGGCAGAACTTAAAAAAAGTACATCTAATCGATTAGAATTCAATTTGAACTATTTCTTAAGTATCGATTCCTGTGATTTTCTTTTGGTGGACCACGATTCACCCCAATCTGTCACTGTCATCCAAGTTTAAAAAAAAGTGTAATTCTCTATGGTTTTAAAACTGTCATGGACATGGACGTGATAATTTTATCAGTTTAGTAAATAAAAAAGCTGTTTTAACTTAGAATCTTGGTGATTTTCATTTAGAAACAATGGATTTCGAAAGTCCTGACGTGGAAAAGGATTTTCCTGGCTTATATGCATCCGAAACTGGCCGAAAAAGTAATGAAAGCGACTGTAAGTACCTATTAATTAAAATCTGTAGTTTCTCTTTCTTCAGTAGATTTTTATACATTAATTAATAATAAAAGTGTCATTACCATAATAGGCAATGCTACTCTTTTTATTAGCGATTACCTGGGGAATGTTTCAATCTTACTGTGTCATCATTTAACCGAGATAATGTATTGTATGCCATGACTCAAAGCAACTCGTACTTTCAATACTTACGTTAGTGTCTTGAATCTTAAGGTTTATGTATTTTTATGTACCACCCTACACTGCATCTTACTATTACATCAAGTGATATTGCGGTAAAATACCTGCCTCTGTAAACAAAAGTTGATGGTATAAGCAATATTTTTCATCTGTGTATGAATGTGAATTTCTCATGTTACTACACTCGCGAGCAAAAATATGGAATCACCCTATTCGTTTCAAGCGATCACAAAAACTAAATGACTAATAGAAGACAAATAAAAATTGTACCATTTTAAAGGTAATATTCTAATATAAACTTTAAAATGATACCACATAGGTACATACATAGTCATTCAGTTCTTAAGATCGCTCAGAACAAAACACAAGTTGGTGATTCCATACTTTTGCTTGTAAGTATATTTTAAAGTCCTAGGGATTAAACTACTGTCTCATTGCTTTAGTTTTAGTTATGTCGGCCGTTTGGTGTAGTGGTTCGAAACGGACTACTATTCCGGAGGTAGCGGGTTCGATTCCCGCACAGTACAAACATTTGTGTGCATGAACATATTTGTTTGTATTGGACTGGGTGTTTTCTATGTATAATAAGTATGTATTCACAAAAAAAAAAGTATTTAAGTATGTTTATATCCATTGTCTAGTACCCATAGTACAAGCTTTGCTTAGTTTGGGACTAGAAGCGCAGTGTAAAATGTCTAAGGATATTTATTATTTATTTATTTATACTGCTAAATCTGAATTTATAGAAACCTTAAAATAACATAAAAAACTTAGTTAATTTTCATATTCGTTTCAGTCAGCGATGGTGGTGAGCATGAGAAACCCAGCAAGAAAGATCTGCTGGGACGTCGCAAAGAAAAAAAGGAGAAGAAAGACAGGGGCTATGCTGCTCTTGAAGGGGAAAGTTCCCCTGAAGAAGATACTGATGCAAAGTGAGGAGATGTTCTATTACTCTAGAATTTCATAGATAAAATTGCAGGGTTCGAGGATATATATCAAGATATATATCGGACATATATCCGATATACAACGTGTCCCAAAATTCAAGGATAAGCCGGCGCCGCAGTGTGGACCTAGTCATGACTGCTTTAGGAAAAATAAGAAAAAAAATCTATCTCAATTATTTTTTAACTTACACAATAAATTATGAAATTCGACGAAAATTGACACCCCTTATGATATTTTACATTACCACGACCATAATTTTTCAAATATTCCTGTTTTTCTTTTTATATCGGCAACTTAAGTAGTGCTGCTGTCCACCCCAACTCTTAAAACCCCCAGAATCCTTGCAGTTTTTACACAAAACTTAATCAAAATATGTTATTACCTTAAAATTTTCAACGATTTTTACTTTCACTCCACTTTGACTCATCGTTTTGTAAAAAAAAAGTATGAACACTACTGCGGCAAGTTATTTATAAAGTTGACGCAACTATCCAAGATTCCAAAATGGTATAATACTCTAAGAAACCTAGTCGCAAAAAAGATATGCGTACCATTTTTACAAGCACTTCGCTTGTTAGTTAGTATGGGATAAATCTTGCAACTGAATTTAAAACCAGTTCTCCATAACCAATTGAGCTGAAATTTGGTATACTTATGTAAGTACGATGACAATGCAATATTATGGTACCATTGAGCTGGATGGAGTCTGGAAGTGGCCAAAAATGGCGGTCGTGGTAATGTAAAATATCATAAGGGGTGTCAATTTTCGAAGAATTTAGTAATTTATTGTGTAACTTAAAAAATAATTGAGATAGATTTTTTTCCTTATTTTTCCTAAAGTAGTCGTGACTATGTCCATCCTGCGGCGCCGGCTTATCCTTGAATTTTGGGACACGTTGTATATCAAGCCGGTTTTGATGATATACAGGGTGTTTGGCGCATCGTGTGCCAAAATGATTTGGCAGATAGAATGGGTCATTTCCTATATTTTCAGCCCCCATAACACGTTCCATGCCAGGCGGCTACTTTTATATTAATTTTTTTAGTAATTTCACCAAAATACCCAAATCGCATCATTTAATTTCGATTTAAAAAATAACTACTAGACGTAGCCTCAAAGTAAATATTTTGTTTTGACGTGCATTGATGTAGGGTTGCATCAAATCTAAATTTACTGGCAAACATCATCTAGTTTTTTTTAATTCAGCTTTGAAGTTTTCCGAAAAGTTAAAAATGAACTGAACATTTCAGTTTACATAGCTATAATTTTTTTTTTAAAAGAGATAGCGATCTTCGGATTTTATCAAAACTTCTCTAGTCTATCCCCATTCAAACGGTATACTAATCTTGTTTAAATAATAACAACAACTTCACAAATTCCTTAAATTAGTGCATTGACTCTACTCAGACTGATTTGCGAAATTTGTGTTTATAGCCCCTTTTTGTGTGAATAGCACGTTAAATACCTACAGGTAAAAATTATTTATCTTATGCAATGTAAAAACCTTTTCCCTATCGTTTTTCAATGTGGATTTCTTGAAACTATAGACGAAAATAATTATTTTGATCGTTTATTAATTATTACAAATTTTGTTCAAGATGTCCGCCTCGGCAACGTATACACTCACTACATCTTCTTCTAATTTCGACTGTGGTCGTATGCAGGCTTATTTCTCTTTTTTTATTACTACAAAGGCGTCAAAACAAAATATTTATATTGATATCATCATTTTATTTTTTTTAATTTTCATACAATTTTTTTTTATAAAATCCGATTTGTATACAAATTAAAATAATTAAAATGAAGATATCAATTTTCTGACTTCACCATACCATTTATATGCCCATGTTAACATGGGCTAGTCTCGGTTCATATACCCATTTACCTAACACCCTGTATATCAAAGTTGATATATATCGGATATAATAATATATGTTACTGTAAAAGCTCGAACTACGGTTAATCTTAAGATTTAAGTGTAAGTCTTAGGATTTACCGACATGAGTTGGTAAATGTAAGTATTTCTGAAAATACGACGATTTTTTCGATCTTTTACCATTCGAATTCAGTATATGCTAGGTTTTACCTCTGTCAGCTGGTAGATGTTGGTTTTAGGAATAAAACAATGAGTAATTCTTAATGGGGAATTATAAAACGATCGACTAAAAAATAACTTAGCGATTGATGATGGCATACTTACTGTTTTAATAACTTGAGCGGTATGAATTTGAGTAAGCGAAAAATTAACTTAACGAACGACGAATATTGATTAATATAATCAAATGCAGAAATTAATTGTGAATAAGGTGATTTCATTTCATACTTAATTTATTAATTTGTAAAAATAGGGTACAATGTTATAAATTAATTAAAACCCTAATAATTATTACGTATTTTTGACGGTCCTAAGCCCGTAAAGTAGAAAGGGAAATCTGAAATCAACTGAAGAGTATTTTAAAATAATTATTATGACTGGATAAAAAGGCTGGTACCCAGAGCCATAAATCAACAGATTAATAAGAACTAGGCCACGCCCACTAGGTTTATTCCACTTGCACCTGTAGAACGTGCGAGACAAAATTGGTTTATTCCAATTTGTACTGAAAAACCAAATTTACTAAAATCTTAGTGTACTTTCTTTATGGGAGTCTCTTGTTTATCTTAAATAATAGGTATTGTTCCCTACTTTTATCTCTGTGAATATGGCAAGAATGCAAAGTAACACGGTGTATAAACAAAATAGTATTACACAATTTACATCCATATTAGGCACGCCAAGGGCTCCGTAATAAGTTTACGTTGAGTTTACAATATAGAAAAAAGGTTTTAATGAGACAGTCTACATCCATATTAGGTACGTGCCTAGGGCTCCGTGATATGGGGGGTCGCCGTCTACTCTAAAAAATTAACAATAACCTGTGAATGTACGTAATTCAGTTTTACAATTCCCTTTTTTTTTTCTAGTGAGCCTCGGGCTTTTATTAGGTGGATCAACGATCTGGGGATACCGGAATGCGGGCAGCGCAGAATTGGTTGGAGTGGAAATCCTTGGGAGAGGTCTTTGTCCAGTTGTGAATTGCTGGCTAAAATGTACTAACCGAGCCCCGGGGCCCCATAAAACGGCCTTAGTAGGTACCTGTACACTGGCGCCGTTGAAGGGCGGCATCTTGGCGCGCGGCATGCAAGCGTCGTGTAACTTCGGGCTGAGGCTGTCAATCCTTTATCCAGTTGTAAACTTCTAAAGAACAGGGAGCCTCGGGGCCCCTAAGACGGCCTTAGTAGGTACCTGTACACTGGCGCCATTGAAGGGCGGCATCTTGGCGCGCGGCATGCAGGCGTTGTGCAACTTCGGGCTAAGGCTATCAATCCTTGGCGAAAGCCTTTATCCAGTTGTGAACTGCTGGCTGAAATTAACTAACTGGGAACCCCGGGGCCCTATTAGACGGCCTTAGTTGGTACCTGTACACTGGCACCATTGAGACTGAGTTGTGGAATGTACGTCATTATTTGGCTGGGAGCCCCGGGGCCCTGTAGGGACGGCCTTAGTAGGTACCTGTACACTGGCGCCGTTGAAGGGCGGCATCTTGGCGCGCGGCATGCAAGCGTCGTGCAACTTCGGGCTGAGGCTGTCAATCCTTTATCCAGTTGTAAACTTCAAAAGAACAGGGAGCCCCAGGGCCCCGTGGGGACGGCCTTAGTAGGTACCTGTACACTGGCGCCGTTGAAGGGCGGCATCTTGGCGCGCGGCATGCAGGCGTCGTGTAACTTAGGGCTGAGGCTGTCAATCCTTGGCGAAAGCCTTTATCCAGTTGTGAACTGCTGGCTGAAATTAACTAACTGGGAACCCCGGGGCCCTATTAGACGGCCTTAGTTGGTACCTGTACACTGGCACCAATGGGACTGAGTTGTGGAATGTACGTCATTATTTGGCTGAGAGCCCCGGGGCCCTGTAGGGACAGCCTTAATGGGTACCTGTGCACTGGCGCCGTTGAAGGGCGGCATGCAGGCGTCGTGTAACTTTGGGCTGAGGCTGTCAATCCTTGGCGAAAGCCTTTATCCAGTTGTAAACTTCTAAATAGGGAGCCCCGGGGCCCCATAAGACGGCCTTAGTAGGTACCTGTACACTGGCGCCATTGAAGGGCGGCATCTTGGCGCGCGGCATGCAAGCGTCGTGTAACTTCGGGCTGAGGCTGTCAATCCTTTATCCAGTTGTAAACTTCTAAAGAATAGGAACCTCGGGGCCCCATAAGACGGCCTTAGTAGGTACCTGTACACTGGCGCCGTTGAAGGGCGGCATCTTGGCGCGCGGCAACGAAACAACAAAATTATTCAGTTACCCTTTGTAGCATTGAACAATGTGTATGGCCACAGGGTCATCGGTCGTTATAAAAGCAGGCGTCGTGCAGCTTGGGACCGAGGCTGTCAATCCTTTATCCAGTTGTAAACTTCTAAAGAACAGGGAGCCCCAGGGCCCCGTGGGGACGGCCTTAGTAGGTACCTGTACACTGGCGCCATTGAAGGGCGGCATCTTGGCGCGCGGCATGCAAGCGTCGTGTAACTTCGGGCTGAGTTTTGGATTGTACGTCATTATTTGGCTGGGAGCCCCGGGGCCCTGTAGGGACGGCCTTAGTAGGTACCTGTACACTGGCGCCGTTGAAGGGCGGCATCTTGGCGCGCGGCATGCAGGCATCGTGTAACTTCGGGCTGAGGCTGTCGGGCGCGAACTCGCCGCCTAAAACACCTTCCATGCCGCCCAGCGCGTCCATGTGGCAGCCTGCCAAACATACAAGGTTAGTGGTTAATGTAACGGCAATTATTAATTAAGAAGCTGCGCAAAACTTTTGTGTCCTATGTGGTATACAAAACACTTTCTCAATAAATCATCATGTATTGGGGAGGCCTTGGTGTGGGGTGTGGTTCCGTCAGAGTAGAACATAATAAGATCTCATGTAAAACAATGTGCAATAGAGTTTGAATTTGAATAGGACAACCCTCACTCTTCTCCCGTGGTTGTTAAAAGCGACTAAGCCAAATCATCCATTTTCCTCTGGTAAATTAGAGAGGATAGATAGAACTAAAACATGCATGTTCCACTATAAAAACAATAATTCTCACTAGAAACATCGAGGTCTCTTTAAAAGTTTGATTGCCACAAACAAAAAAACGTCAGGTGTGGTTGCACTCAAATATAAGAAAAATCCTACTAGGTGGACCGACGATCTGGTAAAGGTCGCGGGAGGAACTTGGATGCGGGCAGCGCAGGACCGTTCATTACGGAAAGCCTTGGGGAGGCCTTTGTCCAGCAGTGGACGTCATTTGGCTGAAACGAATATGAAAACCAACTGACCTAGCTCGTTCATCATCATATGCGGATGCTGATGCGGATGCATATTGTGATGGTGCTGCATATGGTGCGGGAAGGGTCCCATGGGCCCACCGCTGGGCATGGCGCCCTGTGGCGGCGCTCCCACTGCTGACGTCAGCTGCTGAGACATCTGCGCGAGTAAATATAATAATAAGTCTAAATATATATAGCTCAAAGGTGACTGACTGACATGTGATCTATCAACGCACAGCCCAAACCACTGGACGGATCGGGCTGAAATTTGGCATGCAGGTAGATGTTATGACGTAGTAGGCATCCGCTAAGAAAGGATATTACGAAACTTCACCCCTTGAAGGGGGGTTGAAGTCGCGGGCGGCCGCTAGTAAATAATAAATCTTTATTTTACTCACACAAAAATCGAACAGAGTTACATAGTGAATGTATAAGATACGTTTGATGTTCATTCTTGTGTGAGTCTAATGCCTATGCTAGGTATTTAGTAATATAATAATGTAATAATAATACCGGCCGGCCAGAGTGGAGTCGCTAGAGCTATATGCTCCAGGGGTGGAAGTGTTAAAGGGCATAACGCCGCGAGTAACTTCGGAGAAAGCGCAGCACACCTCTCTACACCCCTGAGCTGGTAGACGCCAATGTTGCCCCTCAGTCCGGTCTATACGACTCATGACGCCAGGGGGGGCCCATTTAGTCGCTGGCTAGTCACCGCCTGCCATTTTTTCAGTCTGAGACTATGAACCAGGCAGGTGTCCCGTAGTCTCCATCCATAGCCCAGTAACCAGTCCATCCATCCTTCATCCATAACCCTAGTCCATTCTCCAATAACTGCAATAGCTCCTGTGCACAGGCTGGGGATGGTCTCTGGCTACATCCCATGATATAGTCAGAGACTAGATCCAGCATGTGCACCACTTTCACTTTTGTCGATTATTTTGCGCTTAAAACGGCCTCTACGTGTTGGATCTGTATCCCCACGCAAGCCTTATAAAGGACCGGGCCACTTTTGACCCGTGAGCTCCAATTTTTATTTTCGCCTATACAATTTTTTATAGCAATGTTTCATCTACGCATTGAAATATAATCTGACGTTAACTATACTCCGATGAAGGGTTGTGTGTGGCACGGGAAGGGGTCCACACTCGTAGGGCGATTGCTAAAACCCATTTAGCAAATTAAATTGAAAAGAATACCTTTCTCTAAAGCAGTACTTTCATTACTTCAACCTTGCCAACACGAACACCAAGACACCGAAGATACTGGAGATACCGAACACAGTACAGAGGATGAAAAGTCCATAATAATATGAACGACACAATGTATTTGGCACGGGAGACACGTATTTTTGACGACGAAGTCCCCTTGTAATTATTCTTTAAAACGCCTTATCATATTCCAATGCGTCGATGAAACATTGCTATAAAAAATTGTATAGGCGAAAATAAAAAAAAAGAAATTCATATACCTCTGGTACAAGACACGATCCACAAAAGATAAAAATATTTCTACATAGAGGCTATACCAAAGTATTGTTCAGTATGAAATAAAATTGCGGATTTCATTTAGGATGGAAGAAAAAAAATAAAGTCTAAATAATGAAAAATAATTAAAATCTCTGGAACTACTTGACTTGTAGAAATGAAATAAAGTACAATACATGCGTCTTTTAATGATCAATCGAATCAGCTTTATCACAAGTTTACAAACCCTCTTAATTATTAAAAAAAAAATTTTTTCATTTTTAGAAATTTTAAAAACGGCCAACTTTCACAATTTTTTTCTCAAAAACCAAATAAAATGAGTACACGCGAGTTTCACTCTTGTAATTGAAACATAAGACGCTATCGACTCATGGCATTAACTTAATCATGTCCGATTTTGAGGGTTTCTAAAACACTGTGCATCCTTATCGCTCGCGCGTAATTACATTGCTGTCGCGACTGTGCGACGGGCGCCCGCAGTGAGTGTGCGAGCGTACCAGCAACATAATCACAACATCGCGCGAGCGATAAGGATGGGTAGCTTGGGGTCATTGGACAAAATTCTACGTGCTCGCAGACCAGACTATAGTGTATATGTAATGTGTATGCGTGAATGTGCGTGCATTCTTTAGAATTAAGATTATGTTAAGTAAATAATATATGAACCTGTGCGAGAGACGAGATGGGGTCGAAGGAGGCTGTCGAAGTCATGGGCCCGTTAGGACCCTGGTTGGGGTTGATGGGCATGTTGTCGGGCCGCATCCCGCAGGAGCCCGGGAAGGGGCCCGGTAAACTCGTGCTGTTCGGCCCGCCTGATAACGTCGTCTGGAATGAGGCAAGTTGCATTGTAAGATTCAGTTTGTCTAGCAAGACAAATGGTTAGCATCTAAATAAGTAATGTTATAAACTGCAACATAATAAATTCGTCAATATTTTTTTAATAATTTGTAGTAGCTGGCTCGAATGGCAACAACCTGCAAGCGTGACAAATGCCGGTTCCAGACACGTCGAGATTTTTGGACATACGTTTCTGGAAGTCAGCAGAGTTTCGTAAATACAACTTCCATAAGTTTTTTGGACACTTCTACTTTTGTTAGCGACGGTGGCGGCGCAAGCGCGGGCTCAGGATTGAGGCGTCTTACACCCGCTAGTCTATGCTTACCTCCGTGCTGGAAATAGAGTCGTCCATCGACGACGCGGGCACAGGTTCGACTCCCACCAGGCGTCCTGTGACTGCTAGACTATGCCGGGGCGTCCTATAGCCACTGTCTATACCTACCTCCGTGCTGGCTGACGGCGCGGTGGTGCGCGAGCAACTCTAGGAGAATTGAGTTGAGGACACAGGCTCAGGTTCGACTCCCGCAGGGCGTCCTGTAGCTACTAGTCTATGCCGGGGCGTCCTATAGCCACTGTCTATGCCTACCTCCGTGCTGACCAGAGTCGTCCATTATAGACGGTGNATACCTCTCTTTTGACATTAATACTGCCATAAAAAGTGACCACTATTTTTCTATGCACCCACCTTGAATTATCAATGTATTATTGATTTTCTACAAACAGCTGTGTATTATATTGCATATTTCTACTAGCTATGCCCGCGACTTCGTACGCGTGAAAACCCGTTTTTGCAACATTTTTCATTGTTGCTCTGCTCCTATTGATCGTAACGTGATGTTGTATAGTAGCCTATAGCCTTCCTCCATAAATGGGCTATCTAACACTGAAATAATTTTTCAAATCAGTCTAGTAGTTCCGGCGATTAGCGCGTTCAAGTAAACAAACAAACTCTTCAGCTTTATAATATTAGTATAGACATCTGATGTGATGATGATGATGTCTGACATCATCATCATCAAACTACAGATAGATTCAATATGGCCACTATGTCCAAATTCACACAGACACAATAATGTGGTCTCAAAGATTGAAAAATTCCGTAAATGGCTACCTTTTCACCCTGCGACTTGAATCACCTTTAGTAATGTCATAAAAGATTTGTAGCTACTGAGTCTGAGTATAGTCTAATCCTTATTTAAATAATGTTGACTCCTACTCATTTGCCCCTGATGACAAAAGTCTATTTTGAACTGTATACTAATGGCAATAAAGCTCAGCTATTTTATTGTGAATTGTGACTAAGAAGTTGACAAAACCTACCGCCTATTGTCTGTCCTTGTTTTATTTCAGCTGTCTATTTTAAATAGTAATTTGTATTGCACAAATTGCTAATAGTCCCGTTCATCCCTCGTGGTAAGCTAAATGGATGCTTGCGTTTATACGAGAGGCTTTATTACAAACTAGCTATTTCCCACGGCTTCACCCGCGTGAAATTTAGTTTGTCACAGATCGTCATAAATTATAGCCTATTATATTGATCTGGGTTATGAACAATAATACTGTAAAGTTTCATCAAAATCCGTTCAGTAGTTTTTGCGTGAAAGAGTAACAAACATCTAGACATCCAAACTTTCGCATTTATAATATTAGTTAGTAGGATAGTCCGGCGGCGGCGGGGTTCGAACCCGCGTTCCCCGTATCTCGAGTCGGCAAGTCCGATACCTCCGTTGAGAATGTTGAGATGTAGTCGTTTAAACTTAAATTTCATCAACCTGCAGCTAAATGACAAACTGTTTACACAATCATTGGGAAAACTAGTCATTTCGTAGTAGTTGATGTGCTCTCGACTGTACAATAATGATAGAGCTATAAACAAAACACTACGTCACTCTTGCTAGCACAACGAAAGCAGTTGTGCATGCATTTTGATCTGAAACTATATTGGTGTATAAAAGGTATACAAAAAAACATGTTCTAAGTATGAAGTTCCTATTATTCTGAGGTCTGTCTTACTTGATGTCAGATATCTGGCATAGGCTTATAACATAAGTCAGAATTAACAGTTTTTAAATCAGTCATTCGTTGTTTCGTAGAAGTGAATAAATATAACTTGCAGCAGTCAAGTCTACCCAAACCTCACGCTTCTGATAGTGATCAATATCAAATCTATCCCAATATCATCGAACTCCATATCCCAATATCGATACGAACATTGTTTACAAACATCAGTCGTTATCAACCGACAGCCCACTCCTAATTTTCACGGTTGAGCGGACAACTCTTTGCATAATCCGCCGTTCAGATCGACCTTGATGTACAGTCGAGTACACAGTGACAAAAGTAAAATTGCAGGTTGTGAGGGCAATGAAATTGGAGAGAATAGTTGGTTTATTTCGTCAGAAGTAGGTGCCATTCTAAGCTGTACAGCCCCCTAAACAAGTGGCAAAACTCCACTTGTAAGTTTGAAAGGCCTTCGCGTTTTTTTTGTATGGAGTTAAGAGATTCGATCTTCGAAGCGATCAATAAGTACCAATTTTTTAGAAGGAGGGGCTTATGCTATGATAACAGACACGGGTAAAAAAAATCTACAATTTTTGGTCAGACAGAAATGCCTTCCTATTTATGTCTGTGTTTTTATAATTTCTTCAATTCGCGTCAAAATACATGTCTACATAGTTTTTATTTATTTATTTAGGTACACCAACGGTAGGTACTCTACAACAATAGGTACACAATATAATAAATACGCAAAATATTAAGCTAATTGCACTATCACTTAAAGCTTGCAAGAATAATGTAAGTTACTTAGTAGCGCTAATGGTATTATAAATGTTACCAGCTGATAATAATGAACTAACAGGTTTAACTGCAACGTTAGTACTTATTAACTAATTTGTACTAAGTTTAGAACCAAGAAATTGCGTTTACCATAATAACGCACAACACTTGTGTACCCAACTGTACAGTACGCAGCAGACACAGTCATGGCACGTCATGGTTTATTCAGTCGTCCGCTGGTACACCGTCATGCACCACCTACGAAATGTTTTTGCTAAGGTGAAAAACTTTGTTTTCGATGTGACACCGCTGTGTTGGGCAGAAGTGAAAGTGTATTGTGAATTTTGTGTAAATAATGGTCATAAAAGGGAGCGTTTAGTTGTTTATGATAGTTTGTTTTGTTTTCATAGGTAAAGTTAATGAATGCGCATAAATTAAATTGTATCGTTGGTCAAAATAATTTCGTCTATCTGGATTATGTTTGCCAATTACTTGATCTATAAAATTATCTGTTACCTTGATATTTTCACTGTCTTATCTATATATATAAAAATGAAACCCGTTTCGCGTTGTCACGGCATCACGTGTGAACGGCTGAACCGATTTCGATAATTCTTTTTTTTAAATGTTTGTGGAAGTCCAAGGATGGTTCTTACGGAAAAAAATATTAAGAAAATCTCTACGCTAAGGCGGTACGAAGTTCGCCGGGTCAGCTAGTTTATATTTAAAAACAAAAATACGATTTGTAATCGAAGGTCCAATACCCACCTTAATTAAAAATTCACCCGGTTATCTTTGATTTGGAGGAGAAAATGAAAAAATACTATTCTTTTTTGTTTATCTCTAATCTGTGTAGGTATTTTTTTTAACTTTCGCGTTGCATTATACGAGACGTAACATGATTCTTTTATTTTATTATGTGCTAGATATGTATTCGTACTTTTTATGAATACCCCACTATGTGTATTCAGAGATACCTAACACAGCTGTAACAAGAGTCCCTCGTTGCTCATCAGTCACAATAATCGATAATATTAATTATTTTAACGCACACAAACTTACTTTAATTTGAATAAACAATAAACTATTATTCTATCGCATACACTACGTCAACTACGTGTAAATAAATGATACCAGAATGTTTATGAGAAAAGAAGGGAAAAGTACATATTTTAAATGGTTGAGAAAACGGAAAAACGCACGTTCTCAGTACCTACTTATTAGTATTAATTATGCTGAGTTGTTAGAGACAGACAACATAGGCCTAGAATAGCGTGTAAATTAAGTTAAATAAACATTTTCAGTGATCAGTTTCTAAGAATGGTATAAAATAAGCAAATAAAATTAGACTTTTCACTCGCCAATAATAAAACTTACACTTGAATAACTATTAATAGCAACAAAAGTACGTCGATTGGTCACAAAACAAGCGTAATTCAATTATCACGGTGCCCTGTATAATTGCGGCCCCATTGTGTGACCTACTGCAATAAAGGGAGTACTGTTCTGGGATTACCACTCGTTTCTCGTTGACCCTAACTTGATAGCATCTGCAGTACTAATTAAGGGGCCACTTTTTATGTCTTGACGCTCTGTAAATATTCGACGAGAATCTATTGAGTCTTCCATTGGAACTACAAAGAACGATTTAAAACAAGTAATGTTGAAATCAAAATTGTTCACTTTCAAGTATGTTAGGAATAAATTAGTAGAGTAACAAAACAACCCAAATAGACCCCCTTACTAATAAAAAGTTACACAATTGTTGAACACTGTTTTAAAATGACATTTCCATACTATACGTCACTTCAAAACACTGTTCAACGAGCGTGTAAGTTTTATGGAAAATGTTTATGCATGTATTTTTCTCGGTTTTTATGTATATTACCAGAAATGCTCTTTACAACCTAATTTAACAATACCTACCCAATTTGCAAATGACCTCTACATAATGCACGTGACTTATCGTATCCAAAAACTAAAGTATTTTAACTACTTTCTATCTTAACAGGAAAAAGAAGAAAAGGCGAAGTTCAAGTTAGAATCGAAAGAAAAATTAAAAGACGAAAAAAAGGAGAAAGTGAAAGACAAAGACAAGGATAAAGTGAAAGAGAAAGACAAAGAAAAAGTTAAGGAAAAAGACAAAGAAAAAGTTAAGGAAAAGGACAAGGACAAAAAAGACAAGAAACTGACTAAAGTGCCGTCGACAGTGACCTCTGGTGTTCCTTTTGAGGAAATATTTACACTTGGAGGTGAGATTATTTGTTTTTATTTTCGATTCTTTCATATAGATATAGGTTATTATCTCATAGAGGTACAGTCAGCGTCAAATAGTTCGTGACACCCAAAATAGCCAAAAAATATCGCAACATGTTTTTGTTATAATAGACAGTTTGACACCATACCCCAATAATTGGAAACCACAACTGTTTAAAAAAGACTCTTCATTCTGGTCTTAAAAACCTAATTTATTTTAAATTACCTGTAAAGGAGAACAACCATTTTGGGCCCAAGTTTGTACAGAGTTGTACATTGGTAGGTTTTTGATATTATATTACGCATACATTAGGGAGTATTTTACGGTAAAAATGATAATTTTAACTGATGTCGTAAGTCGTATAAAATAATAAAAACGAATTAATGATTTAATCTAAGATAACGTAAAATGGAACGTTAAAAGTCAATCGATTAAAGACTCAATACACTATACTGTCCCATCAAACTCATTGACAGGGGGGCGCCACCATCGTTCAACTATATAGTTTCTAACATGGCAAAAATCGGAACCAGCGATCCGGTATTGACAGTGGCGCCCCCTGTCAATGTCACGGGTGGGACGATTCAGTGTATTTGATCTTTAAGAAGGTTTGTACTGACAGATGACAAAACTAAAATGATTGAATGAAATAATGAATGAAAATAAGTCTAAAGGATCTAAAGGATGAGACTGTTGCGAATGCTTGTTGAATTAAAACTAATTAAAAGAAGAAGAAGAAATAAAACTATCGATTAATAACATTTTATGCTATTTCTAATAGATTCTGCTTGCGATTTGGGTAACTGACGACTTGATTTTGTATAAAAGTAACATTTTTTCTAGTTTTTTTCTAATTTAGTTTTCTCGAGAATGACACTAGTTAGCAACCTCAAATAAACACAATAATAAACTACTTTATGAAGGCATAAAAACGACATAAAATTTGTAGCTGTACAAATAACTTAGTACTGGGCCCAACGCTTCATAGAAAGTGGTTGTTCTCCTTTCGATTTTTGTTCGAATTGTAATTGAAAAAAAGTAGTTTAATTGGGTTGACAAAATAGTGACGTCACTTGCATGTAGTGCCATACAAAATCTATGGGAGAGTTTCGTTTTGACAGTTTTAAAAAGTACGTCAATTGACTGTGGTGTCAACATGTCTATTGGAATAAGGTTGTGTTGTCAACTTTTTGGCCACTTTCGAAGTTTGGACGTCACGAACTATTTGACGCTGACAATAGAATAATTAGAAATGAGGATAAAACAAATATAGATGACCCACGCTGAACTGTCCCACCAAACTCAATGACAGGGGGGCGCTACCATCGTTCAACTATATGGTTTCCAACATGGCAAAAATCTGAACCAGCGATCCGGTATTGACGGTGGCGCCCCACTGTCAATGTCATCGACAGGACAGTCCAGTATTTTGGAACTATAACACTCTTACTATTATGATTATTCTAGATGTGAATTGCCAAGCTAAAATATAATCTTGCACACCAAATTAAAATAATGGGGAAAAAAGAGACGCTTGGGCAAAGGTAGTGTAGAACATTGTGGGATTATGCATAAGAAATATGCTATTTAGCATGAGAATTAAAATTCTATTGCTTCAAAATTGTGTCCTGGTTAATGTACCTTGAAGCCATTAGACAGGTTTTGAAGCCATTAGGCCATTATCGGTTGAAGTCATTGACTGATAACTAGACAATTACGTTATACACATCAATGCTTCTTATGGTGTTGGAATAGATGCTATTTTGCTACAAAAATGCATAGTCTGATGTTGACTACAAAAAAGAAACCAATCTGTAAATGCTGTATGTTATATTGAAAATACCTGTTGTTCAAAGACAATTACATTTGGCCACGTTTGATTAAGGCGGGGGTGATAAACACAGAGTCACGCTCGCGACAAAACCAAAACAAAGCGACTCAAGGTAGCTAGATAAGGGCTAGGGTTGCCACTGAAATAAGTGAAAAAATGCAACAGCTTTTTTAGAGAAAATTAAGAAGTAAACCATGCTTTTCTACATTTTTCAAGAGTTAAAGTACAGCTCTAATTTTCAGTCTCGCGCATTGAAATTTCCACGCTCACATAATATTCTGATGCCTTATGGCAAGATTTCTGAGTTGCGATTTTTAATTTGAGCGTTCTCTTTTCTACTACATATTATGAGAATGAGCACGCTCAAGTTAAAAATCTCAATTTAGGAATTACAGGATTTTCTTGTTTCCAATAAATAAATTTTGAATTTTTTTTTAATTAAATTTTTATACCACAAATAAAATGAGAAAATTAGTAAAGCCTATTGAATACATAATTGCTTGCAGCGTGGATGCGTAGGTACCCGACCTTGTGAACTCTACTTGCATATTGATTGATCACTGATCGGTCAAGCTAAGGCCATGATAAAACGTACATGAGGTACATTATAATCGCCATCTACAAGTAATTGTAGGGCTAAAGAAAAGTCCTTGACAGGGCCGTTTTAACCTATTGAGGGCCCTGTGCAATGTGCATTTAAGGATCAAGACCCTTTACGTCTAAAAAAAGAGGAGGACGACCATTTGTAGGCTTTGGATTCTTCGCGTAGAAAGCTTTATACTTTACCATACCTTTCGAAGTCTTGGATATTTTTACATGTATATTAGAAACTTGTTTGCATGCTATTTAAAATAGATTTGCATTAAATCAAAAAAATCTAAATCAAAAAATCTAAATCATTTATTCAGTTTAGACCACAAGTGGCACTTATGAACGTCAAAAAAATAAAAAAATAAAGGTAGCCCTTATGGGGCACTTTACATGTCTCCTTATCTTTTGGGCCCTACCAGCGCTTCGAGACAAACATATGGCAAGTGCTGAGAAGAAACGCCGGAACATACTCGTATCATGTGTATTGTTGGATATTGTACTCGTATCGTACCTATTCAAGTTATTAAAATGTATTATACAGGGTGGAAACGTTAAGTGATCTCACTCGATTATTTCTAAACTATACAAGATATTGAAAAACTGGTTACTGATCCTGAAAGTGCTTCATGAGCTCTTTCAAACGGTACCAATAATAGGTTACAGAATAAACTGGATCTATTTGAAAATTCAATGTTTCCAGCTTCCATACTAAATGTATACCAGACACACAATATTACAAGTGTGTTTTTTTATTGAATAATAAACTCTTAAAATAAACTCGTAAATTATATTCTTCTTTAAAATTATTCATGGAAAACATTCGTTTAAGGCTTTACTTGCTATAATATTGTCAAGAGATGAGTGTCATGACTGTGGTAGTACTAAATGTATGGAAGACGGGAACATTGAATTTTTTGATAGATCCCGTTTATTCTGTAACCTAATATTGATACCATTGGATAGAGCTTGTGAAGCACTTTTAGAAACAGTAATTAGTTTAACGATATCATGTGTAGTTTTTAAAATAAATTGACTTTACCAAATGTATGGAAGCTGGAAACATTGAATTTTCGGATAGATCCAGTTTATTCAGAAACCTATTATTAATACCATTTGATAGAGCTCATGAAGCACTTTCAGGATCAGTAACTAGTTTTTTGATATCTTGTATAGTTTAGAAATAATCGAGTGAGATCACTTATCGTTTCCACCCTGTATAGTTAGTTAATTTTTTGATCTTCTATAAATCCTTTTCTTTTTTCACAAAAATTAATTAAGTTGTCGATAGGTCTGTTGGCAACCCTAAAGATAACGTAAAATGATGCGCACAGTTTATTTTACACTTTTATGCTAGTTCGAATCTCACGTTGCTGGGCTGTGTCTGTGCTATGAATCCGTTTTTAGACGGCTTCTCCATTGGCGGTGAGATTGTTAATTTATTTTACGTTTATGCATTCGTGTAGGTGATAAGACTTTAGTCAGCTATTGTGTGATGTATAACGTGTGTTGGGAAAAGAATTATAATCACTATTACCTGTCAAGAAGATTCAAAACATGTAATTTTTAGGTGACTTCATATTAGACGCTTATAAAAGCGTTTCAGTGGTGTAACATAGCGGCAATAGCGTGTCTGTAGCGTTTCAAATTGGTGAAACTCTTATAGTTTCATCTGAAACAATTACGTTACGCAATGGATTATGTTAAAGAAACATGATACATCTCTAGCACTCCAGCACTAGCATTTCATTGCTTTTGAGTTTGGACCCCCATTCATGACAGCACAGATTAGCGCTTTAATTTAATGAGAATTGGTGGCTGTGCCATAGTGGTGCCATTACAGCCAAACGCGAGATAATCGCGGGCAAAAACATACGGTTCAAACTTTAGACGTGTTTATCATCATCATCAACAGCCCTTTTCAGTCCACTGCTGGACTATTAGCCTCCTCCACTATAGTGGAGGGTTTTGCCATAATCCCCACGCTAGGCAGGCGGGTTGGAGATCGCAGTTTAAAAGATTAATGTTTTTCAGAGAGCGCTGCTGCCCGTTCTCTGTTTGATGTGTAGTCCCTAAGTCGCCTCTTACGACACCCGTGGGAAGAGTAGGGGTTGGTGATAAATGTATTCTACTCTGCCGTCACCACACGGCTTGGGGAGGACGTGTTTTTATTCAGTTAAAAATAGCAATATCGATTAAGCGACCGACAGACTATTTTGCGCTGGTGTGAGCTATGCCATTTCGTAATTGGTTCACTTTGTTACGGAATCGAAGACAATTTCAACTTTCCCCCGAGGCTTAACCTTTAATGGTTGGGTTGGCTTTTACTAGCGGTCAAACTGTAGATTTTTTGTAGGTATGAGGTACAGTTGAAGAGACTGAAACTGCCCATAATAGAACTGCCGTTAAACGTAACCAATAATGTACGACAAGTGTACTGTATTAATTTTTTCCCAACCTGCGGACGTATTTTCTAAAAATCAGAAATTTATTCAATCCGTCTTTATGCACGTACTGCGTCACTGCGTAAGCGCTCCTGCACACGTCGCCGCCGCCGCGCCTCTACACTGTTCATACGCGCCGCTGCCGCGCCGCCGCCGCGCCGCTGGCAAAATTATGCTTATGCTTTGATGGCGCGGCGGCAGCTTTACTCGGCGCGTATGAACAGTGTAGGGGCGCGGCGACGGCGGTGACTGACTGACTGACTGACATAGTGATTTATCAACGCACAGCCACACAGCTCAAACCACTGGACGGATGCGACTGAAATTTGGCATGCAGGTAGATGTTATGACATAGGCATCCGCTAAGAAAGGATTTTACGAAACTCCACCCCTAAGGGGGTAAAACGGGATCCACGCGTACGAAGTCGCGGGCGACCGCTAGTCTAGGATAATTCCCCCCACAGCTTACAATAAAGGGTGTATAAATAAAATGTAAATTAATTAATTGACTGTGCTGACTAAAAACAGCGAGAGATCGTATTTTCTGCGGGTTCGGGTCCGCAAGGCTTACGTCCATCAGTGGACAGTCATGCTGAAATTATATTGAATCGAACGATTCTATTTCCAGTGGCCCTCCCGATATTCGGCGTGCCCCTCCTGCAGTCGGTGGAGCGATCCAGATGCCACGATGACTCCCGCCTGCCTCTGGTCGTGAGGGACAGCATAGATTACTTGCAGGTATGGATCTTTAGCTTCGAATTCATCCTATTTTGTACTGCAAATAAATTATGTAATTATATTGCTGTCGCGACTGTGCGACGGGCGCCCGCAGTGAGTGTGCGAGCGCGACAGCGATATAATTACGCGCGAGCGATAAGGATGGGTAGCTTGGGGTCATTGGACAAAATTCTACGTGCTCTCGGACCAGACTATAGCAGTCATCTTAAGATTGGCCTGACTACTATGACTATGACCGCGCCGGCGAGAGCGATCTGCACGCTTTGGTGAGGTTGAAGCATTTGGCTGGATTACACCATCTTACTTTAACTATAACACATGTCAAAAGTCTGTCAAGATTGACTCAAGCTCTATACAAATACCCACCGGTAATGGTAATGGCAGAAATAAACCTCCCAGAGAGGTTTGGTTGCCATAAATAAAAAATGGTTACGGTTAAAGTAAAGTGGTGCAACTCACCTTTAAAAGACTAGTGAATGGATTTAATTAAGTTATCCAATGGTGCCTTAAACTTCATTTTGGCACAGTGATGGCCTCGTACATTTCTGTGCATAAATTGTATTTTTCTTTTGATAAAATATAAAATACAGTTAATACTGGTTGGGTTGGTTTAAAAAAAATCATTTCCTGATAGACTAAATCCATTGACATTATTTGCGACAGCATTTTTCATTCTATGACTCATTTGTCGATCAGGAAACAAAGGTGAATGTATAATAAATATTGCTTAACATTTTGGAAACTTAAGAATTTAAAGTATAAAATAAAACTTGAAATTCAAGAGGCTTGACCTACGGAGACCCGCATCATTAATTTGAAATGTCATGAACACTAACAGTAAATGTTTGCAAATATTGTTATTGTGTCTACAGAGGCGTAGAAAGACGTCACATCAAGTTACACTTTGCTGCACCTTATGTGGTTATAACAGATGCTATTTTGCAGTAAACATGCATATTCTGATATGTGGCCCACTGGCAATGGCCGCGAAAATGTTAGTGTAGAAACTGATAGATACGTACAGGACATACGGAGACTATTTCTTTTTGAATTTTGGTGGTCAAAGCAATTTTTTGCCAGGGCATAAGTTGTTTATGAATAAACTGCGGGAATACGATCCTCTTCAATTTAGCCCACATTTAGCAAATGATTTAGCCCACACCCCATGCTGACCAGACGAGTTGGGGAGTTGTATTCCTGCAGAGGAGACTCATGTCGTTTTCACCATCAATCCCTAAGACCCTATGGTAATACATAGCAGGAATTTTGTTTTCAAAGGGGTCACCTAAAAATTTGGGATTGATGGTGAAAACGGCCATCATTGAACTAATAATAGGGATGATGATGATAAAGTAATATTAACTCTCTCTACTGCGTATATTTCAGGCAAACGGCTTAAAATCAAACCAGATATACCGCACCGAGCCAGACAAGATCAAACTACAGCAGCTAAGAAAACTCTACACGGACCGCGGGCCCACCTTTCCCTACCACTGGGATGTGCCGGTGGCCTGTGCTATGCTCAAAAGCTTCATTAGGTAAGTTACAGTTGACAAAGCTAACCGATAGTTCCGAAATATTCGTAATTTTAGCTCTGAAACTTCAATTTTGGCGACTCGTGGCCAATGGATATTATATCGTGCGGGTGAACTCACCATAATGCACGCTGGAAAATTATGGTGTAGGTATGTAAAACAACTACAGAGCAGTTAGCGGGAAAATTAGTAATCTATACACTGCCAATACATACTCTTCTTAAAAATCCTCTATCATCAAACATTTTACAATTGAGTTGGCGAAAAATTACAAAACCCTTGGGAGAATTGCACTTTGCCATCTCTAAAAATTATGTCAATTGGCTGACGGTGTCAATACATACCTATCTTTTTAAAAACCTATATAAACCTTATTCTCAATGATTTCCAGTGAACTCCCCGACTCAATCCTCACTCAAGAGCTCCATGGTCAGTTCGAACAAGCGACAGCCATAGCGGAGCCCCAAAGAGAGACTACCATGATGTCACTTGTCGGGAAACTACCTCCATGCAACTACAACTTGCTAGCCTGGCTTATGAGGCACTTTGAAAGCGTCGTAGCGAACGAACAGGTGAGTGAATGAATGAATGATGATTTCAAATGAACTCCTTGACTTAATCAAGCTCCACGGCCATAGCGGAGCCCCAAAGAGAGACTACCATGATGTCGCTGGTTGGGAAACTGCCTCCATGCAACTACAACCTGCTAGCCTGGCTCATGAGGCATTTTGAGAGCGTCGTAGCGAACGAACAGGTGAGTGAGTGAATGAATGATGATTCCCAGTGAAGTCCCAGACTCAATTAAGCTTCATGGTCGTTCGAATAAGCGACAACTATAGCGGAGCCCCAAAGAGAGACTACCATGATATCACTAGTTGGGAAATTACCTCCGTGCAACTACAACTTACTAGCCTGACTTATGAGGCACTTTGAGAGCGTCGTAGCGAACGAACAGGTGAGTGAGTGAATGAATGATGATTTTCAATGAACTCCTTGACTTAATCAAGCTTCACGGCCGTAGCGGAGCCCCAAAGAGAGACTACCATAATGTCACTNGACCATAGCGGAGCCCCTAAGAGAGACTACCATGATGTCACTTGTCGGGAAACAGCCTCCATGTAACTACAACCTGCTAGCCTGGCTTATGAGGCACTTTGAGAGCGTCGCAGCGAACGAACAGGTGAGTGAGTGAATGGATGATCCATTCAGATCTATTCAGAGTAAAATTTGACCATTCTAACAACTAGGACCACTTCTATTCTTTGATTCGAATAATGGACTACTGTCATTGGGACAGTTTAACTTCCCCGAGGGACAAAGTTGGCCTTCACTGGCTTATTAGCGGTCAAGCTGTATTTCTTAGCTACGCAAGAATTGCAGAGTTGGCAATAATCAAGAGTATAGTCTGGTCGCCGAGCACGTAGAATTTTATCAATGACCCCAAGCTACCTATCCTTATCGCTCGCGGGTAGTTATATTGCTGTCGCGCTCGCACACTCTGGTGCCGCCCGTCGCACACTCGCGACAGTAATATAATTACGCGCGAGCGATAAGGATAGGTAGCTTGGGGTCATTGGACAAAATTCTACGTGCTCGGCGACCGGACTTTAGAATAGGTCACTCTTCCTGTAGATATCATCAAATACGCGAGCATCAGGCCTCCAACCCGTCTGACGAGGGTGGGAAGTATAGACCAAATTCTCCATTTGCCTAACTTCAAAATGTGTAAATGTATGCGACTTACACGATAAATGATTTTCAACCTTAAGTGAATATAACATAAGAGTCAAAACATATTTTTTTGTTACAGGTGAACCACGCAAGCATACAAACTATAACAACAGCGATGGGCCCCGCTTTGAACATGTCCTTCAATTTGATCACGTACTTCGTCACCAAAGCGGAAAAGCTATTCCCTGACGTTCATCTTACGAAGTAAGTTTATTGCTTTATTGATAGAAAACTTATATTTTTATAATGTATTCATTTATTGAGGACCTTGGGGTTGGGGCTAATCGTTTGCACTGACCATTTTGCTACCCTCTTTCTTTCCTTGTCTTCTAAAGTACCTACCTATTTTATACCCATAATCAATAAGTGCGCAGAGACACGCTATTCTGACATTCTACTATTGTCTACTCACGGACATTGCCCGCGGGCGGCGTGACCGGAGGGAGCGGCGAGCATTCGGCGAATGAACGAGCAATGTTCGGTTCGCGAGCGAACATCGAAGAAGACGATCCTGACGCACTCTCTTCAACGACCTTGCACTAAACGGTCTCGATATTATTGTAAATTTATACCGAATAGACAATTAATTAAATATAGTCCACTCTTTTCTTTTATGTATTAACTTCCACTACACTCACTATCGAAGTAACAACTATTGAATAGTCATCTGTCATTCGTAACCTGACACTGGACAATGGGCTTTTGGCCATAGATTACAAGCTATATTTAGGACGAGTATAAGCGCCCTGGAAAGGACCTAAGTACTGTATAAAGGCTTTGACTTTGACTATAATATAGGATCGTTCAGATTGTTGGCGTTAGCACTAATATTCTTAACGTATCTTTTGTATTTTATCGGCCGTTTGGTGTAGTGTTTCGAAGCGGACTACTATTCCGGAGGTAGTGGGTTCGATTCTCGCACAGTACAAACATTTGTGTGCATGAACATATTTGTTTGTATTGGACTGGGTTTTTTTCTATGTATAATATGTATGTATTTACAAAAAATAAAGTATTTAACACCCGTATTCACAAACATTACTTTGAGGCCTCATAGTGCGTGTGGATGCACAGGGTCCCAAAAACCTATTCATAGACGATACTTCAGTGGTGACAAGCACTATGCGTCCCTTAGAATGAACGCAAAGCTAAGGTAGCCAGGGAGCTGTATTACGCAACGCATAGTAGACACTATGCGTTGCAATTTGCAATTTACGTCAAAATTTTTAGGTTATTCTCGTTTTTGAGGTTTGTTTGCTTTATTTATGGTTGTATTCGATTAATATTATCTTACAATGGATTACAGTAGTGAAGAAGAATTTGATAATTATATCAATGAGCAAAGTAGAATAAGCAGCCCCGGATCTAGGGGGGGGCAAACCGGGGCACCTGCCCCGGGCGGCAGTTTCAGAGGGCGCCAAAATCAATTTAGTACATTCTGTATTAACCTAGTTGGCAACACTGATAGCGTACGTATCTCTGCCGGGGGAATCCCCGTATGTCACATACGGGGATTCCCGGCAGAGACTCACATGTAGAACTAGAGGCTACACGAACCGAGCCGAATAAACCTGTACGTCAAGGGACTATCGTTGTTTGTTTATGTGATTGATTGCGTGTGCGAGTAATTATAATAATTATTAGCGAAACTATTGACTTAAACTACACCGTATTGGAAATAAACGCCTTACGAAATAATAGGTAAGTAATAAAAATAATATTATAAATCATATTAATTATATTATCTTTTCGATCCTATTGCTGTTCCTTAATGTATTATGTAATTGATGAAGTGTCTATAACTCATGTTTTGCTGGGCTCCGTAATTCAGTTACTTACCATAATATATATTATGAATATTTAGTAAAATATATATGTAACCGTAACATATATATAGTAAAATATATTATGAATATTTTTTAGGTTGTAAAAGATCAACGATGAGCGCACCGAGAAAAAAGCTTTCTGGGGCTGAAAATAGAAAAAGAGCTAAAGAGAAATTTAAAGACGTAAATAAATCTGCTTCTAAGATGAGAAAATGGCTTTACGAAGCAGCTCCATCGTCAAGTTCCACTGATACTTCGGATACGGTTTCAGGTATTTCCAATAACTCTTGTAATTTGGACACTCAAGTTGATTCGACAAATCAGTTGAAGCTTCAAGGTTCAGATGATGGCAAACAGTATCATTCGTCTGTGTTATCTCAGCAGGGAGATAACGTTCAACTAGCATCTAGTGACTTATTGCAGTTGAGCAGCAAAGACGAAATCATAGATTTAATGGATCCAGGTACATGGCCGAGCCAAGAGAAAATTACAGATCAACAAAGGTCATTTTTGAGTAAACAAGCTGTATTACTAAATAATGAACATCCAAATAACATAGACTTTAGGTCCACTGAACGCAACGGTAGGCATTTGACACATAACATGTGGTTCGGAACAATGGCAAATAAGGAAATTATTAAAAGATCCTGGCTTGTTTACTCGAAAACAAAAAATGCACTTTACTGCACTGTCTGCAAGTTATTTGCCAGCACTTCTACATCAGCGTTGTGTACAGAGGGTCTCATTAATTGGAAAAAGACTTTAGAAAGATTAACTGAGCATGAAGTATCACAAACGCATAAAGAATGTTTTATTAAGTGGAAAACCCGCCTGCAGCAAATGAAATTGTGCCAGGGCATTGATCGCGATATAGAGCAATTAATTCACTCTGAGAAAAAAAAATGGAGACATATTCTACATGTAGTAATGGACGCTGTCATGTATCTTGCCACAAACTGTCTTTCTTTTAGAGGTACTAAAGAAACACTGAGTGATCTCACTGAAAATTTTCCTCAACCTAGTCAAGGAAATTTTCTTAATTTGGTATGTCTACTTGCTAAATACGATCCTACTCTCAAGTATCAGTTAGATCACGTCAAAAAAGGACAGGTATCCTATTTGTCGAAAACAATTCAAAACGAAATAATCGATATGATGGCAAAAAAAGTTCGAAATACCATTATCAATGAGATCAAGGAGGCCAACTACTTTACCATCATGTTTGACTGCACTCCAGATATATCTCATTCAGAACAAATGAGCCAGATTATTCGGTATATAAAAATAACAGAAACTGGATGCACTATTAAGGAAAGCTTTATTGATTTTATTGAAGTAGATTTAAAAACTGTAGAATATATCACACAGCAAATTCTAGAAAAACTAGAAGATGATGGTTTGGATATTCAAAAATGCCGCGGACAATCTTACGACAACGGATCTAATATGGCTGGCGTATACAAAGGCGTCCAATCCAGAGTTATGCAAATGAACGAGCTGGCAATGTTTGTACCTTGTCTAGCACACTCTTTAAATCTTGTGGGCGTGCATTCAGCGTCATCATGTCCAGAAGCAGTTAACCTATTTGGGCTTATACAAAAACTTTATTGTTTCTTTGTTGGATCCACCACGCGATGGAAAATAATGCAAAAGTGTACTAAAACAAACTTAAAAGGAAGTAGTCAAACCAGATGGTCAGCTAAACACCAAGCTGTTATTACTGCTCTATTAANCAATTATTCTTCATACACCTGGGCAGGTTATAGTTTACTTAGGAATTCCCACGGGCACAGGAATTAGCGGGAAAATCCTTTTGTATGAAAAATCTAAACGCTTAGACGCTTGAAATTTGGCATGTAGGTACCTTAGTAAACTTAAAGCTTATTTACAACAAGTAATTACCGAAATTCCCACGGGAATTAGCGGGAAAATCAGGGCCGGATCGTGAATTTGTGGGGCCCTGGGCTGAAACTTCTTATGACGTTGTCACGTAAAAATATCGTCCGTAAACCGACTTTACAGACAACTATTATTTTTTGTTTTTTTATTTTTTTTTCAAATTATGGCCTATTTTTTAGCGGGATCTGGGGGCCCCTTGTAACCCCGGGGCCCTGGGCTGCAGCCCAATCAGCCCATAGGTAGATCCGGCCCTGGGGAAAATCCTTTTGTATGAAAAACCTAAACCGCTTAAGTTGACCTGAAGTGATGCAGTGACCGCGCGCTCTCCGCCCTCTATCTCGAAAACGGTTCACCGTATAAAAAAATTTTTTAAACAAAATTTGTAGAGAATTTAGTATTCTACAATATTGATAATAAATACAAATAGCAAAAAACCCATAGGAAATGAGATATTTCCAAAAAAAAGCGCAAAAAACCGATTTTTGTGACCTTTGACCTTAAAATTTAATAGTTGCTTACACCCTACCTTAGGTAGGTTTTGAGACAACTTTTAGGATGTCAATATACAAGTATTTACAGACTTACAGCTGGGTATCTCTAATTCCGAGATTCTTACCTAATTTAACCTTAAATGACTGGACTATAATTTGGTATGTCTACTTGCTAAATACGATCCTACTCTCAAGTATCAGTTAGATCACGTCAAAAAAGGACAGGTATCCTATTTGTCGAAAACAATTCAAAACGAAATAATCGATATGATGGCAAAAAAAGTTCGAAATACCATTATCAATGAGATCAAGGAGGCCAACTACTTTACCATCATGTTTGACTGCACTACAGATATATCTCATTCAGAACAAATGAGCCAGATTATTCGGTATATAAAAATAACAGAAACTGGATGCACTATTAAGGAAAGCTTTATTGATTTTATTGAAGTAGATGGAAAAACTGGAGAATATATCACACAGCAAATTCTAGAAAAACTAGAAGATGATGGTTTGGATATTCAAAAATGCCGCGGACAATCTTACGACAACGGATCTAATATGGCTGGCGTATACAAAGGCGTCCAATCCAGAGTTATGCAAATGAACGAGCTGGCAATGTTTGTACCTTGTCTAGCACACTCTTTAAATCTTGTGGGCGTGCATTCAGCGTCATCATGTCCAGAAGCAGTTAACCTATTTGGGCTTATACAAAAACTTTATTGTTTCTTTGTTGGATCCACCACGCGATGGAAAATAATGCAAAAGTGTACTAAAACAAACTTAAAAGGAAGTAGTCAAACCAGATGGTCAGCTAAACACCAAGCTGTTACTGCTCTATTAAATAATTTACCGGAAGTTGTCAAAGCTCTAGAAGAAATTGAAGAATCCTCTTCAGCCGCAGAATCGAAGTATGAAGCTAGTCATTTACTACATGCGATGATGGATTTCGAATTTATCCTCAACTTATCAATTTGGAATAATATTCTTCGAGAGATTAATAGAGTGAACGTTGAAATACAAAAAGAGGATATTATCTTGCCGCGTTCTGTGATGATAATGCAAGGTCTTGTTAAGATCATACAGGGAATGAGAGAAAAACCAATAGAACATTGGATCAAAGAAGCTGCAACTATATCAGAAAAATTGAAAATAGAGCCAGTCCTTCAAAATAAACGAATTTCCAAAAAGAAAAGGCAACACGACGAATTCTGCGAAGATGAATCAAGAACTCTAGACCCAAATGGGCTATTTTCCAAAGATATAAAAGTAGTATTTGACAGAATTTTAACAGAAATAGAAACAAGGGTAGAGAGCGCAAAGAGTCTACATGAAAATTTCGCCTTCCTCAGTGGTCACGCGTTTTTAAATATGTCGACTGATGATCTGCAGAAAAATGGAGCCGATCTAGCACGAAAATATTCAAAAGACTTGAATGCAGTTGATTTTTGCCAGGAACTTTCTGTATTCAAAGACCTAGTAACAGAAATTAATGAAAAATCAAGTGCATTCGACCTGTTACAACATCTGTGTAAGAATGACTTGCAAGAAGCGTTTCCTAATGTTAGTATAGCTTTAAGGATATACTGCACATTACCGACGACATCTGCAAGCTGTGAGCGAAGTTTCAGCAAACTGAAAATAATTAAAACCTATCTGCGTTCAACAATGAGCCAAGAACGTTTATCTAGCCTCGCGATTCTAGCCATTGAAAATAAAACTGCCTTTGAAACGGACTTTGATGAGCTAATAGATTCTTTCGCGGAAAAGAAAGCACGCCGTGTGAAGCTGTAGAGGTAGTAAGATAAGAGAGAAAAAAAAACGATGAGAAAAATTAAAACAAAGTCTTGATTATCAGTTGCCTTGTTATATGATTGCTATATTTAATTTGATGTCACACCTAAGAAAAAGTTATTAGTAATAGATAATAAAGAGTACAAATTTATTAAAGAGTATTCTTTCGATCACCAATAATGCCACATATTATAATATTAGTGTTAATCAAACGCTCACGAGAGGGGGCGCTATATCAAGTTCTTGCCCCGGTTCGAAAAAATCGTAGATCCGGGGCTGACAGGGGCCCCAAGCACGTGCTTGTAGTGCTTATACGTTAATCCGCCACTGCCCTCTCCTGCCTCTTCTTTTAGATAAATTTTTCATAACGTTGAATTTTTTGTACTAGAATTGACGCCCGTTTCACAAACGGTGAAGCAGCACATCGAACGCACAGCGTTGAATAGAGCTCTGTGATTGGTTCGTATGTGACCCTGTACGTCCACGCGCACTTTGAGACCTCATAGTAATGCTTGTGAATACGCGCGTGAGTTTTTTCGTTGTTTTCACTGAATAAATATTTTTTCTTCCTTTTTTTCTTTTATATAGAAGTTACTGACCTCATCAATTGATTGTTAAGATGATAATTAATCTAAGATAGATTATGAATAGGTTTTTCCTCATATATCTATCATTTTCCTCTTCTATTAACAATGTGATAATTAAGTATCATTACCTACATACTAAGTACAATTATTCGCTGCATAGGTTAGTCAGACCCAGTGGTCTCAGGTTCGATTCTCAATGGAAGCAAAGATTTTTTGGTCGGTTTGGATGGTAGTAGGGCTTGTTCTAGGTCCGCCTGGCTCTACCGCCACCTTCTTACGGTATAAAGTAAAACAACGGTTTTTTCTTCGTTACGTGTTTATCCTTGGTTGAGGATGATTTTACTTGATTTTAGAGGTTTTTTAATGTACAGCGTCAAATAAAGTTCCAAAATACTGAACTGTCCTATCCATGACATTGACCGTCAATACCGGATCGCTGGTTCCGATTTTTGCCATTCAGTTGGAAACCATATAGTTGAACGATGGTAGCGCCCCTCTGTCATTGAGTTTGGTGGGACAGTTCAGCGTGGGTCATCTTATAACAAAGCGGCCAAAAAGTTGACAACACAACCTTATTCCAATTGTAACAAAGACGTGTTGCGAACTTATTGGCTACTTTGGGTGTCACGAACTATTTGACGCTGACTGTACAAAGTTACTTGTATAAATAGCTATGTATTCTATCATCCGAAATACGCATCTGCTAGGTATTTAGGTTGCATCGATTTAATAGTGTCTACAATTTTAAATGATCAATTTAGATAGGTGTTATCTAAGTATTTTAAATACTCAGACCTCCTGTCTCCTCAACCCGTCTGGCCAGCGTGGGGAAGGTATACCAAATCCTCCATTTCATCATCATCATCATCATCATCATCTCAGCCATAGGACGTCCACTGCTGAACATAGGCCTCCCCCAATGCTTTCCATGCTGCCCGGTTGGTAGCGGCCTGCGTCCAGCGCCTTCCTGCTACCTTTATGATATCGTCGGTCCACCTTGTGGGTGGACGTCCCACGCTGCGTTTTCCGGTACGCGGCCTCTACTCCAGAACCTTGCTGCCCCATCGGCCGTCAGTTCTGCGTATGTACTATGTGCCCTGCCCATTGCCACTTCAGCTTGCTAATCCGTCGGGCTATGTCAGCGACTTCTCTCAGCGAATCCTCCATTTGCCTCTGGTAAATAGAGGGTCATGCTTAGGAGTTGGAGCTGTAGGAGGACAACCCTTTATCAAAGCTTTTTATTTAGTAAGTGCTTAAATTAAGGTCCAGGACAACATATGGGCTGGTGCTGAGAAGAAGTGGCGGAAGAAACTCAGTCACCTTTGTCAGAGGCAAATATCACGCTGGCCAGACGGGTTGGGGAGGCCTGATGTTCGCATATTGGTCCTTTAGTCGCCTCTTACGACATCCACGAGAAAAGTGACAAAGACTCTACAGATAGGAGTCAATCAAAATTAAGTATCAAGTATACTGTATTAGCCAAATTACGTCCAACACCTACAGCGTCAATAACGACCGGTCCTGCGTTGCCCGCATCCAGGTACCTACTTCCCGCGGCCTCCACCAGATCGTCGGTCCGCCCAGTGGTGGGCCTGCCCACACTACGTCTTCCGGCCCTTGGTCGCCACTCGAAAACTTTAGTAAGAGCAAGTACAAGTACTTAACTGTAATTACGAAATTATTGATATTAATGCATGAAAGCTGATCCCCCAATCCCTTCAAGTTGGAGTAAAGATGTCCCATTTACAACTTCTTTCATCAAAGTCAAAAAAGTCAAATTCCTTTATTGACATAGACTATTAAAAATAGTGCTTACAAATCGTCGAACATTAAAATAAAAAAAGACTAATAAAAAAAACTTTACATTTTTTCTCTTAAGGATCCTTCACCACTTTGGTTGGGTTATTGGCGGCCAAGCTGTAGATCCTGGCTACACAGGAGTTGCAGCGATGGGAATGAGAGGTAGATGGATCCTTCACATGTCTCATAATCTTTTTGCCCTACCAGCGCTTCGAGACCAACATTTGGCAAGTGCTGAGAAGAAGCGCCGCAACAAACTCAGTCACCACTGTCTGCCGGTTAAAATATAAATATAACGGTAATCGCTACATATTGGTTCAGGAGCAGTTCTCTGAATTTATTACGCATTCTTTATCAAAATATTCTTTCCTTATACCTACCTAAGTTCTAACTTATAAACAAGAAATACCTGTACTTTTATGCACGAGCTTCGCAAACCAAAAGATGACTAACTAAAAACCAGTTTCATACACGATGTAAACATAACCAGCTAGTGTATTGTAAGTCACAGACAGGTTCACACATATTTATAGATTTTGTGCCAGTGACATTAGTGTTTTTTTTGCATTTAACTTAAATTTTTAACTGCGGTAAGTTTTATTATTAAGCATTTTATATTTAGCTTTTAGTGTTATTTTTTTAGGGTACAATAAAATGATTGGAAATAGGTAATAAAATCGATATTATGGTACATCCTTCTTAGTTAAAACCAGTTTTGCTTGGGACGTCATCTAAAGTAACATTTTAGAAGACCAATATTTTTTACAAACCAGCACATCAGTGTTAACATTCCGTTGCAAACTCACCTCTATCACAAACTACATAAGACGTCACATTTTTAGCTTGACATGCCGTATACAGTCAGCTTCAAATAGTTCGTGTCACCCAAAGTAGCCAAAAAGTTCGCAACACGTCTTTGTTACAATCTTACAATTTGGAATAAGGTTGTGGTTGTGTTGTCAACTGATGTTTGATGATATCAAATTTCTGACTCCACCATACCATTTATATGCCCATGTTAACATGGGCTAGTGTCGGCTCATATACCCATTTACCTAACACCCTGTATAGTACTTATTATTATTCTGTGCCTGTATAACTAATTAATTTATTATATCTTTAGACAGAAAACACCCAGACCAATACAAACAAATATGTTCATGCGCACAATAATATCGATTTTATAATTTTATCCTGTTTTTGTTCTTTTTATTGGTCTCTTTAATTGAATTTTAAATAGCGGATAAAATTTGATAATTGCGAAGTTTTTGTATTGTTACATCATGATTTACCTACTATTCTTTTATTATACAGGTTTTTAAACATTGATACTGACTGATTGTTGATATTGATTAGGTACCTTCAGTTTTTCTTACGGGTTTACGCTTGATTCTAAGTTAATAAATCTAAAGTTGTGTAGGTATGCATTATCGCAAATTTTAATCATTTGTCATAGAGCTTAATGTAGTCTTAATATAAACGCAAAAAGAATTAAACTTGACATTCCTAAGAAAAATATTATATTTTTTGTAATAGATATTGAAAGGCTTTTCGCTAAACGCATACAAAACGGCAATTTCATAGATAGGTATTATTAAAATGTATAACAATAAAACTAGGGCAATTAAGTTATTTATTTCAAACAAAAAACAAATGTGGAAATTATTGCTCTTAAGGTAAAGACCCGTTTATTGTTTAAGATCTGCATTTTCCTCTTAAATCAATAACCATTGTAGTTACATTTTATTGAAAATGATGCATGCTATTTGTCATTACCTACAAATTAATGTGCACTACTGAAATCTGTACATCTTTATATCCTTCTTCCTACTTAATATATTATTATTTATTATTTTTAGTATAAATGCGAAAGTTTGAATGTCTGGGTGTCTGGATGTTTGTTACTATTTCACGCAAAAACTATTGAACGGATTTTGATGAAACTTTACAGTATTATTGTTTATAACCCTGAATAAGACAGGCTATAGTTTATAATGACGATATGTGACAAACTAAATTTAACGCGGGTGAAGCCGCGGGCAGAAACTAGTGTACCATGTTTTTACACAAATAAAAATTCTGATGCGCTACGGGATGGTAAAGATTGTTGTGCCTCTGTCAAATGACAGGGAATCCCCAAGTTCGATGCCTGGGTAAAGCCACAGTAAAGTCGTGCAGCGCAGTATACTAAAAAAAGCACAAAAAAACAATTAAGTACCTCACTCAGCGTTAAAAATAGTTCGCGACAATACACAAATAAAGTAGCCAATAAGTTCGTCACATCATCTTCATCATCATTCTTTTTGGCCACTTCGGGTGTCACGAAATGTTTGACGCTGACTGTACAAACTGTACATGAACATTGGCTTCGTGCTTATGTTACGCGACGGCGGCCTTATCCAAATTGTGGGCACTTTCTTATTAAAACTCAAAGCTGACTGACTGACATAGTGATATATCAACGCACAGCCCAAACCACTGGACGGATCGGGCTGAAATTTGGCATGGCAGGTAGATGTTATGACGTAGGCATTCGCTAAGAAAGGATTTTACGAAGCTCCACCCCTAAGGGGGTAAAACGGGATCCACGCGTACGAAGTCGCGGGCGGCCGCTAGTTACTTTTATAAAATTAATTGTATTTTTCAATATTTAGCTACTTATTCGACTCTGACTGAATCATACTAATTTGACTTCTGGTTTTTGAAAAATAATTCCATTGGTTAACACCCGCAGTGCAAATGCTTGGTTTGAAACTGGAAGAATATTTATTTATTTACTAGACTAGCTTTCCGCCCGCGGCTTCGCCCGCGTGGAATTTTGTCTGTCACAGAAAAACTTTATCGCGCGCGTCCCTGTTTCAAACACCGCGATAAAAACTATCCTATGTCCTTTCCCGGGACTCGGACTATCTCTATGCCAAATTTCATCAAAATCGGTTCAGTGGTTTAGGCGTGAAAGAGAGACAGACAAACAGACAGACAGAGTTACTTTCGCATTTATAATATAGTATAGAAGTATAGATTTTAATTGCACTTTCAATTTCAATCAATATTTGTTACAGACTGATCCACACACAAACTGGATAACTAATAAATTAGATGCAGTATGATTTCTTGGAATGTCATCGTTTTCCTCGTATTCGCACTGGTCGAAAGCAGCTACCAAGTACAAGGTGAGTGACCTTGACTATTGACATTTAGAAACGTAAAATTAATCGTAGAGCATGTCGTCATCATTAGGTCATTGTCTCCAATACAGGAGCACGACCCTTTCTAATTTACCAGAGGCAAATGGAGGATTGTCGTCGGTCCACCTTGTAGGTGGTGTCCCACGCTGAGTTTTCCGGTACGCGGCCTCCATTCGTAAAGGTATCGGGGAAGCGCTGGACGCAGGCCGCTACCAATCGATCAACATGGGAAGCATTGGGGGAGGCCTATGTTCAGCAGTGGACGTCCTGTGGCTGAAATGATGATGATGATGATGAAATGGAGGATTTGGCAAGACGGGTAGGGGAGTTCGCATCATTTGAAGCATCATTTATTGTCCCGAAGCAGTGGTAGGGTTAATACTGGGACGCGCCGGACGTGTAAAAGTGCTTTTTAAAAGCCTACTTTTAAAATTAAAATGAGTTTTTATGAAAATCGATTCTTACCCAACCTTATGGTCTATAATTGAGTTAAAATGCCATGATAATAACCACCTGCATGGGATGTTGGTCTAAAATTTCTAAATAACTTTGAAATATACGGGCTGATACACATTATCTTCACATACTTATCATAGAGGAAATATAATTCCAATAACTACGTTAGATAATGTAGTTATTTATTTATTTATTTATTTATTTATTTATTGCACATAATAGATACATTGTATATTGTTAGGTACTAGGTACTAACATACAAATGCACACCCGGTTGGGTACAGCAATACAAATAACAATTATTAAATATTATTAACAATTATTATAAATCTAAAGTCTACCTACTTATAAATTTTATAAATATATCATACAATTGCAAGTAACTTAAAAATATTATAATGTATAATCATTACAGTTAAAACAATATTTATTTACCAACTTAACATGAAATACTATGTTTTTCCTCCATAAATTCTTTAACATTATAAAAACTTTTACTTATTAAAAATGTCTTTAATTTATCTTTGAATAAGTGATCTTTAGGTATATTTTTTACATTATCAGGCAGCTTGTTATAAATTTGTATACAACGGTAGGCAGGACTATTTCTGAACATTTCTGAATTAGGAGTTGGAAGAAGAAGTTTGGTTTTTCGTCGGGGGTTTTGATCATGCTGAAATAGGTAAGTGTGTTTTCTGACAAACATTGCCGCTTCTAAAATGTATAAGGATGGTAAAGTTAGTACTTTCTCTCTAATGAAATGAGGTTTACAGCTGACTCTCTGTTTTATATTAACGATTATTCGTAAACACTTTTTTTGGCTTACAAATAAGTCTTTAGCATCACAGCTATGACCCCACATGATAATGCCGTAACGCAGCCACGCGTACGCGTAGGCGTAGTATGCCGTGAGGGCCGATTCTTTCGACGAATTAGTTTTTAGTACACCCAGTGCATAAAGAAATTGAGATATTTTTAATTTAACAGTTTCAACATGCTTTTTCCAATTTAAGTGGGTATCTAATGTTATGCCAAGGAGGTTAAATTCACTTATTTCTTCAATATTTATTTTTTCTGTAACTGGACTAAGATTAACTTTTTTCTTTTGGTGTGGTTTAAATTGAATTAGTTTGGTTTTTTTATTATTTATTTCTAGGTGATAAAAATTGACATCACATCTCAATATGTTAAAGAATGAATTTTGAATGATACCATAATTAATTTCTTTGTTTCAGCTGCGGGGATCTGACCAAATATGTCATCCTTAAGTGGCAGTGAGCTGATCGAGCTGCTGCACATGCTGTGGAGCCCCAACAAACACATGATGGGACGAGGATTCATTTGCCCTGATATTGGCCGAATAACAGTAGGTTGCTGTGCTCATGTTATGACAATTTTGTGGTTTTTGAGCTGGGCAAGGTATCAGGAACATGTATTTCCACCTGCCTTGTTCCTAGACAATATTTTATTGACCCATGAGTCAGATTAAAATAATAATAATAAAAAATATGGTGTTTTATTTTGCTTCTAACCTTTCTAGTCTTAAGCAAAAAAAAAATTTTTTTAAGGACTTGTATACAAAATGATATTTATATTCTGTTTCTTACTGGGATAGACTATTTAATAAATAACAAATTACATGCTGTAATGTCTGTCCACCTCAGGCCAAAGGTCAATATACTAAGTGGGCTAATCATACTAAGTGGGCATAACCCTTTAAATTGTGGTTGCGGGTCAAAGAACTGTTTTAATCCCATTGTGTTTGGATTGGGCGTAAACGGGTTGTTGACCATTGGTTGTGGTCTTGGTTGAAAGAAATTTGATTTGAGCATTTTGTTTCGTGAGTTATATTGATGAAGGAAATTTACTTCCTCTAACACAATACTGAGGGCACTCTTTAATGAGCTGCAACCTTTTAAGCGGACTATTCTAAGAAGGTCCTCGGGTAAATTGTATAAAAAGACATTCATGGCTAAATTGTCATAAATTATAGCTTTACTTCGTTTCAAATTTTCATCTGCTATTAAATTAACTTTTGCAATTAACGTACCTTTTACGTGTTGTATTCTGTTACAGAAATCTAGGTATGATTCGCTACTGGTGATTTTCAATGTTTCCAACTCTATTGCTATGCATTCTTCGGATCGCGGGTCACCGAAGTACTGTTCAAGTGCTAGCTTTAGCTCTGTCCAGGTTGAAATGTCTTGGCGCTCGCTAATGAGCGTTGCTGCTTTTCCCGTTAATCTTGAAGTAATTACGTGGTATACGTATAGGTCTTGGTCCGGGTTTCCATCTACTCTACACGTTCTAATTACATATTCGCACTTTTGTATAAACAAGTTGAGTAATTTTTCATCGCCGTTGAAGACGGGGATGACACTACTCATTTCACGCGGTATTTGTACGATGCGGTCCATGTTTTGTTTATTTATTCACGTTGGTGTTAATGGATGTGATCGATTTTTGTATCACTCTATAAACGACTGAACGTGATTAAATTCTAAGTAAGATGTACAATTTATTAACTAAACTTAACACTTAATAAACACAATTAATTTCCTTTTACTTTAATTAATTTCTTTTAACTTCAATTAATTTTTTCACTTTATGATCGGGATTTCCTTTTCATAAATTAATACTTTTTTATTTTATCCCAACTAATATTATAAATGCGAAAGTAACTCTGTCTGTCTGTCTGTCTGTCTGTCTGTCTGTCTGTCTGTTACGCTTTCCCGCTTAAACCTCGCAACCGATTTTGATGAAATTTGGCATAGAGATAGTTTGAGTCCCGGGAAAGAACATAGGATAGTTTTTATCCCGGTTTTTGAAACAGGGACGCGCGCGATAAAGTTTTTCTGTGACAGACAAAATTCCACGCGGGCGAAGCCGCGGGCGGAAAGCTAGTTACCTATATGAGTGATTAGGATTTCTCTTTCACAAATACGGTTTTTCACACAAAAAACACATTAACTTAAACTAGCAAAGAAAATAAAATTACTTACTTTTGATGTTTGAAAAATATGCAATTTTAGATTCAGACACTTATCTAGGATCGAATATGACAGGATAGAAAGGAATAGCGATTTTGGTCTACTCACAAACTGCCCATCACTCGAAGTTGAGTCTGCCGACGAATAATCTCCAGGTGCGGTCGTAGAGGCTTTTCCAAGTTGACAAATTTGTTTGTTCGGTGGATTTCCGTTTAAGGCAACAAGAAAGTGCCCGGCGCGCACTGAAGTTAAGTGTTTTCGCGTCGCGGAAATCCTACCGGCTGCGCCAGTCAAGTTGTGGCCTGCCCGNGGAGTTGGAAGAAGAAGTTTGGTTTTTCGTCGGGGGTTTTGATCATGCTTGTTACGTAAACGGCTCTACTTTTTTACACCCTATTCACAAACAAACGATGCTTGCTTAAGTGAAGCAGCTAATCGAACGCACAACGTCGATTAAAGCTCTATGATTGGTTCGTGTGTCACCCTGTGCGTCCACGCGCACTGTGAGACCTCACAGTAATGTTTGTGAATACGGACGGTTATTTCAATTGACTATTAATTTCAAGGTTACCAAAAATCACATTTTTCAGCCAATCGAAAACTAACTTGGTTTTCAGGAACTAACGATTTTTGAAGTTTTTTTTATCTTGGAATTTATCAATAAAGTAAGTATCCTGCAGATTTTTTTGTCGCCCGTTTATTTAGTAGTTGAGCAGCATGAGTGCACACCGATTTGGTATCGGCCGACTTCTCATACAAATTAGAAACCGATCAACTATCAGCCGACTAAAATTCTGTAGTCGGTCGGTCGGTCTAAATAAATAAGGTATAGTCTGGTCGCCGAGTAGGTACGTAGAATTTTGTCCAATGGCCCCAAACTACCCATCCTTATCGCTCGCGCGTAATTATATTGCTGTCGCGACTGTGCGACGGGCACCCGCAGTGAGTGTGCGAGCGCAACAGCAACATAATTACGCGCGAGCGATAAGGATGGGTAGCTTGGGGTCATTGGACAAAATTCTACGTGCTCAGAGACCGGGCTTTACTCAGCATCAAATAGTTCGTGACACCCAAAGCGGCCAAAAAGTTGACAGCACAACCTTATTCCAATTGTAACAAAGACGAAATTTTTGGCTACTTTGGGTGTCACGAACTATTTGACGCTGAGTGTGCCTGAACAAAATAATTGACTTAGATTTTTCTCAACAGTCGGTGATCGATGCGTGGACAACTACACACAGACCATCGGCAAGTGTACCCCAGCTGAATCCTGCGACTCAGCCAGAAAAGCTTACCAGTAAGTCATAGGTATAGTTCCAAAATACTGAACTGTCCTATCCATGACATAACAGTGGGGCGCCACCGTCAACACCGGATCGCTGGTTCCGATTTTTGCCATGTTGGAAACCATATATCTAGTTGAACGATGGTAGCGCCCCCCTGTCATTGAGTTTGGTGGGACAGTTCAGCGTGGGTCATCTTTATAGCGCTTGAATGAGTGCCTGAGGCATGGGAGCGGCACGTAAGGGTGTTTTTGTGACGGTGAAACGTCAGCGAGACTTCAGATTTGTATGCTCTGTCGTTCGTTTCAGCCGAAAGACGTCCACTGCTGGACAAAGGCCTTTCCCAAGGATTTCCACAAAGACCGGTCCTGCGCCGCTCGCATCCAGGCGCCTCCCGCGACCTTCACCAGATCGTCGGTCCACCTAGTGGGAGGCCTGCCCACGCTACGTCTTCCGGCTCGTGGTCGCCACTCAAGAACTATGCCTCATAAGAAGGCTCAAGGTCACCCAAAGGGCGATGGAGCGTGCTATTCTCGGAGTTTCCCTGCGTGATCGAATCAGAAATGAGGAGATCCGCAGGAGAACCAGAGTGACTGACATAGCTCGCAGAATCGCTAAAATCAAGTGGCAGTGGGCAGGGCACATAGCTCGTAGAGCTGACGGCCGCTGGGGCAGGAAAGTTCTTGAGTGGCGACCACGAGCCGGAAGATGCTCTGTCACATCATAATAATGTCAATTTTCACCTATTGTTTTTAAACATTTAACACAACTTTTCATTTTTCATTTTCATTTTCACGCGATTGTGTCGCGACTGCAACGCGACGTCTACATTTTTTACCCACAACAAAGAAACTCTTGATGGATAATGATGATCATTGGGGAGGCCTATGTTCAGCAGTGGACGTCCTGTGGCTGAAATGTTGATGATGATGACCCAACGTCTCGGTTGCTCACAGGTCAGAGCAGTATAGCAAGCGAAAGACTAGGTTCGTTTCCCACAAGCAAGCAAGCAATTTTTACTATAGTCTGGTCACCGAGCAACATAATTATTATTGAGCGATAAGGATTCGTAGCTTGGGTTCATTGGGCAAAATTCTACGTGCTCGGAGACCGGGCTTTATAAAATATCTTTTCAGTGAAAATGGCGTCCGTCCGACCCTCTGCCTGTACAGCCCATTTGGGACAACCCTCGTCTGTTGCAAGGATGGCATCCCCGCCTTCAATGTTGTCAGTCAGTTCAATAATGTGTAAGTATCCATCTATCCATATATCCTTTTTTTGTAACCTGTCATCCGCTTTGCAATGGATGGAAGTCGAAACTTAATTTCGAACTCCTCCTATGTTCTTCTGATTAATTTCGTTGCGGGGCCAATGACAGTTAAACTTTCCCCCGGGACAAACTTAACCTTCACTGCTTGGGTTAAAGGAGGTCAAGCTGTAGATCCTGGCTACACAGGAGTTGCAGCAGTGGGAGCGTAGGAATAGTTCCGTACCATATGTTTAGCAAAAACAAGAACAACTTCTTTAAACAAGAACAATACATGCTGTCTTTGTTTTTAGTGAATTAATATGCATTAAACATTTATTTTTCAGTCCCCGTCCCCAGGAAGACAGTCCCCGCCCCCAGGATGACAGTCCTCGGCCCCAGTATGACAGTCCCCGCCCCCAGGATGACAGTCCCCGTCCCCAGGATGTCAGTCCTAACCCCCCCGTGATCACTCCCAGTGTCGAGAATAGATTTAGTACGATTCCTACAGACACCAGAAGAGTAAGCGAGAAAAGTAAGTGAAATATTTATTATTTTTATTACCTTTATGTAGTCCCACGATTCTGAAACGCCAAGTGGCAAAAATCTAAAACCAACAACTCAGTATTAATAGTAGCGCCCTCCTGACAATGTCATAGCTAGGGCGGTTTATTGTTGGACTTCTTTATTCTTTATGGTACGTACAGATAGTGTCAAATAGTTCGTGACACCCAAATTGGCCAAAAAGAGACGTGTTGCGAACTTTTTGGCTACTTTGGGTGTCACGAACTACATATTTGACGTTGACTGTAAACAATTCACGAGTCACTTTATAATGCATACAGTGTGTAATAATAATTCACACGGGACACTTAAAAAGCGATGTCAAATTCAGTACTGGGACACTCAGTCCCGAAGCAGGTCTACCTCTGCAGTGGTAGGGTTAATAATGGGACATTAAAAGTGTAATTACAACTACTACCAACCCGGTAGAGTTAAATGCGCACCTGTACCTCTAGCATGAACAAATTTCGTCTTCGAATCGTTTGCGTATAAAACTTACGTGAATTAGGCCACAGGTTGTACTTAAGTTGCCACAATTAGTTTAGATTGATATGCTATCGTCTGCACTAAATTGGCTTTCATCTGTGCCTCTCTTCTATTACCAATTTTACCGAACTAATTTTCGCAATTTAATTTGAGTATCGCATCAACTATCACATCTCCTTACCTTAACCCAACAACTACCTATAGTCCGGTCGTCAAGCACGTAGAATTTCATCCAATGACCCCAAGCTACCCATCCTTATTGCTCGCGCGTAATTATATTGCTGTCGCGCTCGCACTCACTGCTGCCACCCGTCGCACAGTCGCGACACCAATATAAATACGCGCGCGCGAGCGATAAGAATAGGTAGCTTGGGGTCATTGAACGAAATTCTACGTGCTCACGTTAAGAAAATTCGTGCTTTGATCTTACAAAATTCAAATGTGTTTTATTTTCTGTATTGCTTATTTAATGATATCGTGTGGTGTTTAATAAATCTTTACTAAAGTTAAGGTAAGTCGATCATTTTCAAACGCTTTTCTTGTTGCTTATACAAAAGTTACATTTAGTTTATGTAAGTCATTTTTAACGTAAATTATAAAATTGTTAATATTTAATTATCAATTTTTACAGATGACGAAGTAGACAATGTATCAGTGCAACCCTTGTCAGATGAAGTAAGTACCTAGTAAAAACGTATTTAGATAACTCATATTAAAGAAAATTTTGAATGAACCATTTTGTATTGACCAAAAACCCAGAATTGTTTTACTTATTTTTATTTTGTTTTGTTCAGAAAACAAACAGCTTACAAATACATAAATTGAATAGATACAGTTTTAAATGGGTATCAGTAGTTTCCTTAAAATGCACATTTTGCCCCACCGAAAACTCAGTCCAAATCACTGGGGTGTCAGGGTGTCAGTCTTAGCGGTTATGACTTTGTATGAAAAGTCATGGGTTTGTAATTTTACCAGTTTTTAAGAAAAAAATCAGAAGCTACTACTTAGTAGATACAAATTTTAAAAAATATTAGTTTTTTAATTGCCGTTGAATCCGCTTCACCTGCCGGAGGAGTAGGGACAGCGGGAATAAAAATATATAATTAAATAAACTGGTGGGGACAAGCCTGGTGGGGCCGACGGGAAAAATCCTCAACATCTAGTTAAATAATTTAGTTATGAAATTAACAATTATTATGAATTGTTTACCTTTACAAATGGGCTTTAGGAATACTAACTTATATTAATCATATTATCTTCTTTTCCAGGTCTACGACATCGACCGCATAGAAGACTCCATCAGAAAGACGATCCTCTCAATCGATTCCGAACGAGACACGAGAACAGAAGAGCTTTTAGCCCAGCTGTGGGCTTTGAAACTCAAGAACCTATCCAAAGAACAACGAAGATTCGCTGAGAAAATAATTACGGATGTACTGTTTGAAGCAGAATCAGGGAATTTGACAAAAAAGCATCTAAAAATGGTATCTAACCCTGTTGTTTGTGAGAAAGCAAGTTTGGAAAAGATAAGAGTGAAAGCAAGGCAACTTGGAGATAAAAGAAATATTGAGATTAATTCGCCTATGATGCAACTGCAGTTGAGTTTCAATGCGGATAAAAATCAAGAACTATAAAGAATTGTGATAGCAAATAGTTTAAAAGAACACGGCTGACACGGCTTAAGGACGTAGCAAATTTATCAACCCGGAAAGGGATCGTAACCGTATCGACTCGAGGCGGTCTTTCTTTGTATGAAACTCCATACTGCAACGCACACATCCGCACCGTAACATAAACGCCTCGCCTCGCGATCGCGATGACAGCTAGCGAAAGTGTTGATTCCTTTCCGAGTTGATAAGTCTGCTATGACCTTCATTCTTCTATCTACGGGCAGGCCTGGCTCACTCCGCGCGGTACATCCGATAATTACCTACAGCGAAGCGCCCCGCCGGCGGGTATTATATCAGTCGAGTGTCACGCTCGCGCCCGTCAGGACGCTGGCGTGCGTTGTAGTACCTAATTCTATGATCGAAGTATTATTTAAAAATTGACATAAAGAGAAAGAAATATTATTGTGCGGCGTTCGGGTGTTTAAATTCGAAAAGAAATCTACCGGATTTATCTTTTTTTTTCGCTTCCCAAAGATGCTGAAAGGTATGTTGGCCATGTAGGTAATCAATAATTCTTAGGATAGTATAGGAACCTAACCTACCATGACTACTGCTCAGAATGCGTTCGTTCGTTTCAGCCAAATGACGTCCACTGCTGGACAAAGGCCTCTACTCAAGGTTTTCCATAATGAATGCGTATTTACCTACATACGTACCTCATTACAAATAAGTAGATTAATTATTTTTTTACTAGACAGACAGCAACCCTAACAGCGTAAGAAGAGTTCAGAGGCACGCGATAGAAAGAGACAAAACTTGTAGGTGAATAAAATTGTAGGTACGTAGTGCTGTGCGAGCTGAATTCCACTGTATCGCGTCGTAGCAAGACTCACATTTATTTAAATCGTCTTGCGGAGTAATCCTTCTGTACCTGTACTATTACTTATTCTGTGCTACGGGGTGTTAGGTAAAATAAATTTTATAAAATCCGATTTGTATGAAAATTAAAATAATTAAAATGATGATATCAATTTTCTGACTTCACCATACCATTTATATGCCCATGTTAACATGGGCTAGTGTCGGCTCATATACCCATTTACTTAACACCCTGTATAGGTCTAGCGCTTAAGAGTCCGTGCCTGAGATATGGAAGCGGCACGGGAGGGGTAATATTGGCATATGACATGACAGAGCATACAAATCTGAAGCATAATAGAAGAACATCGCCCTTTGAAAACACCCTCCCGTGCCCCTCCTATACTTAAGTCAAAAGTCAAAGTCAAAATTTCTTTATTTGTTTAGACTAATAAATAGTTCTTACAAATCGTCATTTTGCTCTTAAGGAGCCTCTACATGTCTCATAATCTTTTTACCCTACCAGCGCTTCGAGACCAACATACCTCAGACAATAACTCAATAAGCGCTAAACCTGTAATTTGCAGTCCTGTGTCACATATTATGAGTAAACTCATCATCGGGTCATTTAGTCTCCACTGCAGGAGCACGACCCTCTAATTTACCAGAGGCAAATGGAGGATTTGGCCTACACTCCCCACTGGCCAGCCGGACGGGCGGTTATTCCACTGGGGGCAACTGGGAATTCGTAAAAAATAATGTCCCAGTTGCCCCCGGTAAAATTTTGAAAAGTCCCAGTCTTTCCCCCACTTAAGACGCCGTAAAGTGTATCTAGATATTTTTTCTATATGTTGCTAGAAGTTGGGGAGGCCTGATGTTCGCATATTTATTTTGTCCTGTAATACTCAGTGTTATACTTATTTAAGGTGTTTTGTAAAATTGCTTAATAAAATGATGGATGAGCTATTGGTAGATAAGTTAGGTAATGTAAAAAAACATTTACTGTCCGTTGTTAAACTCAATTAATACTCAGAGATTCTCGTAATTAGAATAAGTAATTAAGTAATTCTTACCCTGTAATTACTAAGGTAATCTTGTATTATAAGGAACAGTTACCCTATCTTAAACTTGGATTATAAATTATTGTTTAAAAATAAAATTATAATACCGTGCATTTCTTAGTTTTATTATACCTAACCTGCTTCTTTTATTAAAAAATAAATAATTAAATTATTACTTCATTAACTTTAGCGATTGTCGTAAACACACACATCTAAGTTTCTGCCATAGATTCCGTTGAGAGACCACACATGACGCGACCAGTTTGATCGGATGCAACTCAAAAGTAACTAGAAGTTACAGTTTCGTTGCAGTTGCGTTTCACCGTGTGTTCTGGGCCTTAGTGGATGGTGGATGGGTTCGATTCCCAGATAAGACTAGGCGCAGACCACCGATTTTTATGAAGAATATGAAGAATCAACCGGTGTAATGTGCGCACTTCCATACATGCCCAAACCGTAGAGTTATAGAGAGATGCCAACTAATGCGCTGAGTTCGAAACTCAGTGTCGCATTATAAATTCACACACACAAAGAAATCAAAATATGTGCTCATTATCCACTGCGGTGTCAGTACGCAACGTTCGAATAATCTTCAGTACTACGCAAGCAATGTAACCTGCTTACATTATGACGTCTGCAGCAATGTGTTCTGACTTTCTATTTTTGGGCATATTGCTGCGACACCGGCCCCGCCCCCTTGGCACATCTCCCTTTAGTTTCTGTGATCTGTGGTACACACATTAATTGACTGATCGGTACGAATTTCGCCAAGCCAGCTAGTACCAGATAACCAGAACAATAAAAAAATCATAAAACTCATTTATTTTTGCAAGTAGGCTTTTAAAAAGCACTTTTACACGTCCCAATATTAACCCTACCATTGCTTCGGGACAATAAATGGGCCAGTGCTCAGAAGAAGCAGCGCAAGAAACTCAGTCACTATTATTTAATACTTCTTTACTTTCAGAATGCGACGAGTACAGTAAAGCTGTCGTGGAGAAGGTGGAATTCCTCCCTCTCCTGCCGAACCCTGAGAGATTATCTATCACCAGCGCCAAGTGTGACTACATCGGAGTCAAACTTATAGTGGGGGGTGAAAAGGCTTCGCAGGGTGAATTTCCACACATGGTAAGTAGTGGTAATTGTGACAAATCTAAACTTTATACGAAAACGAGTATAACTCAAAGGTGACTGACTGACTGACATAGTGATCTATCAACGCACAGCCCAAACCACTGGACGGATCGGGCTGAAATTTGGCATGCAGGTAGATGTTATGACGCAGGCATCCGCTAAGAAAGGATTTTGCGAAACTCCACCCCTAAAGGGGTAAAACGGGATCCACGCGTACGAAGTCGCGGGCGGCCGCTAGCTATCGGTATAAAGTCCCACGATTCTGAAACGTCAAGTGACAAAAATAAAAAACTAAATCCAGTATTGATATTAGCGCCCTCCGGTAATGTGTCATGTTTGTCCAACGTGGCAAAAATCGGAACCAGCGATTCGGTATTGACTGTGGCGCCCCCCTGTCAATGCCGCGGGTGGTGGGACAGTTCAGTGTGACATAATAAATCGTTAAAGTTCCAAAATACTGAACTGTCCTATCCATGACATTGACAGTGGGGCGCCACCGTCAATACCGGATCGCTGGTTCCGATTTTTGCCATGTTGGAAAACATATAAGTTGAACGATGGTAGCGCCCCCCTGTCATTGAGTTTGGTGGGCGAGTTCTGCGTGGGTCATCTAGGTATATTGCCATAGAAGAGAACCTTTAATTCCTATTTGGCCCCACCAGTGGGGGCGAATGGGAATAATCTGACACTTCTGTATTCCAGGCAGCTATTGGCTGGACGAACTTCGAAGGTGGTTACGACTTCAAATGCGGAGGTGCACTGATCAGCAACAAGTTCGTGGTGACTGCGGGTCATTGCATCAGGGATCCGTCAGCGAGGTATCCTGAGCCTGCTGTGGTCAGGCTCGGCGATCAGAATATAGATGACTCTGTTGCTGATGGCGCTGATCCGATTACTGTAAGCACTTATTTTTCATCATCATTATCATCATTTCAGCCACAGGACGTCCACAGCTGAACATAGGCAGAGTAAATACAAATGATTAGGTCATCTTCATAGAAACGCACCGAGCGCGGTTTGTACTTATGTGAGCGCGCCAACACGTATGCGGCGCGCACGCACACACTGACAAAATTCGGCGTAACACCGCGCTAATCCACATACAAACCGCGCTCGATGCGTTTCTATGAAGATGACCTACTCATTTGTATTTACTCTGACAGAAACCTTCCCCAATGACTTCCACAATGGCCGGTTGGCGACGGCCTGCATCCAGCGCCTTCCTGCTGATTGTTTTACAATGTCACTGGCGAAGGTCGCGGGAAGCACCTGGATGCGGGCAGTGTAGGACCAGGTCTTTGTAAAAATCCTTACTCTCCCAGAAACATATCGCTGTAAAAGTTTTTTTTTGTATTGCACAAATTACTAATAGTCCCGTTAGCCCCTCGTGGTAAGCTATATACTTGTGTTACGCAATAGTCGAGCGGCAGTGGGATTCGAACCCGCGTTCCTCGGATCTCGAATCGGACCCCTTCACCGTCCGGCTATCGTGGCTTCAAAATAAATAATTGCAAAAAATAAATGACCATGATTTCTACCTTCCAGGTTCCGATCAAACAAATCACGAAGCATCCGAACTACAAGCCGCCTGGCAAGTACAATGACATCGCTCTACTTCTGATAACCGAAGTGACCTTCACCTCCAACATCAGACCTGCCTGTCTGTGGAACAGGCCAGACTTCGCACCGCACAAGTCGGCTATAGCTACGGGATGGGGAGTGATTGATCCAGGTGAGGGTAGTTGATGTCCTTATACAGGGTGTTAGGTAAATGGGTAATATTAGCCGACACTAGCCCATGTTAACATATGCATATAAATGGTATGGTGATCATTTTAATTAATGTAATTTTCATACAAAGCTGTTTTTATAAATTTTATTTTTAATGTCAGCCAATGGGCAGGGCGCATAGTACGCAGAACTGACGCCAATGAGGCAGCAAGGTTCTGGAGTGGAAATCATGTAGCGAAAAGCGCATCGTAGGACGTCCACCCATAAGGTGGACTGACGACCTTACAAAGGTAGCAGGTAAGCGCCGGTTGCAGGCCGCTACCAACCGGCTTTTGTGGAAATCTTTGGAGGAGGCCTATGTTCAGCAGTGGCCGTCTTATAGCTAAAACTAGACTTCACGACTTCGTACGCGTGGATCCCGTTTTATCCCCTTAGGGGTGGAGTTTCGTAAAATCCTTTCTTAACGGATGCCTACGTCATAACATCTACCTGCAAATTTCAGCCTGATCCGTCCAGTAGTTTGGGCTGTGCGTTGATAGATCACTATGTCAGTCAGTCACCTTTGAGTTATATAGTATATTTAGATAGATGATGGACATCGTAAAGGCAGCAGGGAAGCACTAGACGCAGGCCGCTACCAATCGATCAACGTGGAAAGCATTGGCCTATGTTCAGCAGTGGACGTCCTATGGCTGAAATGATGATGATGATGATGAGATAGATGATGATGAAAGCTTCTTTCTTTCAGACACACGTCAGACGTCAAACGAGCTACAGAAGGTGTCGCTAACGTTATTCGAGAACGACGACTGTGACAATCTGCTGGCAAACATCCGCAATCGGCTTTGGAGGGGCTTTATGCACACACAGATGTGCGCGGGGGAACTCAGAGGGGGAAAGGATACGTGTCAGGTAATACCTGTTATAGTTCCAAAATACTGAACTGTCCTATCCATGACATTGACAGCGGGGCGCCACCGTCAATACCGGATCGCTGGTTCCGATTTTTGCCATGTTGGAAACCATATAGTTGAACGATGGTAGCGCCCCCCTGTCATTGAGTTTGGTGGGACAGTTCAGCGTGGGGCATCTATACATTAGTTATTATTTCATAGCATTTAGAGTTGCTACTGAAACTAAATAAATAACTTGAAATAATCGAACTGCCAGTGTCTAGGTAGCGCAGAAGGAAGAGTAGTCACCCGGCAAGCGAAAGGTCATGGGTTCAATTCCCGCCTTTTGGCGCATCCACACATGCCGCCGGCTTTCATTCTGCCTTGCCAGTAAAAGATGCATGAACGCCGGGTTGGCTGCCGGCCGAGCCACCCGGCATATGTGTGGATGCGCCATTAGGCAGATTGATTTTTTTTTTCAAGTTATTTAGCAGCGAGAGTTGAGTTGAGGCAAACACGGTAATTAAAACTTGTGTACATGAACACACAAAAATTTAGGAGGAAAGTTGTGATATTGTCTTACTAGCGAGCTCGTAACAGTGCACTATTTTTAATTCAAGTCTCAATCTAACAAACACGCGCTGTTGATACATAAACACAAGCAAATTACTTTGTGTTTATTGCCTCAACTCTCGCTGCGCTAATACTTGCTAATTCGAATAATACATAACTTAAAGTAAATAAATTAATAATATTGTTTTTTTTTTTTCAGGGCGACTCAGGATCACCCCTCCAAGTGCCGTCAAAAGAAAACCAGTGCATCTTTAACATCGTGGGCTTGACGTCGTTTGGGGCCAAGTGTGCGAAGACGGGCCAACCGGCGGTCTACACTAGGGTGTACAGCTATCTGGACTGGATTGAGAGCGTGGTGTGGCCAGGGGAATAATTTTAGGGGATTTTGTAAGATGCGAGTTAGTCAGGTCTGTTTTAAAGGGGCTTAGTGTGATTTTACATCGAACGTATTCAATATTGACTTTGTCTGGTCTGCGAGCACGTAGAATTTTGTCCAATGACGTAATTATATTGCTGTCGCGACTGTACGACGGTCGCCCGCAGTGAGTGTGCGATCGCGACAGCAACTTACGCGCGAGCAATAAGGATGGGTAGCTTGGGGTCATTGGACAAAATTCTACGTGCTCACAGACCGGGCTTTACGTAAAAAAATTACATTAAATGCATGATGGATTGTACAGCGTCAATACATTTTTATTTGATGTAACCTCGCACTACGCCCCCAGAACCGAGTTGAAAACATTGTAATTTGTATTGCACAAATTACTTAAAATCCTGATATTTACTATTTTTTAATTCAAACAAAAAAAAAACAATTTCAAGCATACTCGTAGAATGATGTTTTTGATTTGTCGAATTTAAATAGAAAAGAAGAAAAAAGGAAAAACAATAACATTCGCAAAACTAAAGCCCGGTCTCCGAGCACGTAGAATTTTGTCCAATGACCCCAAGCTACCCATCCTTATTGCTCGCGCGTAAGTTGCTGTCGCGATCGCACACTCACTGCGGGTGCCAGTTGCACAGTCGCGACAGCAATATAATTAGGCACGAGCTAAAGGATGGGTAGCTTGGGGTCATTGGAAAAAATTCTACGTGCTCGGCGACCAGACTATAACAACTTCACAAGAGAGCATTAACTCTTTAAGCCAATTAAAAGATAGATTTAAGACTGAACTTAAGTTGCTTCGTGCATTGTTTTGTAATACACACTAGTCTTTTTCACCTAAGATGATCCGTATGACGTTTCGAGTTTGAAAGATTTAGAGATGTCACATAACTAAACCATAGCGATTTATCTATCGATTTTTTTCGAAGAGGTAGTGAAACCTACTTTTAGAGAAATATTTTGTATAGGTGTTATTTAACAAAAAACATGTTTTTTTTTATTACAAATATTATTGTAACAATTTTTTATTGATAATATTCAAATTTCATGGTTCGTGTTCAAAAAAACGATTCCTAAAAAGTACTGGTTCTGTTTCTTTGAATTAAAAACCATTTATTTATTTTCAATGCGTTTATTAAAGTCAATAATCGAAAAATATAGTTGATTTTTGTGATGTTTTTAATAACTAAGTATTCACTGTAATCGATTAATAAACCGCGGAAATAATCGATTTTATTAAACAAGAAATACCCCAGCACTAAATCTATTCCGTTTCACACATTGCGTACATTAAATAAAAAATATTTTTACATCGTATTTAATTAAAATATAATCAATAGACTCAGATTTTACTATATATTTCAAGACAAGTAGTTAATTTTTTTTTTATTATATTGCTAATAAAATACAAATATTTTTTCAAAAATAATCTGCATATGTAGTATGCGTAATATGGATAACCTTGAAGTGTCATACGGATCATCTTACGTGAAAAAGACTATAAGTTAAGAAACTGTTTAAAATAAAAAAAAAAAAAACTCTTAAAGGGGTAGCCCTATGCCAGTGCTGACTGCTGTCTATGAAATGTCAAGAAAGTATAGTTGTTGCAATTCACGAAGGCGAGTGAGCTTTACATGTGTGGTGGCTCGCTACTGTTAGTTTTTCGAGTTTTGAAACCACTACTAACCCGCCATCGTGAGTTGCAAAAACTATAAATTAATACAGTAGAATCCCGATTATCCGGATCAATTAAAACCAGGGGTGTTCCGGATAATCGATTTCAAAGTAAAATCAAATAATAATTAACTTTTTTCAATAGAAAGGGTTTTCAAAACATCATTTTAGAGTCTAAAAATCTAAATTTATATGGATGAATCCATTTCTTTTAACAATGAACTAAGACGACGTCCGTACCGTGTTACGTTGGCGGCGCCTTTCGTTTTTTGGGCCCAGACCCTAAATCAGTAATTAGAAACCGTGAAAAATGAGTCCGGATAATCGGATATCCGGATAATCGAAGTCCGGATAATCGAGATTGTACTGTAATTAAAAACATATTAATTTACTGGACAATGTGGGTATTAAGAATGCAATTATAAAGTAGAACTTAAATAAAATAAAATAAACTAAAATTAAGATCAATAAATAATAAGAGATTTTCACCAATATTTGTTTTATTTCAAAATCCAGATTTATCTAAATTTTACCTGCACTTACTTGAGTCTTAATAATAATAATAAGCATGGCAATCTGTAATATCAGTAATTTTAATGTAATTTAGTTTTTATGAGGCAAATATAAATTTTAGTAGGGCCAAATGGGATTTTAATGGGGCCGAATGGGAAATTTTGTGGGACCGAATGGGAATTTTCGTGGGGACAAATGGGAATTTCAGTGGGGCAAATGGGAATTATCAGCTTTCCAAAAACTGCTCGATTGTGTTAGCTTGCCTGGCCATTTTGAGGGCGTTCAGTCTCTTGTGCGGGTCCGATTGCCAATCGTAGTTGCCGGTACGGCACATCACTAGTTTGGCGATCAGCCACCTCATGGATTCCATTTTGTCTACGAGCATTCGGAGTTTTCTGGAATGGTAAATAATAATTATAAATAACCTTGGACATAATACTTTGCGCCATCTAGTGCCATATTAAGAAATGCGATAGTTGGGTACTATTTTAATTTGTATGAAGAATCAGCCGATACCAAATCGGTGTAATGTGCGCACTTTCATACATCTCCATACTGATTAACAGCCCGACCCAACTTTCGGCCAACTAAAAGTTTGTGGTCTGCTGAATGATATTACGAGTATTCAATCTTTACTTACGTGGCCTCTCACTATAGGCCTTATACAGAAGCTCAAAGTTGCACATTGTGCTATGGAGAGGGCTATGCTCGGTGTCTTTTTACGAGATCGAATCAGAAATGAGGAGATCCGTAAACGAACTAAAGTCGCTGACATAGCCCGACGGATTAGCAAGTTGAAGTGGCAGACAGGGCACATAATACACAGAACTGACGGCCGATGGGGCAGCAAGGTTCTGGAGTGGAGGCCGCGTACCGGAAAACGCAGCGTGGGACGTCCACCCACAAGGTGGACGACATCATAAGGGTAACGGGGAATCGCTGTACGCAGGCCACTACCAATCGATCAACATGGAAAGCATTGGGGGAGGCCTATGTTCAGCAGTGGACGTCCTATGGCTGAGATGATGATGATGAATCTTTACTTACTTGTGTAACCGTCCCATCTCAACCTCTTCATTGCCGTGAACTCCGTCCCGCATGTCCCTCAGCTGTCCCAGCTCGGTGTCCCACTGATCCCTCACCACTGCAAGCTGGGCCTCCCTCTCCGTTAGTAACGCTTGGAGGTGCCGCAACTGGCACTCCTGCTGACGGAACTCTGCGAGGCTTGTGATGATCTTTCTGGAATTATTTGATGATTTATTAGATTTTTTATTAAAAGAATTAAATGATCACCGGGCTAACTTCAAATTCCACTGTCCACCGTGTGTCTTTACACTCGACATTGGCGAAACCAGTGTGCTTCAAATACGCACCATTGAAGCCAAACAGAATAATAATAATAACGACGTAACAAAATATTTAAAATTATCCAATGTCATAAAATCTTCACAAATTAAAAATATATTAAGGTACTTAGGGCTGATTTTTCAATCGTCAGATTTTTTAACTGAAGAATAACCTTGTCATTTTGACATATTTCCCGTACTAAAACTGTCAATGTGCCAAACTTATTCTTCAGTTAAAAATTATCCGACGGTTGAAAAATCTGCCCTTATTTAAAAAAAGTTATTTCTATCAAAAATAGTGCCACAAAATCAAAACATATCTATTTATATGTAGAGTTGAGATGTGATTCTTAACACTAGAAAATTTTAATAATTATTCAGATAATTGTGCTAGATAATAATGTAAACTATTAAAAAAAAGTAAGAACTATATGAAATGTCTCAGTCACATCATTCGTGATATTTTATTATACAATTTTTAATTTACTGTTACAATTTTTTTTTTTTTCATACCCCGAGGGAATAGGCACTTCCAGGGCAGATATGTACCATCCTAGACTGCATCCCACTTAACATCAGGTGCGATTGTGGTCAAATACCTGCCTTGTTATGCATAAAAAAAAAATTATTTGTTTAATTAATTACACAGGTTTTAGCCTTTAATTTGAAGTTGAGTAATAAAGATTAATAATAAAGATTTGATTGAAGTGTAAAATAATATTTTATTTACATACTCTTTTCTCTCAACCAGTTCAGGGTCCAGTTTTCTACTTGGAGACGTTATGAGTGCCTTCACAGCATGAGACTGTGTTAGAAACTTGATGATCTGCTGCTCCAACACCTTTGCCGTTGCTGTGTCTTCATATTCCTTGAGTGTCGTTTGCTCGTTTCGTTCTTGATCCGCTATTTGTGGGTTTTCTGTTGAAAATAAGAGGCAATGTAAAATTATTAGGTTATCACAGTTTTTGGCAAATAAATTGATGTTTTAAACAATGTAGTGTATATTTAGCATTTAGGATACACGGTAAGTGTGTAAAAGTATTGCTGAGGTACTAATTATGTGTTGAAATTGTAAAAAGGTGTCACTTTAGATATGATAATACTGCTAGGATCATGATGGAGTTGTGCTGGCGTTAGAACTAAAGTAATAAATCCTACCAATAATCCTACGTTAAGAATGAGCAAATTAGATAGTTACCAGCTAACGGTTTGGCCCGTAAAAGCCTTAGTTTTGAAGTAAACACTGATAAATCTTGCATTTTCTTAGCAATCTTGTCTTCTAAGTTATCTCCAATTTCAGCTGAGTGTAGTTCAGTAGAAACACGCTGCAGATCGCTTTTGAAGTTAGTGCTAACATCGCGCAAGGTTTTGAATGCAGACATGGTGAGAAACTATGTGAAAATTAAGGTAAATTAATTTTATTTTGATTCACTTCTGCTTGTTTACGTTTCGTTTGAAAGTGACAGAAAGGAAGGAAGACCAAAAAAAAAGGATGGTATAGACTAAAAGTTAAAAAAAAATGGAAGGTCGATTTACACGGTACGACAACACAGTTTATTTTATCGTGACATCATTTACACCTTCCAATCAAAAATTCACTAACTTCTTTCATAATTATTATTCACTATTGATGTATTTTCTTATTTATTTTATTTACTTACCTACTACAAAATCTAATTTCATTTTTATGGAAAATCTTCACAAATAATCGATTAAATTCACTCGGATCGAATCGTTTCTAGAAACATCACTATTGAAAAGTTTGAAAACTTTTTTTTAGTCTATGTTTTGCTTCGGTCGGCCTCGGACGGACGGTCGCTCGCCCGATTTTCTGTGATCTACGCAGTATGTCAAATTGTGTATTGTTGTTACCAGATTTTGGAAACAGCCGAACGAAGAGGCGATGCATATTATGAGATTTGTTTGAGCTGTGCGGCATTAACTGCACACAGCATTACCAGTACGTGAACTACAGGCGGTGGCTCGACGCGGCTTATAACAGCCAATACCATAATTACCGAAAGTGGCTGGCAGCCGGTGAGAGCTCGATGGCTTGCTACTTTACTAAACTTCCAACTGAACTTTTGCTGTTAATCTTCACGTATCTCCCAGCTAGAGACCTCACGAAATGTCGCCAGATATGTCAGCGGTTCAGAGTAATTGTCGACAGTTTGACGAAAAGCGATGCGTTATGGATGGATTATTGCAAGAAAGACTTCAGCAGAGTTTACAAAACTGCTCGCTACAAATCCAGGTGTGGGCTCCTTTGGTATCACATCTATAGGTCTCTTTCTTTATGGCCTAAACTGAGTTCTGCAAGAGAAGTGAGAGATGAGTTCGCATCAGCTGCAAAACTACGTGATGAAATTCGCGACTTCACAATACTGAAGGAAGGGATTCTCGCAGTCCACACGAGAGGAGCCATCGTGTACTACAACATCGAAACGTTAGAATTGGCCAAACGCAGCCCGATCACCGGTGATTATTTAAGATTTTCTGAAAACACAAACACAATAGTCATCTCCAGTTATCATTTACAGCTATTCGTTGTCCAAAAAACCATACAATGTCCACAGTTTCATGCCAACGTCACGTATGACAATGTCAAAGCTTACTTACTATTGGAACGGGAGATGTACTTCGTGACTTTGGACGATGAAATCTTCGTTTGCAATTTTGAAAAAACACACATCTCGTGTGATCTTATTAAACAGTCCGAAGAAGGAGTCATGTGCTTGGGCTACACCGATAGACTGAATGTGTTGACGTTTGAGAAGAATATTTACTCCGTACAAGCTGGTAAGTTAGTGTATAACCAGTCACTCGGAGCGAGCTCAAACGTACTGCATGTGTTGAGAGATTTCAACTTTTTAGAGAACTTAGACTGGAGGATCTATTTCCAATGGATGTACGTATTTAACCACAGCATCCCAGAAGGCCCTCTGCGAGATATAGTCACTATCCGAGCTTACGGTGACGTTTACTTCGTTGGATCAAACTGGGGAGTGCTTCGTATTTACTACGCTCCATACTGTGGGGGTGAATTCGATATTTTTAAGTCTGAACCGGTGAAACAGTACAACTTTATGGAACGTTACGACTGCCCAGTTCTCAGTATGTGTCCGATAATCCAGGTCGATGTAATGGAGGCTGAGGAGGGTCACACGGTCATTGTGGCTATGCCAAAAAAGATCGCTGTCATTACGTTCGAACATAGTTTTAAGAGAACCTCTTCGGTTGCAATGCTACCGTACACAGACCTTGAAAAGGTGAAGGTTCTGAAAATCAAAGAGTAAAATGAAATTGGGTATTTGTTTACAAAATAAACTGGTAACAATAATACCTTTATTAACTTAAAAAAAAAACTGTAAAATCTGTTATTATTATTGAAAAAAATACAACTTAATAAAAATACAGATTAGTTCAGATTACATTAAAAAAACTGTTAATTTCAATTTAATCATTGCACTTGCAAATAAAGACCAAAAATACATGTTTTCTCTTTGACATTTTATTAATAGTTATGTATGTAATTATATTTAATTTTTGTTGCAATCAATTCCATGTGATAGTAGAGTATTAATAGTTTATTTTGTATTAAAATTAAGTTAGCAATATTTTTTTCTTTTCCCCTTAAACAGATGATAAATTACAAAAAAGCTATTAAAATGGGCCAACATAATTATTATTTATTACAATCACATAAAGTAATTGAAATAGTACAGTCAGCATCAAATAGTTCGTGACACCCAAAGTGGCCAACAATTTGACAACACATCCTTATTCAAATTGTGTAACAAAGACGTGTGAAGAAAAGGCGGGAAACTTCGAAGTGGCAAGGCGCGCTTCCGAAAGTTTTAAATTAATAAAACAAAATCTGTTAGATTTTTGTTGTTAGGNGTGAATGATATTTACATTATGTACTACATAATGTCTGGTTATTTGAGGCCAGCGCCTTGTAAAATCAGGTCATAAGCATAGGTGTTATGGCTTAAAGAAAGAAATAGGTAATTTCTTTTACCATCCATCTAATTCCTTTTTTGAGGGAAAACTCAATAATGAGACATTGACCATATTAAGAGAAGATACATTTGCAAGTTAAATGTATTTTTAGTATCGACTATACCAAACTAAATTAAAAGAAAATCCTTATCTTCTCAAGTTATATGGCTGTTTAATACTCGTCTGATGACTGCGCCACCGATCAACCTCTGCGGCATACTATCGCAATTGCTGTATTTTCAGCTCTACCTGTCTCTCTCTACGTCGTTATCTTAGAATGAGTGAAAGAGATGAGTAAAGCTGACAATGGACATCGTTTAGATACCGTCGGAACATAACACCTCCACTAATCAACTTGCAGTGCGTGTTTCGAATAAAGCGCGATGGATCATAAAAAGTTACGACGCCGGAGTGTGGAATGAGCCCTTTTACGTAGGCCCTCGATATTTTATACCGGCTATCGATGGACCCGATCGGAATATCAAGGGCTATAGGACTATATTTACAGACTAAAGAGAATATACCACGGAGCGGAGATCTATCAAATAGATTCAATCAGACGATTTCTCATTCTTCAATTTTTATACCACATCGAAGACACTCTTGGTCTGCATCTCACTTGATGGACGAGGAAATTCTTGCTCTGCATCTTGGTGGAAAATGATGGCCGAAGGTCAAGGTGAGCTTCACAGAATCCTCAACCACAGAATAACTGGCTATCTTACCTCCTACTACTGTGAAACTCAACAATGCTATTTATATTCTTGCTATAGCGCCAGACTTAGGTAGGTATGTAAGATGGTGGAACCTAGGTAAGCGGACTTCATTTATAAGAAATACATCTCTCCATTTACCTTTTCACAACTCAACCAAAAGATTCGAATTTGAATCAAACGGGTGCTATAGAAATGTAGAGATTAGCTACCGTTCGTTCGTTTCAGCCAAATAACGTCCACTGCTCGACTAAGGCACCCCCAAGGATTTCCACAACTACTGGTCCTGCGCCGCCCGCATCCAGGCACCTCCCGCGACCTTCACCAAATCGTCGGTCCACCTAGTGAGGGGCCTGCCCACACTACGTACATAACCGTAGATTAGCTATAGCACGAAGTTATTGCAGAGTGGCACGTAGCTGCGTAGCAGCAATCAAATGCGTACGATAGTAAAAGTCAAGGTTCTGTTTGGTCCTGTTATCACCACCCTTTGGGTAATAACGTAGATTTGTGGCAGGGAGACAGCTCACTTTATCTAATTGTTTCGGTAGTAGTATACAGTCATTTATATCGTTGCAAATTCGACCCTATTGCAACCGCATAAGATGTCACAGTGTTTACGTTGATGTGCAATCGAATACAAAGTTGTCAAAGCAAGTGTTTACTTGATCACGAGTTGTTTTTCTTATAAATTAGGCTTGAAATTAAAAATAAGGATATCGTTGTTTGCTTTAACCGACTATAAGTACGGACATTGCAACTGAAAACATTTTCCATCAACATGCTCGGGTCATAATATAGGTTGCGGACTTAATTGTATCTGTGCCTAAAATTCAATGGAGACTATTGCCCGTTTTCACCATCAATCCCTATTTTTAAGTGATTAGGGATCACATAATAGGACTTTTGTTTTCATAGGAGTCACTTAAAAATTAGGGATTAATGTTGAAAATGAGCATAAATGACCTGGATGGTGATGATGAAGTCAAGAAAAGCTAGCTAGAGTTTTATGTAGTCGTCACATCTATAAAATTCACTTAACGCAAAAATACCCTTTACTATCTCCCAAGTTCACTTAACGCAAAATTGTTCAACACAATTTTACGTAATTTTCGAAGTTGCTCGAAGTCTGACGCTTGAATCTGGAAGTTGGCTCAGGTGGAGAGTTTAAAGTTCCTGTTCACGATAATATTTCTATTTCGAAGTCGAACAACTCTTGTTACGCATTCTGAAGAGTGCTGCAAGTAACTTCGACTAGAAGGGTTGTTTAGGTTTTTACTCGTATAAGTGCGAAGTGCTTAAAAGTGTAAGAACAGTTTTTTAACAAAGTACTAAATTGATTCAAAATGGAAATTCATGCCATTTACTAAATATATTATTATCTTTGTAATGGGCAGGGCACCGACGTGATGGTCGGACGCGGTGAGGAAGACGGTGGGCGGGAGTTTGCATCGTGCGGTCCACACAGCTTATGACCGCAGTTTGTGGAGGAACACTATCTGTGGTCGCGATCCTCATCAGTGAGGGACCGAGGAAGAAGAAGAATGTTGAATGAGTCACTAAACTTTCACTTGCATGACTTAAGGGTGGATTATAAACAAGAGTAAATATTAATCTCAGAATAAATCGTCAGTTTAGACATATTTCGCATACTGAAACTGTTATACAATGTGCCAGTTATACCAGGAGTTATTCTCGGATAAAAGTTTGGTCGAATCGGGCCTTATGGGAGTAATAAAAACAAAGAAAAGTAAGTG